CCAATGCCATCTTACGATTTTTTTAAGTCCTAATTTAGACAAACTAAGGAGGCTGTTTTGAGTTGAGCAATAATAGAATGCTTGTTCTAGCAAAGCCATTTTTCACCTTTCTGGGACCCAGTGCATACCTAGAGGCAGACTCTTTAATCCTTGAGGAAGTGACTTACCGCCAAGGACAAGGAAGCAGAGCAGCTATTGTCCCTAAAGTTTGAAAAACGTCCAAGCGTCGAGCACTTTTGCTGGACGGTGTTGTGCAAGTTTACCAGCTCTCCTTGGAGGACTGGAAGGTATGGCTTTCCTTGAAGAACCTTCAAATGTCTTTGTAGTGAATACCATAGCAGTGGGTCCAGCATCTTTGTGGTCTTTTTCTGGACTCCAAAGAACCGAATTTCTTTCATGGCTTGCTTGCCCATCTTTATAGGATTAGACTTTTATCTTGCATTTTACTATTTTCAGGTTTCTTTCAAAACAATGACAGTGGTTTTGCAAGTTTTTGATCTTATCCTTTCAACATGGGTTTCTGGTATGTTGGAATCCTCCAGCAGCTTTGCTTTACAAGCAGTTTTAAACAGAGCTCAGAAGAGGAGCGGTGCTGTGACAGGTGGATTTTCCTGTACGTTTCGGCGTCTGAATCGATCTTGGGTGAAACCCAATTTTTGCCCTTGATTTGGGCAGTGCTGTGGGAGTTAGTTCCATTCATTTCCTCCACTTCCCCAGACCACTTCTCCTGGCTCTCTGAATGTCGGAGCTGTTGCTGTAGTTTGGATTTGCATGGAAATGGTGGTGACCACTGCCCGCCTGGTTGCTGGGAGTGTCCCCCGGGACTTGGTGCTTTGGCATCAAAGGGTCCTGAGAAGAAAGTGAAGAAAATAGGATTCAAGCAGAACTGGATTCTGGTATGGGCCGGGGGTCCCCCACAGTATAGTGCCACTCCTCCCATTGCTACCATACCTGCATCCTCCCTGCCGCCTCAGGAGCCAGCCGTGCGCCACACGGCTCAGACCAGCTCCCACAAATAGGTGGGCCCTGGCACTTCATACCTGGTACTGTTTTTACCTTTTCTGTTTGTTCCTGTCAGCCATAACCTCAGCCCCACAGCCTGTGGCCTCCTGCCTTTCAGGCCAGTTCTAAGCAGAACTGAAGAGCCTTCCTATTTCCTGAACCAGAGAGGGGAACTTAACCTTGAGGATTCCAGCTGCGGACTTACTGAATGGGGTCACAGTGTTCTCTCAGATAACACTGCCTTACTAGCCCAGGAAGGACTCTGGGAACAGATGAGGCCAGAGCAGGGGCGCCCTCTGCTGTTTGCTCTGTGCTCTTCCACCTAAATGGATCCTAGGGAGAACAAGGATGATGCTGGGCCATTCTCCTTGCACTTGTGCGTACTTCTTTGTGCATACTACCTTTGTGGAGTTCTCAAATTTGATGCCCGTTTTTCCCCTCAAGTCTCTTTGCTGTTTCTATTGTGTGTGATTGCTTTTGTCAGCAATAGCTGTCTTGGCAGGACCTTTTATTTGCAAGAGGTTGGCATAGCATTTTTTCACTCCATTTTGTCACTCCAGCCCTCTCCAGCCAGCCCATGTGCGACTTATGTGCCTCCTGCCTTTTCCCACAGCTGGTGGCTGCTGAGCCTAAGGGAACAGGTGGAGTAGAAGGGGTAACCGGAAGCCCACACTCTGAAGAACTGCGCTTTTTAAGCCACAGAAAACCTGGGAGCACTGGTTACACTTGGGTCCAAGAGGCAGAAAAAGTGGCATAACCCAGAGCACAGAGCCCCGTTTTGATGCACCAGGGGGCACCCACTCCCTGGTTTCTTCTCGCCCCTTTCCTAAGCCTCTGCACATGCCATGCCCTTGGTCGGCCCACTCAGCTGTCACCTCCTGGTGACATCCTTCCTCCTTGGACAGCTGGTGTTGTCCTCACAGTGCCTGTGACACCTCCTCTGGTTTAGTGACCTGCTCATGGGTCAGGTTCCCCCAGGGCAGAGTCGGAAGGGTGGGGATAATTTTTCATTCCTTCCTGGAGGCTCTTGATGACCCAGTTAATGGGAAAAGGAATGAAAAGTGGGATAAACAGCAACTAAGCCATCTGTCTGCCTGCCTTAGGGGCTCTGGAGCCCCTGAGGTGTGAGGCAGAGGAGGAAGTGGTCAGAGAAGACCTTCTGTTATCTTTACAGGACTCCACCCAGCCCCACCCGGCCCCACCCAACCCCGAGGGAGTGCTTGGATTCTTCCTGCACCTTGAGTCTGATGTGGTGTGCAACACACACTTGCTTCCCTGTCATTTGTGTGAGGTTTGCCATTTCATCTGGGCTACCCCATTCTGGGGTTGTGTTTCCTAAGAACTTTTACTTATATTTTACAGATCGATCTCTTTATTTGAAAGTCAAATAACAGGAGGTTGAGCCAGAGATCTTCTATCCTCTGGTCCACTCTCAAAATGGCTGCAGTGGTCAGGGCTGAACCAGGGAAAAGCCAGGTGCCTGGAACTTCATCGGGTTCTCCCACATGGGTGCAAGGACCCAAGGTCCTTGAGCCGTCTTTGCTTTCCCAGGCATAGCAGGGAGTTGGATCTGAAGTGGAGCAGCTGGGACTTGCCCGGGACCACATAGGGATGCTGGCACTCCAAGTGGCAGTTTTACCTGCCTTATGTACCCCACACTGCTGGTTTCTAGAGCTTTTATTTTTATTTACCAACATAGAACAAGCTCCCACCTGCTGGCTTGTTTCCAAAATTCCTGCAGCAGCCAAGATGAGGCCAAAGTGAATTGTCAAATTAAATGCAGGTCTTCACTGGGGTGGCTGGGACTGAGTGTTGGAGCATCACCACTGCCTCCCAGGATGTGCGCTCGCAGGGAGCCAGAATAGGGAGCAGAGTCAGGACTTGGGTATAAGATGCGAGCTTCTGCCTTTGATTTATTTATTTTTAATATGTTTTTATTTTCCTTAAAAGGCAGAGATAAAGACAGATGGACAGACAGGTAGATCTTCCAGCATCTTCCGGTTCACACTCCAAATGCCCATATCTGCCAGAACTGGGCCAGCTTGGAACCAGAAGCCCATAATTCAAACTGGATTTGCAAGATCAAGTGCCCTGAAGCACTGGAGCCATCAACGGCTACCTCCCAGGGTGCATTAGCGTCTCCTACCACCCAGTTCCGGCCCTTTACCAGCTCAGGTCCATCCTGTGGTCCAGGCCAGTTCACCTCTAGGGCACTTGGGGGGCTCCTCTTGGGGATCCCAGCAGCCCCAGGGTTTGCCCCTGCCCTGCAGCAAGAGATACTTCCAGCACCAAGGCTGCTGCCCTGTGCCCTCTGCAGCTCCATGTCCACTCTCTGTCCTGGCAGGTGCCTCTTCATTCCTTCCAGTGAAAGGTGGACGTGGAGGCTTGCTGTGATGAGTGGCTGGCAGCCTGGGAGGAGGAACAGAACAGTACCCGGGTGTGTGGTTCCTCCACAGCCACCTCTTCCTTGTCTCTCCCTGGATACCATCTGGCTCCCTCCCTGCTTTCCCAGGACATGTTCCTCCTGTTAGACCAGCCACATTGGGCCTTGGTTGTACAAAGATGTGGTATTCTTTCTTGGAATGCGTCCTCTCCTGCTGTTGCTGCAGGGACAGTGCTGCTGAGGGGCTGTCAGGATCCTGTGTATCTGTTTGATGTCTGCACCTGCCAGGGGTAGATTTCTGAGGCCGGGAGTGGCTTCTGTTCGGTGTTGGCAATGTGTGGCTTTAGCTCTGTGTTTGTCCTCCCCGCCCTAGTCTGTTCCTGGCTGACTAGTCTTAGGCGGTTCTTGTCAGGCAGGATGGAGAGACAGGAGCCAAGGAACCCAGCAGGAGACGGGGTGTTGAGCAGGAGCCCCTCTGGCTATGACACTGGGAAACTGTGAGGGGTGTGGGGAGGATTACTGGACCTTGCATCCATCACCCCAAAGTCACCCCCCAGGTCCTTTGTTGGAGCTGGACTAGCCGCAGTGTAGGCACTTGTCTGAAATGACATGTGGATGCCAAAAGTCAAAATTGGTTCAGAAAACAGTCAAGTTGCGTGCCATAAATGTACTCCATATCTGCTTGTCAGTTATATCCCACTAAAACGGACACGGGCTGGAAGACGGAACTTGGAAGGAGCCCAGGGTTGTAAAAGGGAGTAATTCAGCAGAGCTGTAGCTCAGGTCAACATTTTCTACCTCCTAGGATAAAGTATTTTGTTTATTTTTAAATTTTTAAAGCTGCATTTTTTTTTCATTTCAATTCGAAAGTAGTAAGAGATCTTCTGGCTGCTGGTTCTTTCCCTAAATACTTTCCTGGCACGTGGGATTCAGCCAGATGGAAGCCAGGAGCCCAGAACTCAATAAAGGTCACCCATGTGCGTGGCGGGGACCTAAGCACTTAAGCACTTGACCCAAGCACCTGCTGTTCCCCTAAAGTGTACATTATTAGCTGGAAGCTGGAATTTGAAACAGAGCTGGGACTTGAACCAGGCACTCCGGGATAGGAGGTAGCCATCCCAAACAGGGTCTTCACCGCTGTGCCAAATGCTTATCGCCAGAGTTTAGGCTCTATGTAAGTATATGAGGGAGGCTTTAAAATATTCATTAAAAATTCACCTTATCTTTTAATTAATTTTTCCATGAGCTTTTCTGAAGCCATTGCACCTGAGCTTAGGGCCTAAGGTGTGGTCAGATGTACCCGTGGATGATAGAAAGGCACCGTGTTAGAAGTAGTGCGTTTGTCTCTTGAGCTCCGTGTCATGTCTTTGTCAATGCCGGGGCCGTGCTCAGCGAGGAGTGCTGACTCCCTTCCTTCTGCCATTCTTCTGTACTTGCTCTCGTGGGAGTGTGTTGTAGTCGTGCTGGGACTCCAGCTGGGATCCCCCTCAATGTTTGGGCTGCTGAATAATTAGTGGACATCTTTGTACAGTGTAATTCTGGAGGCCCTTGGCTTGGCTGTGTTTTTGTTAAAAGTACCTTCAATTCCAATCTCCACACTCTGTTTCATCTGCAGGTTGCTTGTGGGAGCCCCACGGGCGGTAGCCCTGCCTCTGCAGAGAGCCAACAGAACCGGAGGTCTGTACAGCTGTGACATCACCTCCAGGGGACCTTGTACTCGCATTGAATTTGATAATGATGGTATGTTTTGTTTTTTCTGGGAGGGAGAGAGGGGTTGGTAGGAGCCTGGCACAAGTAGAAGGGAGGAATGGAGGAAGCTAGAAGAACAAAGGGAAAGATCAATCTTCCATCCACTGGCTTGCTCACCAAATGGCTGCAACCATCATAGCAGTACTAGGCTGGAGTGAAGTGCCTGAAACTCCATTCAGGTATCTTACGTGGCTGCCAGGAGCCCGGAAATTTGGGACATCTTCCACTGCTTCTCCCAGGCACATTAGCAAGGAGCTGGATTGCAAGTGGAGCAACCAGAACTCCAACCGTCACTTCTATGGGAACCGCTTCCCATGACACTGGCCCTGATGGTAGATGCTTCTACCCTCATATTCCCTTGGCCAGTCTACCTGTGCTCCCTTGCACCCCACTTGCCCTTTCTGTGGTGAAAGAAAAGGGATTCGAGCATTTATTCTTGCAGAAAAGGCCTCTTAGCTGCATCAGCTTTGGCTGCTAGGTATTGGCCTGGAAAATACTTTCTCAGCCATACTGGGTTGGAATGTTTTGCCAGGCTTCCTTGCAATGCTGCTTCTTAAACTTTCTGGTGTGTTAATACTGCCCCCTAGTGTTGCACTGAGCTTCTATAATGCTCTTAACTAAATTCATTGTCCTGTTGTATATTGTATCAAAACAGTTGAGAAAAGGCTGTAAATATCCCAAACTGCCTCCCTGCACCATGGATAAAGTTTGTTATCCTATCTCAGATAAAAATTTATTTTGTGAGGGTTCTGGGTAGCTGAGAGATGCCATGGTGTTATCCATGATCATGGCCGTGTTCAGTCTTATTCTAGTAGACAGAGTAGAACAGTTAGAAGCTTCACTTGAACCTAATTTGATATTTGAACTGGTTCATTTTTTGCACATTCTTATTTCTTCATCTTCTGAAAAACATTTATTGTTTGATTAGGAAAAATATGTTTTCTTTAACTTGCAAGCATCCATAGACTCATAAAAAAAAGAATAGGCAATGTAGAAAGCCCTTCTGGTGTTCCTGTTCACTTATTGTTTTGTAGCCTGTGGGAGGGGCTCACTGTGCATGTTCCCTGTGCTGCTTTCCACAGCTGACCCTTCCTCAGAAAGCAAGGAAGACCAGTGGATGGGAGTCACCGTGCAGAGTCAGGGGCCAGGCGGCAAAGTGGTGGTAAGTGTGGAGACACAGGTTCTTTCCCTGATGTTGGAGCACCTGTCATGTGCTGGCACCCGTGTGACTGTGGCAAACAAAACAGAGGCTCCGCCCATGGGGAATGTGCACTGCAGCCATGCTCACTGCTTTAAAGCAGGAAGTCATGCCAAGAAGAAAGCAAAGGGTTGTTTTGTCCTGTGACTTCTGATCCACTTTAAGAAGTTCATGAAGAAATGAGATTACGAGACAAGTTTATATTGGTGAACAGTTTGAAATCCATGTATACTTTTTATCAGGATCTCATGTTTCATAAACATTTAAGGGAAAGGTTGATTCATGAAAGTTAGACTCCCGCACACGGATCTTCCATCTGCTGCTTCACAGCCCAGGATTGCACCAGGCCAAAGCCAGGGGCCTTGGGTTATCTTCTGCTGTTTTTCCAGGTGTATTAGCAAGGAGCTGGAGCAGAAATAGGCCAGGCAAGAAGCAGCATGCATATGAGATGCTGGTATCACAATTGGTGGCTTAACCCACTGTGTCACACTGCTGACCCTGTGCGTGGGAAGAATATGGTACCCCAATTGGATATGCAGGCAGGATGGGATCTTAGCATACAGCCTGGTCCCTGCCTCACAGGTACATCCTGCGAAGGTGAGCATGTCAAATCAACAGTTAAACAGAGAGCATTACATTATGTTGCAAGAATTTCAGCCCACCAATGAACTCTGATTAGGTCGTGGCACTTGGCTATCCTGAATTCAGAGATCTCTTCCGGTGTCATCTAAGGGCTCCATCTCATAAGTCAGGAACTTGTCATCAGATGTTGCCCATGACTATGGCCTCCACATGGTCACTGTTACTTTGAGAAACAGTTGCAATATGGAAGAATACAGATGAGCCAAAATTGGAAAACGATAACAAGTGAAATCTCTCCTAGGCCAAAAGAAGCATATTCTTCTGCTCCCCAAAAAGCAAATGCTGACAGGACTGCCATTGCCTCGGGCATAACACCATCTGGCCTGGATACAAAGTGTTGGTGTGTCTTTCAGTGAACATTCCTGTGAAGGTGGATGTGTGAGCCAGCCGGAAGTGAAGGCTAGATGCCCTAGGAATTAGACATTTTAAAAAATGACTTTGTGGGGACGGAGCGGGATGTGCTGCTACTCCAACAGAAGAACTCACTAGGAGCTTTCCTGCCGATAATCTCTCCCTGAGAGAACCATGAGAGATGGGTAAAAGTGTCTGCCACAGAGCATGACAACTTTAACTTTTAAAAGCAAAGACTTGACCTACCTCTGCTGTTTTGAAGAGGAATATGAAGTTTTCTTTCGGCTTGCAAGAGTAGGAAGACTTGGCCTCGGCATGCGTGAGCAAAGAATATAATCAGGAGTTTCCTTCCAGGAGTAAGAGGGAAGGAGAGTGTGCGCAGCCCGTCTGGGTGGAAGAGCACAAATGAGAGCAAGTGTGTGTGTGCCCTGGCAGGAGGAGCAAAGACAGAGGCAGTCACTCGAGGTCCATGGCAGAAAGGAAGGCAAAAAACGGGAGTGGGCCTTCTGCGGGAAAGGCTTTTGTGAGCAGTTTTAACCCCTCATTTGCATAGATTTCAAAATTATATGAACTAAAATGAACCTGTTAATTATCCACGTACTTGGAGCTTTTCCATGAACTTGCCCTTGTACTTGAAAGCTGTCATACAGTCTTTTCTATATTCTATATATGTGATAAAATGTTTTTCTATAGCATTTATCAAAGAACTTTTTGATTTATTCCTAAAACTCGGGATGATCTTGACAAAAAAAGAAAAAAGAAACCAAAACAGATTAAATATGGCTTTTATCATAGGAACTTTGTAGCTTCTATAGCTGAATGAAAAAAAAGAGAATGATCTTGGAATGAGCGCTGGGTAATTAAAGTGCTCTTGTTATTTATCTGAGCTTCTTCACACAGAAGTAGTAGCAATGTCATAAAAGGTGGACATGTGGTGCCAAACGGTGGTGGGAGGACCTCTCACGGTGGAATGGGATGAGTTTCTGTCCATCAGAATCTGCTTGCTGTGATGATCTGCACCAAGTTTTAAGAAAAATGGAAATTTTAACAAACATTGACTTTTGGTATTTACAAGAGCCATTATGGGAAATGGACTATTGTAAGTCTTTTCAGCTTGTGTTCGGTGAGGGATAGTCGTGCAAACCCTTGTAGAAATTATAGAGATTATTTCATCTGTTATGGCAGTGTAATTCTCTCCCTTTGAAGAAGTGACTTAGGGAAATAACCTTGGAGCTCAGAGTATGAGTTAAGGCTGATCATAAGGAAATTGGGTGGGTACAAGGAGAATGTTTTCATTTCAGCTGGGTCTGCTTGATCCCTATTCGAATAAGTCCATGATTTCTGCCTTCCAGAATATAATGACTCACTTCCACTGATGTAGAGCTTTGGACAGCCACTAAAAGCCAATTAAGTTAAGAGAATAAAATAAGGAAATATCTTTCTTTGTGTATGTGACAGGTGAATTTGCAGATGAATTGCCTGCGGGTACAGAGTGGCCTTCAATATTTGGATTGGAGCATTGAGTGGGATGAGACCCCAGTCCTAGTTTCGGCGTCTGATAATGATCCCTTCAGTGCCACTTCAGGGAAGATTAGCCGGTTTGGGATCCGGTCCAGGATGAGGAGGTCGTTTTTTGAGCATGCTGTTTAGAATTGGCTCATTATCATGGACAGCTTTATCCATCCGTGATTTTAATTAAACAAGGCTTATAGAGGTGGGGTTACTTTGTTGCATCTGTTTGCAGACCTGTGCTCATCGATATGAAAAGAGGCAGCACGTTAACACAAAGCAGGAATCGCGAGACATCTTCGGGAGGTGTTACGTCCTGAGTCAGAACCTCAGGATCGAGGATGATATGGACGGAGGAGACTGGAGCTTCTGTGATGGCCGACTGAGGGGCCATGAAAAGTTTGGTTCGTGCCAGCAAGGTGTAGCAGCTACTTTCACTAAAGACTTTCATTACATTGTATTTGGCGCCCCAGGAACTTACAACTGGAAAGGTACGATGTCATTTGTATTTATAGAAATGGGGAGGTTAGAAGGTGTGTGGCATTGCTGTTGTATGTCTTAGTATGTTTTAAGGTAAAATGAGTTGTAAGGTAGGTTTAGTTGAAAGTGGGTAGAGAGTTCAAATTTCTAAACGATGTGATTTTTAAGAACAAATAGTGAGTGCAGTGGATGTTTCTGTTTTGAGAACTGTACCTTGTTAGTGTGGACAGGTGACTTGTTCTGGCAGGACTGTACTAACTGGCAGGAGTCGTCTTTGCTTTTATCTGCATCTGTTTCATGAAGCCAGTTTTCACTTGAGTGTGAAAACATCTGCAGACAGGCTCCAGAATCTTCTGCAGAGTGCGTTGATGTGGCCATTTTGTGCATTATCTTAGAAGCCCAGTTTTTGCTCATCAAGCAGGTAATGGACCGACTGGGGGACTTCAGGGATGCTCATTTCAGGTGATTTGAGGAAAAGTTGATTCATGGCATTTTAAAAGGTGACTGATGTGGGTGAATGGACACGTTAGGAGGAAGGTGACCTGCACTCTCCGACCGGATGGATGCTCCTGCGAGTCCTTCTTGTATCTGAAGAAACTCAGCAAGTTTGGAACACTGTGCTAGATCACAAAGGGCGATCAGTCAAGTCTGTGCTGTGATGAACAGAAAAGCATCTGATTTGGAAATAAGATCTTTATTGCTGATTGAGAAATTTTGAAATAAATCCTATAACATTTATGTGAGTCAGGGAGAACCCCAGATTTTGGTTAATGAAAAGGGGAAATTTTTTCTCAGTGTTAATTTCCCTTGGCAGCAGTTCTTGGCAACACACCTTTCCCTGCTTGATGACCATGGTGACCACCACCAGGAATAAATTTCTTTCTAGTCCACTCCACCCCCATAGAGATGAGACTCAGGTTGTTTTGACCTAATCGAACCAACAATGAATTCAGAGATTGTTTTATTGTAACAAGCAGAAATGCCAAGCAGAGTATAAATACCACTCAGTGTTAATGCTGGCTGTAACTCATAGAGAGCTGTGTCTTATCTACTTATATATCCTAAGCCACGTTACCATTGTAAAAAGAATCTTATCTTTGTAATTATTAATTATAAGATCTTTAACAAGAAAATTTGGTATAAATTATGTAAATAAAAATATGCTAATTTAAAAAAAAATGGGATTCCTCCACTCCCCAGTTCCCACCCCCCAACTGATTTTCCCCATATTGTTACAGTAGTCCTTCTAAGGAGTTGTAATTCCATCAGTCTGTTATTTAAAACTCTGCAGAATTGTATTTAAATTGTTATTTAAAAGGCAGAGAGACCAGAGAAGGATCTTCCATCCACTGGTTCAGTTCCCAAATGCCTGCAACAGCTGAAGCTGAGAGCCCTGAACGCCTTCAGGTCTTTGACATGGGTAGTAACAGGTTCCCAAGTACCTGAGCTGTGACTTGTGCCTGCCTCCCCAGTCTGCATTAACAGGAAGCTGGTCTATAAAGCAGGGCTGGAACTTGAACTGAGCGCTGCATTGTGGGAGGCAGGCATCCCCAGCAGCAGTTTTATTGCTGCACCAAACACCCACCTCAATGTGGTCATTTCAGTTCTGTACCGCAGGAAAGGCAACATTGATCCAGGACTACAGAAAACATCAAATCTAGGAGTATAGGGCCCAGCACAAAAGCTCAGTGGCTCTTGAGCTTGCAAGCACCTGGATCTCATATGGTCCCTGGTTTATGTCTTAGATGCTCCATTTCCCATCCAGCTCCCTGCTTGTGGCCTGAGAAAGCAGTATAGGATGGCTCAAAGCCTTGGGATCTTGTGTCCGAATGTGAGACCCAGAAGAAGTTCCTACCTCCTGGCTTCAGATTGGCTCAGCTCTGGCCATTGCACCCATTTGGGGAGTGAACAAGTGGATGGAAGATCTTTCTGTCTCTCCCTTCTATAAATCTGATCTACTTTAAAAAAATGTTAAAACTTAAGCTTATAATGAACTCATGTCATTTGTCATTAAAAACTAGTTTTCTGTAGATTTTTGTCTGCTAGGCATTTCATTTTCCATGACATTATAAAGATGGTTCCTGAAAATGCATGTTTTTTTAATTATAAGAATAACTTTGTTTCACATAAAAATTTGCATGAACATGTTTCATCACCTGAAAATTTTCTCTTAAGTCTTTTCTTCCGCTCACCTCTCCTCCTGAGTTCAGTGATAACATTGTAGGAGGGTGTTTATCAGGAACCATTTATTTTATTTTGTTTCATCTTCACTTTTTTTTCTTCTTGTTGTTTGTGCCATTTCATTCCTTTAGGCATTGTTCGTGTAGAGCAAAAGAATAATACTTTTTTTGACATGAACATCTTTGAAGATGGGCCTTATGAAGTTGGTGGCGAGACTGACCATGATGAAAGTCTGGTTCCTGTCCCTGCTAACAGTTACTTAGGTACGAACGAGCACAGACCGCTCTCCCAGTGCTGAAGTCCCTTTGGGTGGCTGCCCGCCTCCTTCCGTGCTCACAGGCCCCTGGACGTCAAGGCTGAGAAGAAGCCAGGGCAGGGACGCCAGGGGCCTGTGGCTGCACCTGTTGGACCTTGATGAGCCTTAGAGATTGCCTGGGACCCCATCCAAGGCGAAGCAATCTGCTGTTGCCTAGAACCATCCGCAGTCTTACTTGGAAGTCCATGGGCAGCTGAGAGGACCATCCATACAGCCATGATTTGCGGGTGGCTGTGCTGTCTACCCTCTCCAAGTGTGCCTCTTCCCTTGTGCTATTCTTAACAGCTCCATTTATGAAGTTATGCTTGGTGACCGGACAGGACCTCTAGGTCCTCCCTCTTCCTTTGCCATCCTCCATGGGGTGGCCCTGCTGCTGGCCGAGGGCGCGTGCCTGGTGGCTGAGGCTGAGCCAGTTTGCTCATGTGGCTTGGGGGGACACCCAGATTGTGTCTAAGTGCCAATTCTTTAACTCCAGAGGCTTGTTTGCATTACTAATAGGGTCCTAAATTATTCATGTGCATTATGGTAATTACACAAAGGCTTTTAAAAGCTTTAATTCTTGGTATGAGTTGACATAAAGAATAATTACTGTGCATTTCTTGGAAAATTGTAAAAAAAATCTTCTAAAGCTAAATAGTAGCCTGTTTTTTTTTTTTTTAAAGCAAGGAGAAAGACATCCATACATGAGCGATATTACTGGAATAATGGCGAGTAAAAGAGGAAAAAATAGTTATGTATGTGTGACTAATTCCAAACAATGGGCTAGTAGTAAACACATACTAAGAAGTTGTTCAAATTGTATAAATATCCATAACTCTTCATTTTAAAAAATTCCATTGATAAAACTTGTTCATATACCCTCATCTCTCCAAAAATAAAAATACAGCTTGAGAGTATAGGAAAAAAAAAATTAGATTGATTCTTGTTGTCACACCTGCTGTGTGCTCTAAGTCAGGGACTGTGTAGTCAGTCCTCTTTGTATTTGCAAGACTAAAAATACTGTTAGTGTTCTTTTTTGTAAAAAGCTGATGCTTATCACTGCGACTTGGCAGCTTTATTTCCTAGTCCAGGATGACACCATTAGCAATCCTGCAGGCAAGGATAGAAATGCTTGTGGGCCTGCTAAGGTGAGGGGGAGTGGTGGGCTGTGTGAGGGGTGCGGTAACAGGCTTGCTGGGCCTTGCAGGCCATGAAGGGGCGTGCAGGGGAGTGCTCCTAGTCTCCAACGTTTAACCTGAGCTTTCTGAGTAAGCATGAGCAAGAAACCAGTGTTGGAATATATGTTCATCGACCTCTCTCTTTCCTTCAAAGTGTTATTTAGCGATCACATGTGAGGATTAGTATATAATTGTTCTGGTTAAGAAACCAACACTTAGCTCTCTCAGATGGATGCCTGTGGATTTTATGAGCATAGTTGCCATTGGCATATGTGAAAATACCAAGTGTTTTTAGTTTCGCTACTTTGAGAATGAATTTCCATGAAAAGTAGACATAGAAGAAAGAAATCCACTTTGTTGTGTGCCAGTGTGCCTGGCTGTGCTGTGTGTGAGGCTGTCATTTCCAGGGAACAGTGGGTCTGGGGTGGATGAGATCAGCCGCCTGAAGGATGGCAGTGAGCAGAGCAGCCCGCCGTTGGCGCTTGCGGCCTCGGCATCCTCCCGGAGAGCACGGCTGCTGGGCTTCTCACCAAGCGTAATTATTTTTTCTCCCATCTCTTCCATCCTGTGCATGCGTGCAGGCCTGCTGTTTCTGACCAGCGTTTCCTCTACCGATCCTGATCAGTTTGTTTATAAAACACGGCCTCCCAGGAAGCAACCTGACACATCCCCTGATGTGATGATGAATAGCTACCTAGGTTTGTGACCTCTGAGGTGACAAATAAATAGTCTTGGTCATGGTCATTTAGAAAAAACTTTTTTGATCCATACAGAGCATAAATCTTTTTATTTTCTGTTTCATTTCAAGTGAAGCATGCACAGAAGGCATGCCAGGGTGGAGGCCCTGCCGCCAGATGGGTGGCAAAGCTGCCGTCGGCTGCCTCGCCCTGCTCTGAATGCGTGGCTCATCTGATTTCTCAGCTCGCTTCACAGGCTGAGAACTGCAACAGTAGCGGTGATACTTTCCAAACCTAAAGCACCCAGGGAAAGTGGGTGAGCCCCTGTGTTTGGCATTTGCCCTGCCTTTCTGTGGGAAGACATTACTTAACCAATTTTGAGAAGGGGATTTCATTTGCTTCCCACCAAGCCTCAGGTTCTGAAATCTGGCTGGCTAACTGGGTGCTCCTAACATCTTCTGCTGTCTCAACAAGGATGTGGTTGGTCTCAGCCACAGCTTGAGTCACCTCTATTGTTTGTACCAGGTTCTCAGTCACCATGTGTCCTCAGCCATAGTGTGGTGTGCATGTTCGTGTCGCAAAGTTCATCCAAAATCATGAGGTGCCATTCATGGTGATATTGATGATGTTAGCATTTGTGCTTGCCTGATTACCCAATAGACCAAGGAACAAGGGAGTCATTGATGTAAAAACTCTGCTCATTCCATTGTAGCAAAGCACTGTGGCAGACACACCACTGTGCAGCACGGCCAGCTTGTCTTCTCCCTAGCTGTGATGTCATGCCCCCAAGATAATTCAGTATCTAGCCTGACCCTTCTTTACTGTTGTTTTAGTAACAAAATGGGGTCTGAATTGATTCTTAAAATGTACGATTCATAATTCAAATCATACATGCTCAGCAGCATAGACAGAAATTCAGCATCATAACATCTGTAGAAAGCAAGGAAGGAGCCCCACAGTAACTCTGACTTTGTGTCAACGTTCTTAGCTGTGGGTGAAAGAAGAGGGAATGATGGAGTTACGATATGGGACTTCGTGAACTATAGGACCTATGTAAAAGGCTGTATTTTCTTTTCTAGGTTTTTCTTTGGACTCAGGGAAAGCTATTGTTTCCAAAGATGAGCTTACTTTTGTATCTGGAGCTCCAAGAGCCAATCACAGTGGAGCTGTGGTTTTGCTGAAAAGAGATATGAAGTCTGCACACCTCCTCCCTGAGTACATATTTGATGGGGAAGGGCTGGCTTCTTCATTTGGCTATGACGTGGCTGTGGTGGACCTCAACAAGGATGGGTAAGAATGCTGGAGTGGATTTGACTAAGGATTGGTATGGCTTTGACCGGCTGCTATAGGGCTCAACATGGGCCATCTCGTGAGGTTGGGGGTTCCCAGAGTATATTGGTTATATATGAATATATCTATATATAAAACATCTCCATGGTTTGTGTGATACCCTCCTTAGAATGTGAGACTACATTGGTTTTATTTTTAAAGATTTATTTCCTTATTTAAAAGCCACAGTTTACAGAGGGGGAATGGTGTGACGGAGAGATACATCTTCCATTTACTGGTTCACTCCCCAAATGCCTGCAACATTCAGAGTTGGACCATTGTGAAACCAGAAGCTAAAAACTCAGTTCAGCTCTCTCATGTGAGTGTCAGGGACCCAAGTAATGGAGTCCTTTAACTGCTCAATAGCAGGCAGCTGGAGTTGGAAGTGGAGTTGACACTCAAACCTGTGTACTCCAATACAGGAAATAAGCATCCCACGTGGCACCTTCACCACTGTGCCAAATGCCTGCTCCTGGTCTTTGGTTTCTTAAGGGGCTGCTGGAGCACCAGAAATGTCCTGTTGACCATAAGGATTGGTGACCAGGTCAGAATGTATTTCTGTGGCCGCTGGTGCCAGATGAGGTAGATTAGAGTGAGGGATCTTCACTGGGGGTCCTGCCGCACAGTGGTTTCAGCTTGAGGAGTTGACTTTGGGTTCTTACTCTCAATCTTTTCCTTGGGATATTTATTACAGGCTACCTTGATTTTGTTTTGTTTTGTTTTGTTTTTTGTCTTTTCTCTATCTGTTTGTGTCCTTAATACCTGAGCTGGGGTGTATTCTCCCTTAGCTTGCTGGCATTTTTAGCAGATGATTCACAGGTTGTCCTTTTGTTGGATCTTCAGGTGGCAAGATATAGTCATTGGTGCTCCACAGTATTTTGACAGAGATGGAGAGGTTGGAGGAGCAGTGTATGTCTACATTAACCAGCAAGGCAGATGGAATAACGTCAAGCCAATTCGTCTTAATGGGACCAAAGACTCTATGTTTGGCATTGCAGTCAAAAATATTGGAGATATTAATCAAGATGGCTACCCAGGTAGGTAAAATGGTCGTGGCTTCCAGATGGGATTTTTGGTTGTTACAGTAATGAGTGCTTCCCGTTGTCTTTTAAAAAAAACATTGGAATAGTTTCAAAATGTAACGTTTATGAAACTGTGCTGTTTCAACAGATATTGCAGTTGGAGCTCCCTATGATGATATGGGGAAAGTTTTTATCTATCACGGGTCTGCAAGTGGAATAAATACCAAGCCAACGCAGGTAACCCATCACCTTGTGTCTATAACTTGTCTTAGCTTTAAAGCCTTGTAATAGGATATTTATATTTAAGTGAATTTTCTTACTAATGTTTTATTTGTAAGCCTCCAAGTATGAATTTTGCTTTTATAAAAAAAAACATATTGCTGGAAAACAACTTTGAAGCAGATGTTTAATTGCACTGAGTTGCTTGTGTTAATTGCAAAATCTCTTGGATAAATGAGAAATCAAAAAAAATTGAAGGACAAGTTTGTCTTACCCTGAAAGGGTATATGTGGGTAATTCCAAAAGCTCATGGAAAACAAGATTTTCAAAGGTAACTTGATTTTAGTGCATAAAGACCCAGCCTTTCCTTTTTATTATTTTTATTTTTGTTGATTTTTATGTAGTTGATCAGGGTGGGAAGGATCGAAGGTTAGGGAGAAAGTGAGAGCGTTGCTTTCACTTTTTCTTCCTCCGTATCTGGGGAGGATAAGGGGAGAAGCCACACTCAGCCTCCCAAATGCCTCAGCACCCAAGGGTGGGAATGGCCACCTGATATCAACCCAGGGTTCCCAGTGTGGAGCTTGCTCCAAACATTCTGCCTAAGTGGTTTTGATAGTTCTGAAATGCTGTCAATCTCACTGATCCAGGGATGAGAAAATCCTTCCAAGTTCCATTGGTTGTCATAGCCCACCTTAGGTTCTCCATAGTCAACACTTGGCTGGGGTAGTTGTCCAGTTTGTTCTGCCCTCCTTCTTTTGCTGTGGTACCAGGTGTCCTCCACACACTCCACAGTGGACTGCCATATTTTCCATGTGTATCTTGGCATGCCGTCCAGTGTTATCTAGATCACTGAGGAGGCACAGTTCTGACACGTGCACTCTACAGTCAGTCTACACATCCTGCCATTCTCCCCATGGCTGGAATTTTGAATCCAGCAGTTCAGTTGGGGGGAAATATGCCAAGAGACCTTATTTGAGGTGGTGCCAGACCTGACCCTTGTATGTGCTTGGCAGTATGGTGTCTGTCACAGTCTGTCACCCACATCAAACCTGCACATATACTGTTAGTTGCCATTGCTGAGTCAGTTCTGCCTTCAGCTCCATCTCTTATGCAAACGAATGGGTGCTGTGGCCCAGACCAACCCAGCTTGTACTCAACCCCAGTACCCATAAGTGTTGGAGGGTTCTATATGACTCAGCCTTTCTAATTTGAAGGTAAGGATGGAATGTACTGCCTTCAAGATTGTTTAACTGGAGCTGTATATGGAGAGATCCCATGTGTTCTAGGTGGATAATCCATGAACTTTCGCAAGTCCCCTCATCTTTGCCTTAGTAGTGTAGTAAGCAGAGATGCTAAAAGGGAACTTGTGTGTCTTCCTCAAAACAGACAAGAGGCTCATTTTGGTATCTCTGTGCCCATTCTGATGCATTGTTTGTTTCAGATTCTTGAGGGTACATCACCTTATTTTGGATATTCGATTGCTGGAAATATGGACCTTGATAGAAATTCCTACCCTGATGTTGCTGTTGGTTCCCTCTCAGATACTGTTACTATTTTCAGGTGCGTTGTTTCTGCCTTATGCATGTGCAGTTATCAGATTACCTTGATATTTTGACCTTTTGGATTGAAACTTGTAACATCTGCATTTCAAAGGCCAAGGCATAGTTATTTTGAAGACACTCATTTTCTTTTGAGGATAATATTACAGTGTAAAACACATGTTTTAAACACTGCTTAACTTTTTCCTTGAGAGACAGTGAGATCCTCTGTTTCCTTGTTCGCTTCCAAAATGCCCACAAGAGCTGGGGCTAGTCCACATGGAAGCCAGCAGCTTGCAACTCAGGCTGAGTACCTCACATGGGTGGCAACGACCCAAGGACTTGAGCCATCATCATGTGTTGCTCCCCTGGGTGTGCATTATCAGGATTCTGGATTGAAAGCAGAGTAGCCAACACCTGAATCAGGCGCTTGCTTGGAGCCACATACGGGGTGTGGGTATCACACGCTGTCATTTAACTGCTGTGCCACATACCTGCCCTGGGTGATTTTTTTCTTACCTGCCTTTGTAGCCATTTTGTAAAGAATATGTTAAATAAATTAACAGTTATATAAGCAACATGTAGGAAACTATTTCCCATGAGTGCTTGACACCGTCATGGCCCTGTAGTCTTCCAGAACACTTCTGGAGAGATTATTTATTATGTGATAGTAAGTGATGAAAGTCACACACATAAAAGAACAGTTGTTGAAGGGACAAAATCCATGAAAGCCATCCCATTTTAAAAACAAACAGAAAAAACAAAACTACAGGGATATGGACGGGATCTGAGGAAGCACCGAAGTGGATGAGCCCATGTCTGTGACATGGAGAGGAAGGGAGGGACGAGCTCAGGAAAGTGTGGATGCTGCCTCATGCTCGTGTCCTGGGCTGTTGCTATGCTGTGTGTACTTCTGACGGTGAGCTGTCAGGTGGTTATAAAACACTGTCTTTACATGCGTGTGTCTCTGCTGACAGAGTCGTCAACTTTAATGCAATTGAACATTTTTAAAAGGTGGAGGAGAGTAGAACAGTAGCAGGAGTGTCCATCAAAAAGCAATTGGCAGTTATAGTTCTAGTTTGAGACCTAACCTGCGACTATTAAAAACTTTGACTTCCTATTCTGAAATCTGGTTACCCAAGTTTCTCTTCAGTAGATGACTGGCCTGTTTTTTGTTTTGTTTTGTTTGTTTTTGTTTTAAAAGATTTATTTTATTTGAAAAGCAGAGATAGAGAAGGGACAGGAGGGAGAGATTAAGGTTGAGATCTTTCATCTGCTGGTTCACTCCCCAAGTATCCACCATGACTGGGCCTGGCTGAAGTCAGGAAGGAGCCTGGAATTTCTCTCGAGTCTCCTACCGGAGCAGCAGGGATCCAAGTACTTGGATCGTCTTCCACTGCTTTCCCAGACAGATTGACAGGAAGCTGGATTAGAATTGGAATATGTTGGGATATGAACTGATCCCCATATGGGATGCCAGTATTACTGATAGAGGCTTTAACTGCTGTGCCCCAATGCCAGCCCATATGACCTGTCTTCAACCAGTTGAATGTGTGTCCATGTGTAATTGATATTTTGATATCCTCTGTTGATAGTGCCTTTATTTCCTCTTGTAATAAGTGGGTAAACTGTGAACCCAGTAAACTTGTTCCTGCTTTCCTCACAGATATTACAAAAGTGAATTTCAACATGCTTTGATAACAAGAGGAGAATGTGTCTCCACATCTTAAAGCTGAGGAAACTGGTGTGGGCTTAGCTGGGCTTTCAGGCTGGGTTTGGTGAGAACAAGATGCAGGACCCAAACCTGCCCACTTCAAACCTGGACATTTCTCCCACAAAATCCTCCTAGAACTGCAGGACACTTATTGGACAAACAGCAGTTAAATGTGAGGCGGGGAAGACTGTAAGATTGGCTCTATGTGTTAACAACACTTTTTTTCATGATTCGCATATTCTATATGCTAAAAATTTTGTGTTTACAAAATAAGGTAGACAGAAGTGTTAAATGGAATTCATGACACTCACTAAAGCATTGATGCTATGGTACATGAAATACTGCATCTGTAACAACTGATTATAAAACACTTGTAAGACGGGGCATTGTGGTACGGCAGGTTAGGCCATGGCTTGGGCTGTGGCATGAGTGCCAGTTCAAGTCTCAGCTACTGCATTTCTTAAAGATTTATTTTTATTTCATTTTTATTGGAAAGGCGGATATACAGAGAGAGACAGAGAGGAAGATCTTTCATCCAATGATTCACTCCCCAAGTGAGTGCAACGGGCCGATACTATGCCGATCCAGAGCCAGGAGCCTCTTCTGGGTCTCCCACACGGGTGCAGGGTCCCAAAGCTTTGAGCCGTCCTTGACTTTTCCTGGGCCACAGGCAGGGAGCTGGAAAGGAAGCGGGGCTGCCGGGATTAGAACCGGCGCCCATATGGGATCCCGGGCGTGCAAGGCGAGGACCTTAACCACTTGCGCCACCGCACCGGGCCCAGCTACTGCATTTCTGATTGAGCTCCCTGTTAACCAGCCTGGGAAGCAGCAGATGGAGTTCGTGTACATATAGTTCCTAGCTCCTACATGGCAGACCTGGTTGGAGTTTCTGGATCCTGGCTTCACCCTGGTCCAGCGCCAGCAGTTGAGGCTATTTGGGGAGTGAGCCAGCAGATGAAGCATCTCTTTTTCTCTACGTTTCAAACAAATTTAAAAAAAAAATTTTTTTAAAGATCCTACTGAATGGCAAATACATGCATGCTCTCAAAACTCAAGTATCGGGCCCGGCGCGGTGGCGCAAGTGGTTAAAGGTCCTCGCCTTGCACGCCCGGGATCCCATATGGGCGCCGGTTCTAATCCCGGCAGCCCCGCTTCCCTTCCAGCTCCCTGCCTGTGGCCTGGGAAAGCAGTCGAGGACAGCCCAAAGCTTTGGGAACCTGCACCCGCGTGGGAGACCCGGAAGAGGCTCCTGGCTTCGGATCGGCATAGTATCGGCCCGTTGCGCTCACTTGGGGAGTGAATCATCAGACGGAAGATCTTCCTCTCTGTCTCTCCTCTCTGTATATCCGCCTTTCCAATAAAAAATAATAAAAATAAATCTTTAAAAAAAAAAAAACTCAAGTATCTGCAAAGGATCTTAAGAATGTTTTGTAAAGTGCTTATGAATAAACTATGTGTAGAGTTTAAGATCGTGCACCAACACATGCTTTTAATTTTGCGTGCAAGTTCATTTCCCATGAACTTTCGAACTAACCTTGTATGTAGTTGGTATCTTTGGAAGTGGCAACTTGTTAACTATAACGCCAAAGTAGAAAGATAAGCAGTGGAGGTGGGGGAACATGGAGAGCTGTGCCATTTACCACAAAGAAACTTGTGGCCTGTAGCTTACGACCACATCTATTTTGCAAGTTTGGGCTAGTTGTTTGGCATTTGCAGTGCATTTTCCTATAATAACACTATTCTCCCACATGGTTGGGCTTCCCCCAGACCTCCCAAAGGCAGCCTAACTGAATCTGCATGGTAGCCATTGCCCCCATTCTGAATTCTGACCTGGGAGTGCTGCAGCTAAGAGGTGAGAGATCTCCCCAGCCCGCCCTCACCTCCCCACCTGCACACTAGCACAGGTCAGGCTGTGAGCCCCCTGCCAGCCTTTGGCTACAGAATCCAGGGAGAATTCTTCAAGGAGAGAAAAGGGGTTTTTGCGGAATAAGCAAGGCTAAAGGTGTGAGATTCCTGCTGCTTGAATATGTGTAGAATTGGGGTAGCCAGAGCATGGGTGGCAAAGGTTAAAGGGTTGAAGTTTTAGATATATTGTGAGGATGGAAAACCTGTAGTAGATTCTGGTGCAGGGAGACAAAGATTTTTACTGGGGGAAGGGAGGTTGCCTGGGACTGTCCGTAGTGCTATTGTTCACATACATGTAGACACCCTGACAGTGAACATCCCAGGAGTAAGGTTTGTTTTGGGTGTAACTCTTTTGGAGTATATTTTGGCAAGATTACTCTTATTTTTAAAATACATGAATTGTTTGGCTCAGAAATGCTGTTAAGAATTTATCCTACCTGAAGTGTGTACATACATGTAGATGGAGGTAGTTGTCAGAGCAGAAATTCCAGCATGAATTTGCTCATTCAAGGGTTGGTGAAATAAAGGATGCTCCACTGATAATACTGCAGCATCACCTGCCACAAAACACGCTAGATCTGTGTCCATAGATAGGAGAGGACCTCTGAAATACTGATCCGCGGGCCCAGTGCAATAGCATAGCGGTTAAAGTCCTCGCCTTGAATGCGCCAGGATCCCATATGGGCGCCGGTTAGTGTGGCTCAACAGGTTAATTCACTTCCTGCTAGCACTGGCATTCCATATGGTTGCTGGCTCCTGTCTAGACTGCTCAACTTCTGATTAAGTTCCCTGTGTGTGGCCGGGGAAAGCAGTGGAGGATAACTCAAGTCCTTGGGCCACTCATGTGGAAGACCCAGAGGCTCCTGGCTTTAGATTGGCTCAGCTCCAGCCATTATAGCCATCTGGGGAGTCAGCCAGCAGTTGGAAGATTTTTCTTTGTCACGTCTCTCTGTTAATCTACCTTTTGAATAAAAATAAATGAACCTTTAAAACCACACACATGGGGCCCGGCGCGGTGGCGCAAGTGGTTTAGGTCCTCACCTTGAACGCCCGGGATCCCATATGGGCACTGGTTCTATCCCAGCAGCCCCGCTTCCCTTCCAGCTCCCTGCCTGTGGCCCGGGAAAGCAGTCGAGGACAGGCCAAAGCTTTGGGACCCTGCACCCGCGTGGGAGACCCGGAAGAGGCTCCTGGCTTTGGATCGGCATAGTATCGGCCGTTGCACTCACTTGGGGAGTGAATCATTGGATGGAAGATCTTCCTCTCTGTCTCTCCTCTCTGTATATCCGCCTTTCAAATAATAAAAATAAATCTTTAAAAAAAAAACCACACACATGCATACACATACAAGTTTTACATACATGTAAAATGTACATGCTCCACATCTTACTCTGTAAATTTATAATTAATTGAGCCTGGCACCATGGCCTAGTGGCTAATGTCCTCACCTTGCATGTGCTAGGATCCCATATGGGTACTGGTTCATGTCCTGGTAGCTCCACTTCCCATCCAGCTCCCTGCTTGTGGCCTGGGAAAGCAGTTGAGAACAGCCCAAATCCTTGGTACCCTGCACCCTGTGGGAGACCTAGAAGAAGCTCCTGGCTCCTGGTTTTGGATCAGCTTAGCTCTGGCTGTTGTGGCCACTTGTGGAGTCAATCAGTGGGCGAAAGATCTTCCTCTCTGTTTCTCCTCCTCTGTATATCTGCCTTTCCAATAAAAATAAATAAATATTTTTTCAAAATTATAATTGAGTAAGCACAGTACAGTTCTGAATGAATCTTGTCTACTTCTGTACGTGTCTATGCATTAACAGCTACTCACTTTAGCCGTGATAGAGATGGAGGCAGATCACACAGGTATGGCTCTGCTGCCCCACCTGTGGTTTTGAAGATGTCGGATGCAGCAACGGCCGAGTCTCTGGTAGGAAAGTGTCTCCCATCCTAGGTAACAAAAGGCTGAGTTTCCTTCTACTCCTTTGTTTTCAGATCTCGGCCAGTGATTAATATTCAGAAAACTGTCACCGTGACTCCTAGCAGGATTGACCTTCGCCAGAAGATGTCAGCATCGTGTGGGGCGCCCAGCGGGATATGGTGAGGGTTGCTATGTGTCCCTGGTACCTCCTCTGCCACTGGGATGACTGTGGCCCAGGGGGAAGATGGGAGTTGGGGTGCTGGGCCCAGGGTGGGGAATCTGCCCTGCACATACAGAACATCTTCCTCATCCACGGACAGTGGGCATATCTCATGGTCAGGGAATGTATCTGTTTTTTTCATTGCAAGAAAATATCTTTTAAGAAATACACATTTGATTTTTCTTACAGCCTCAAGGTTAAAGCCTGTTTTGAGTACACTGCCAAGCCCACCAGTTATAATCCATCCATAAGTAAGTACTTTTAGAAAGATCCTTTTTCCCCCCTCTCTGCCAGGTTGTAAGTGATCCATAAATCAGAAAAATGAAACTGCAGTGGCCCAAAACAGGCCCATCAGTTCTTGTCTGAGGAGTTGAGCACATGTGTTGTCTGCTGGCCACTGTTCTTGGCTGAGGGATTTTAACTTATGCTGTAGCTCCCTCAGGTGGCCTGATGAAAATTCAGCTTTAAAAAAAAATTAGCAATAGGAAGGAAAGGGCAATATACTTGGGAAAACATCACTAGATGGTGAAATACGTATTGCCAAAAATAGGAAGAGGAACAAAGACAGCAGGGATATCTGTTGCTCTATGGGCAGTTAAAATATTGAAAAGGAGCTCAACATGCTTGTATTCGTGTGCAAGCATTATGCTTTCAGTTAATGTGATTTTGGTCATTTTGTGCAGCAATTGTGGGCACACTTGAAGCTGAAAAAGAGAGAAGAAAACTGGGGCTGTCCTCACGAGTTCAGTTTCGAAACCCAGGCTCTGAGCCCAAATACACTCAAGAACTGACCTTAAACAGACAGAAGCAGAGAATGTGCATGGAGGAGACCCTGTGGCTGCAGGTGAGGCTGCGCCGTCACCGGACTTGGGCTGGTGGTGACCCGTAAAGATGGCTGAAGAGTATTTGAATGTTGCATTAGTCGATACCAAAACATTGTCCCAGATCTCCCCTGTTGCATTTCACACCATGCTTAACTGTCCCTGTATGCTTCCCAGGATAATATTCGAGATAAACTGCGCCCCATCCCGATCACGGCCTCCGTGGAGATACAGGAGCCGAGCTCTCGTAGGCGAGTGAATTCACTTCCAGAAGTCCTTCCCATTCTGAATTCCAACGAACCCAAGATGGTCCAAACAGATGTAAGTGTGACTTTTGTTTTCTGCAGTTTTTGCCATGTTCTGATGGCTAATTCAGATATCTGTGAAGGCAGTAGAATTAGTGATGGGCTGAAAAGGCCATTTCTTTGGATTAACAGATTCTTCCAAATTAGCAATGAAAATTGAAACATACAATATGGAGGCAGAGAGTATTTTCCCTCATAATTTTTTTTATCAGAATAACTGATTGAGGCTATAACTGCCAGAGCTTATATATTGTCATATCTTTCTCCTGTGGCAAAATCTGTGCATGGATTTCAGTTGTTTTTCTACCAAAATTAAGTTACCTTTTGATTCAATTTTTCAATGAAGTTTTTGAAGTACCCTCAAATTTTAGCATTGGAATGTTAAAAATACAAGGCAAATCACTGTGACAATGTTAAAAGCAAGGAGTGTGAAAACACAGCAGCACTAAACAATACGATTAGCAGTGAAAAAGCCATTGACTGTTGGATGTAGCACTACATTGTCTTAGCAAGAACTGTTTATGTTTTGTGGTTCACTGGACCCCACATATGAATGAGAGTTCTGTTTGGTAGGGTTTAGGATGTTTCTGATGTAGCAGCTTGGTCTGGCATTATGTACTTGTTGTGCAAAACCTTCTCAGAGGCTCCTGGTACTGCTGGCTCTTTATAGAGCTTCGAGGAAGTGAGTACTTGCTGCCATTCAGTTCAGGAGCTGATGCCCAACTCTACTGCGTCAATTGCTTTTGCCACCAAATACAGATCTTTCTATTTTTGTATGCTTTGGTGTTCCTGAAATGTTCTCATGTTGTTAGTTGTGGTGTAAATTGCCAGCTCCAAAGTTATGTTAAATGTAACAGACACAGAGAAGGTCTCCCTAATTGTCCAGTGTGATGCAGCACTGTGCCAATGCCTCTGTGCTGACAGCTTTCCTGATCTTTGACCTTCCGCATGCTCCCTGTCTTCTCAGCTGTAGAGTGGGCTCCAAAGAACCCTCCTGATGATGGGTCTGTTTGGGGATTCCATGGGTCCACGTATGTAAATAATTTGTGAGCAGTATCATTATTACTGATCATTCTTAGAGTAGCCCTGTAAAGTAGGATGGTGAGATACCATTTGCATAGACATAGACTCTGAAAGATCAGATGACTTGCCTGAAGCCACGAAAACAGGGTTGAAAGCCACATTTCTGTGGCTGCAAGGCTCACCCTCCTGGCAACACTGCACAGCCCCCATTGCCCTGGTCAGAGCATTATCAAAACTGCTTTGTTCAGAGACAGAGTGAGAATGAGATGAATGGCCAGCTATGACTGGAGTTTGAATTCTGCACTGGGAGCTGCCAAAGAGGGAAATGAACAGAATGGAAACTTCTCTGGTACCTCCCTGTGTTCTGAATGGCATAATGGCAGTGGTTCTGTTTCCCTACAGGTGCACTTCTTAAAAGAGGGATGTGGAGACGACAACGTGTGCAACAGCAACCTTAAACTAGGATATAAGTTTTGCACCCGAGAAGGAAATCAGGACAAGTTTTCTTATTTGCCAATGTAAGGCTTGCCCTGTCGCATCAGCACAAATGGCTGTTCGTGAAGAAAGGGTTCCTGAACATGCATTGAGAGTTTGATCTTTTGCTGTGTGTGTGTGTTTTTTTTTTCCAACAGTCAACAAGGTGTGCCAGAACTAGTTCTCAAAGATCAGAAGGATATTGCTTTGGAAATAACAGTAACCAACGGCCCTTCTGACCCAAAGAATCCCTCCAAAGATGGTGATGATGCCCACGAAGCCAGACTCATCGCCACCTTCCCCGACACGCTCACTTACTCTGCGTACAGAGAACTACGGGCATTCCCTGTAAGTGTATGTGGAGCCTTGTGCAGAAGGAAGACCCACCCTGAGTGGCAGGCAAACTGAAGAGTTGACCGCTGGTGTGTTTTTGTTACAGGAGAAACAGCTGAGCTGTGTTGCCAACCAAAATGGCTCGCAAGCAGAATGTGAGCTGGGAAATCCTTTTAAAAGAAATTCCAGTGTAGGTGATGCCTTTCCAAGCTATTGTTGTTGTTGTTATTATTATTATTAATATTATTGTATCTTTTTGATACCATTCCATTGTCTGTAAGCCTGATCTGGGTTAATGGTGATTTATGTTTTCTAGGTTACTTTTTATTTGATTTTAAGTACAACCGAGGTCACCTTTGATACTACAGACCTGGATGTTAACCTGAAGTTGGAAACGTAAGAGTCATTACTTCCACCTTTCCATTTAGAATTATTTTGTGAAAACACAGGCAGTCAGTGAATTGGCCCTGATCTAACACATAAAAGAAGTGTAATTGTAATGAGAAAACTGACTGTTAAAATAAAACTCTATTGTTTCCTTTTCATTTTCAGAACAAGCAATCAAGATAATTTGGCTTCAATTACAGCTAAAGCAAAAGTGGTTATTGAACTGCTTTTATCGGTCTCTGGGTAAGTGTTTGTTTGGCATAACAAATCAATGTTTGAAAGAAACATTTACAATCCTCACTAAAGCTGGTGTTTTTTAATTTAACAGAGTCGCTAAACCTTCTCAGGTATATTTTGGAGGTACTGTGGTCGGTGAGCAAGCTATGAAATCTGAAGACGAAGTGGGAAGTTTAATAGAATATGAATTCAGGGTGAGTTGGAACAGTTAGTCCATTTAATATGCTAGACATTTACACAGTCCAAGTATAATCCTGAATATATCATTTTAATAAATGTATAGTGTTAATAAATAAGCACCATAAATAAATGCCCAGTTAAAAATAGTGTGGTAAAAATCCATGATGCCACTTGCTTGTGTTTGGTAACACCAAGCCAACATTGTAGAAGCCCCTAGATTGAAAAAGGAGCCTTTCCCAATCCTCCTGCCACTGAGGTGGTTACGACTCTGTATAATAAAAACAGTACTTTCGGAGAATTATAATAATAATGTGGTAAAACTTTTTAGCCTGCAGAAAGAAAAACATCTGACACTCAGAATAGGCCTTTAGGTCAGAATCCACGTGTTTTTCTTAGAGTTTTAATGCATATGTAGCCTAGAAACAAAGCAATAATTGATGCCCCCTCCTACCCGGAGTCTTCTGTTTGACTTTAAGATTTCCAGTGCACACGAGGGAGCAAGCTTTTGTGACAGTCATTTGAGAAGTATAGCAGTGGCTTTTACTAAAGACTTTTCATTACATCATGTTGGAAGCTTCAGTTTCATCATAGTGACTGTAGATTTGACATCTGCCAGTAAGAAAGGCTCGTGATTGGCTCTGAGCCATTTCCCAGTAGACAGTCACAGCAACCATTAGGGTCCAGTTGAGTGAATATGAGCAGGCTGGGTAGGGTCTACTCATTACCCAGATGTGGGTTTGGGCCTCTGTGGCTCAGATTACATTTCTGAAAGTGAACATGGAAATGGAAGTCTACAAAGCTAAGAATGGGCACACCCATTCGTGGAGCAGGATGAAGAGGAGGGATGTTCACCCGCAGACACAGCTGGCATTGGTTGTGGTGGTGGGTAGGATGGTTACATTGGGATGGCAGTAAAAGAAGTCTGTGGGTCTTGAGCTGCTTTTAGCTTCTACAGAATGTTACTGTGTTCTGAGCTGGGACTCCGGCTGCACAGTGGAGGATAAGGGCAGCTTTATTTTCACAATGGGTGGGGTTTTCCAGAAGCAGGGTATTGGGGGCGCTCACTGCCTTGGCATGGGTGCTGTTGTGTGCCAAGCAGGGTGGGTATAGAGCAAATTACAGATGCACCCCATACATTAAGACACAGTAAATCTACACTGCTGATTGCACTGCCTGGAACAGTGGTTTCCAGGTTGATTTAGCAATCATTTGTTTCTGTTTGACCTTTTTATTTTTCCCTTTCTATTTCATTGATAAGAATATTTTAAGCACACATCTCTATTTGAAATGGCCTATCAACAGTCCATTTTTGTAGGCTCTGTAGGATTATGCCAGACGATCTATGGACAATTTCCCATTGAAACAATGACATGGAAACATTCCGCATTGTTTTCCAACAGGTAACTAACTTAGGCAAACCTCTCAAAAACCTTGGCACGGCAACCTTGAATATTCAGTGGCCCAAAGAAATTAGCAATGGCAAATGGCTGCTTTATCTGGTGAAGGTGGAATCCAACGGATTGGAAAATATAGCTTGTGAGCCCCAGAGTGAAATAAACCCCCTGAACCTGAAGGTATGTTAGTGAACTTCGCTGATACCTCAAGGGACATGAGTTAGAGGAACCTACTTGTGAGGAAGAATTCATGATTGTCCCTTGGAACATGGCATTCTTGAATGTAGTTGCTTCTGTAGTTGTTGCAGTTTCTCGTGTAGTTAGGTATCAGGCATGTTCGGTTGGGAAAGGTTTGCCGGTTAGCAACTATCATGGCATAGAAGGCAGACTTGTGCAGTGATTGTGGCGGTAAATGATATTTTCTGGAGTTCTATGATTGATGCTTAAAGAAGTACCCACTTCTGGGGGTAAACCAGCCAACATTAAGCTCGTTACAAAAGGTACTGGTGTCTTAGCAAATGGCTTTGAGACATTTTCATTTCTATTTTTGAAATGATTTTTGTTAAAAGATATTTTATTTATTTGACAGAGATAACAGAGAGAGAGAAGGAGAGAGAGGGACATGCAGAGATAAAGAGATTTTCCATCTGATGGTTCACTCCTCAAATGCAAACTGCCACACAGCTGGGACTGGGCCAGGCTGAAGCCAGGAGCTTCCTCTAGGTCTCCCACATGTGCCATCCTCTGCTGCTTTCCCAGGCACGTTAGCAGAGAGCTGGATCTGAAGTGAGGCAGCCAGTTCTCCAGCCAGCACTATCCGGGATGTGGATGTTGTAGGCAGCAACTTAACCCATTATGCCGCAGCAGCAGTCTCCAGTTATTTTTTCAGATGGTCAATATTTATTGAGTTCTTACTGTGTCTAAGGGACTGTGCTAAGTATTGTGTTTGTATTTTCTCCTTTCCGTCTTCTGACAGTCACAAAAGGTATTTTTATTATTCTCACCATTTCACAATTGCAGGCCTTGAGATTCAGAGATTGAAAGCAACTTTTTCAGGGTCGGCCGCTATTAAAAAACAAATTGTGTCTGCATTGAGGCTCCACTCTGCTGATTTCAAAGCCTGCATGCTTAGCCCCTCTCTACCGCTCCATACTTTCCTAACTGATGTAGCATTTATGCTCCAGTTTGGGGAAGGCTTCCCTTCTCTTGCATGTTTTTGTTTTGTTTTGTTTTTAATTTTAAGGTAACTGGGTATGATCAATGACCATAGTTGGTAGCTCGTAGCATAGATGTTTACCCACCAACTTTGAAAAAAGGGGATGGTCCATTCACTGTTATTAATCATTATTAGATTGAACATTTCTCAACCAAAATCTGGAACTTTTTGAGCATCCACAAAGCTTTGCATTTTGGAGCACGATTTTGGATTTCCATCCCAGTAATGTTCCCTTGCTGTAGTCTGTACACATACTCCCAGAGCTGGAAAACTCTGGAATCTGATACACTTCTGATCCCAAGCATTTTACCTAACAGGAAATTCAACGTGTATAAGGGCAGAAGGAGTTTTAAGTCTTTAGGTGACTCATGCAGTGGGTCTCCTTGCTTCTTTTTTGTGGTCCTCAGTGTCAGGTCTTTAGTCAACGTAAGCTGGCTGACTGCCCTGTGTTAGCACTGAGCTGGGCCCCACGGTGGTCTAGGAATAAGACAGGGCCCCTGATCCCAATATGGGCATATCTGGGTGGGGACCCAAATAAGCCAAGCATCTTTTTTCTTTCTCTGAGTTTTATGTTCAGGGTGGGCAGAAATTACTTAGCTAACTTAGTCCTGTGAATGAATGAATCCACTTGGAATTCAGGGTGGTAATGTTACCTGCTGGTTTCATACTCATGTCTGGGACGAATAGCACTTTGCGATGATGTGACTTGGGCTGCTCTGTAGGAGGGTGGAGTAAAATGCAGCGTGGAACTGTTGTGGCTGTTAACTCTTTGCAGGAGTCTCACCACTCCAGAAGGAAACGGGAAATTGCTGAAAAGCAGGTTGATGATGGCCGCAAGTTTTCTCTGTTTGCTGAAAGGAAATACCAGACCCTGGTGAGTATTTTTCAGGAGCTGCGAGTGGCAGGGGCTGAGAGGACGCCGGGACTGCTGTGTTTTGACTCCGTCTTCTTCTCTGCCCTAGAACTGCAGCATGAACGTGAACTGTGTGAACATCAGGTGCCCGCTGCAGGGCCTGGACAGCAAGGCCTCCCTTATCCTGCGCTCGAGGTTGTGGAACAGCACATTTCTAGAGGTGTGGCCCTGCCACGAGTCTGTCCTCTGCAGGCATCCCTCTGCCACCAGCGACGATGTTTCCAACCTCCCTAACGCATGTACTCACTGTCCACACACAGGAATATTCCAAACTCAACTACCTGGACATCCTCATGCGGGCCTCCATTGATGTGACATCTGTGGCTGAGAACCTCAAGCTACCCAATGCAGGCACGCAGGTGAGAGGTGCCCTGACCTCCCTTAGCTTCTACAGGCCATTTCCCTGCACGCTGCCCTGGCATCATGCTGTTGGCTGTTTAACTTCCCTCATAGTCCTGGGATCTCCATGGAGAAAACAAATGACAGTCTTCAGGCCCTGCCACACCAACCTTCATTTAACAAAAATCATTGAAAAAAAAAATCTGGGGGTTCACTTCCCAAATGTCTGCAAGAGCAGGGGCTGGGTTGGTTTGAAGCCAGGAGCTTAGAGATCCCACATGGATGCAGGGACCCAAGCACTTGGGCCATCTTATGCTGCTTTTCCAGGTGCATTAACAGGAAGCTGGATCAGAAATGGAGAAGCTAGGACTCAAACCGGCAGCCATATGGAATGCCAACACAGCAGGCAGAGGCTTAAGCTACCATGCCATAGCTCCAGCCCCTTGAAAAGCATATTTTGAAATCTAAGTGTTTAAGTGTGTCTTCAAATTTTGTGTGCTTTGCTCTGGGTCCATTATTTCCAGTTGCAAGGCAATTTTGAACCTTCATCATTTCTCTCAGCTTTCTGTCCTGTGAACTTTCTCTTTTTGAAAACTGGGAAGCATGCTTTCTAGGTCCTCATCTAGATAATTGACCAAAATTACTGGGCAGGAGCAGGACCTTGTAGGGAGCCATCAGTGAGGGTGTCGTTGTAGGGGACTCAGGCCTGAGGGACTGCATGTCTTAGTGGGTACCGAGTGGGAATGTTTTGCAGAAGACTGGAGAACACCACTGTGCGTTACCGCAAGTTTGTTGATGGAACTGTTCTGGCATCTTTTGTTTGCTAGTTGAAACTCAGAGAGCCTCCCTGGTCATAGTGGGTTTTGTAGTAGTGGACTTCAGGGTGTTCTGAGACTGTATCCTCTAAACCAGCATGGGACACATTATGCCAGGTTGGATGCTGGGGGAAGTGATGTAAACCAGGACTGCACCAGGCTCATTAGCACGTGGGCATCCTGGCTTTGTTATCTTTGCAAGTGCCACAGCAAAGCTATTTCTCTCTCTCTCTCTCTCTTTGCCTCCTCCTCCCTCACTCTCTCTCTACCTCTCCTTCTTTCTCTTTCTTTAAAGATTTATTTATTTATTTCAAAGAATTACAGCAAAAGAGAGACAGAGAAATCTTCCATCTGCTGGTTCACTCCCCCAGAAGGCTGCAAAGGCCTGTTCGGAGGGCCCGGCGACGAGGCCTGGTGGCTAAAGTCCTCGCCTTGAGTGCGCTGGGATCCCATATGGGCACCGGTTCTAATCCCGGCAGCTCCACTTCCCATCCAGCTCCTTGCTTGTGGCCTGGGAAAGCAGTCAGTGGTGGCCCAAAGCTTTGGGACCCTGCACCTGCGTGGGAAACCCAGAGGAGATTCCTGGATCCTGGCTTCGGATCGGCATAGCATCGGCTGTTGCGCTCACTTGGGGAGTGAATTATCGGATGGAAGATCTTCCTCTCTGTCTCTCCTCCTCTCTGACTTTCCAATAAATAAATAAATCTTTAAAAAAAAAAAAAAAAGGCCTGTTCAGAGCCAGGCCAAAACAAGAACTGGGAGCTTCATCCAGGTCCCCTACATGGGTACAGGGGCCCAAACACTTGGATGTTTGCTTTCCCAAGCCATTAGCAGGAAACTAGATCTGAAGAGGAGCAGCTGGGACACCAGCCAGCAACTGTATGCCATGTCAGCTGTACCTGTTATGCTACAGCGCTGGCCCCTACAGCTTAAGGCTTGAAATGGAACTTGAAGTCAACCAGAATTTCTTGGGAATGCATTCTCTGTGTGTCTGAAGGTGATTGCTGTAACTTCCTGTAGCTGTAAGTCAGTAATCTTAAAAGGCTCCGGGATTTTTAGAGCTAAAATGAGTTAGAGGGAAAGGATTGGAAAGAATAATGCATTAGTATTAAGATTCTCACAGTTTGCTGGGTGCTTTATATTCTGTCACTTAAGCTTCAAAAGAGTGACACCTGTTTTAGGAACAAGGAAGCAGACCCAGACAAGGGATATGCTTTGGCATCCTGGATTGAAACGCATAGTTTGACTCCAAGGCTCCTGAATTCATGACATTTGATTTCCCACTAAATCTTCAGATCCCAGATTCAGATGAAAAACTGAGCCCAAAGAAGGTTGTCTCTCCCTCAAGTTCACAGAGCAGCCCCCTGGCTTGCAGGGTTTCATCAGGTGCTTTGATTCTGGCCGCAGTAGAGCTGTAGGCCAGTTCCTCTGATGGCTCTGGCCCAGGAACCAGAACCTTGGCTGCTTTGGGCATTTTATGTCCTCAGGACTTTCTTGGGAGAGTTCAAGCCTAATGATAAGTGGAGTCCTTACTCCTTGTAAGTCTCACGTCTAGAACCCTTTTCTTTGGAAAATTGAGACATTTTCTCTTCTCCAGTTTTGTGGTACATCGATTTTCTGTGATTTCCGAGACATAATAGCCCAGGTATCATATCTGCATGCCTTGTCATTTCAAGGTGCGGTTTTTCTGGACCTGCAAATGTGAGCTTAATCCAAGTGTCACAATGCCTTCCTTTTTATTCTTGCGCTTATGTGGCTGGCAATTTCATCTTTATCTTGGTTTTATCTATCCTTTCCTGAAGGTAATTTCCTTTGGAGATGGAAGCAAAGGAAGTTGAGCAGTTCAGCCTTATCTATGATCTGAATATCCAAACTTCTTTTTTGCTTAAAAAAAAAGCTTAAGAAAAAATTTGTTTCTTACACCAATTTTAAGAGATTTGTGTTCACTTTTTAATAAAACATTTTAATTAAAAAAATTTTTTTGAGTAGCCAAGAGAGACAGGAAGAAAGAGCTTCATCAGATGGCCGTCATCAGATGGCTGGGACTGGTCATACCTGAAACTTGGAGCCAAGAGCTCAAGCCAGGTCTCTCACATGGGCGACAGGAACCCAGTCACCTGAGCCATCTGCTCTACTTCTCAGGGTCTACATGAGCAGGAAGCTGGAATCCGGTGTATGAGCTGGGATTTGAACCCAGGCCTTGTGATATGAAATGTGGGTATCCTGATCACTAGGCATAATGCCTGTCCCAAGAAAACACTTGTAAACTAAGATACTGTCGGAGAGTGAAGTCACATAGGTGAACCAAGAAAGATGGTTGTTTTAGTGTCCTTTAAGTGTATCCATTAACAAGTACCTATTAGGACTGTGTGTCTAAGCTGTGCTACATGCTGTATGTTCTTTCCTTGGCTATCGTTCTATACCCTCAGTTGATTCCAAGGAAGCAAGTAGAAATTATCCCCAGAAAATACAATAGGTAAAAACAACCACTTCATTCTTCGAGGGGTAAGATTGTTGTTTTTTTTTCTTAAGAATTTATTTGCAAGTTAGTGTTAGATGGAAAGAGAGAGATCTTTTATGCAATGCTCATTCACTTCCCAGATGGATGCAATGACCGGAATTGGGCCAGGTCAAAGCCAGGAGCTTCATCCAAGGGACCCAGATGCCTAGACCATCTTTTGCTGCATTTCCCATGCCATTAGCAGGGAGCTGAATCCAAAGTAGAACAGCTAGGACAGAAACTGGCACCCATCTGGGATGCTGGCATTTCAGGTGGCAGCTGTACTTGCTATGCCACATCACCAGCCCCCTCAGATCCTTTGTCTCTAAATGAAGAGAACCTGAGATATGAATCCTTTTTATTAGGAGTGGAAGATGTCTTTTTTTTAAAAGATGTATTTAGTGGATGGCTTTAGGGAAGATATAACTATCCTTTCATCAGGCGATGTTGTATACTGACGTTGAGTAGGAGCTGGGAATATTCCATCACAGAGTCCTTTAGGAGAAGTATCTCGGTCCCTGGAAGCTCATGTGGTCTGAGCACTGCCCACTGCTGATGGGATTTAACGCTTGAGGAGAGGCTCAGCCCCTTTGCCCTATGGATGAGTGACAGGTGAAGTTCACCAGGGTAGGTCATCCCATGGCAATGCCTGCAACTGAATGAAACCAAGGGGGAGGATGGATTTTGAAGTTGGGAAACTCAAAGGTAGTTTGTACTCAACTTAAGCTGTTATCTGTCATGATTGCTATGACAAGATGACAGATTTCTCAGCTCTGGGAATTGCAGTACCCTAGCTTCATTCCTGTTGCACCCAAAAGAAACTGGAGTTGATAACTAAAGTCAACAAATGGTGAAATCCAGCTGCCTTCTTAGACCCCAGAGCACCTTCACTCTTAAATGTGGGCGGAGCCCAGACACTGGCTTCAGTGGTTTTTTTAAAATGATTTATTTATTTGAAAAAGAGAAAGAAATGGAGAGAGGGAGAAGCAGTGTTTTATTCTGCAAGTGCCCACAACAGCTAGAGCTAAGCCAGGCCAAATCCAGGAGATGGGACCTCCATTTGTGACTCTTACGTGGGCAGCAAGGACCCAAGCACTTGGGCCATCCTCCACTACTCTCCCCAGCACATTAGTGGGAAGCTGAATCAGAAGTGCAACAGGGCCCGGCACGATAGCACAGTGGTTAAAGTCCTCTCCTTGAACATGCTGGGATCCCATATGGGTGCCGGTTCTAATCCCAGCAGCCCTGCTTCCCTTCCAGCTCCCTGCTTGTGGCCTTGGAAGCCACTCAAGGGTGGACCAAGGCCTTGGGACCCTGCACCTGTGTGGGAGACCTGGATAGAAGTTCCTGGCTCCTGGCTTCAGATTGGCTCAGCTCCAGCCGTTGTGGCCACTTGGGGAGTGAATCATCGGATGGAAGATCTTCCTCTCTGTCTCTCCTCCTCTCTGTATATCCACCTTTCCAATAAAAATTTAAAAATCTTAAAAAAAAAAGAAGAAGAAAAAGTATAGTAGTCAGAGTTGGCACTAGAGTCTTTTTTTTTTTTTAAATTTATTTATTTATTGGAAAGTCAGATATACAGAGAGGAGAGACAGAGAGGAAGATCTTCCGTCCGATGATTCACTCCCCAAGTGAGCGCAAGGGCCGATGCTATGCCGATCCGAAGCCAGGATCCAGGAACTTCTTCCGGGTATCCCACATGCAGGTGCAGGGTCCCAAAGCTTTGGGCCATCCTTGACTGCTTTCCCAGGCCACAAGCTGGGAGCTGGATGGGAAGCAGGGCTGCCGGGATTAGAACCGGTGCCCATATGGGATCCCAGGGCATTCAAGGTGAGGACTTTAGCCACTAGGCCAGGCCGCCAGGCCCAGCACTAGAATCTTTAATGTCGCGATGGATCCCACAGGGGTTTGAGTCCTGGCTGCTCCATTTCCAGTCCAGCTCCCTGTTTATGGTGTGGGAAAGCAGTGAAGGATGGCCCAAGTACTTGGGCCACTGTCACTCAACGAGGGAGACTGAGAAGTTCCTGGCTCTTGGTTTCAGCCTGACCCAGCTCTGTTTGTTGTAGCTATTGAGGAAGTGAACCAGCAAATGGAAGATCTCTCGCTCTCTCCATTTTCCTGTTTCTGGAACTCTGCCTTCCAAATAAATAAGTAAATCTTAAGGAAAAGAAAGGGAAAAAGAAGTAGAACAGTTAGGACTGAAACTAGCACTTTGATACAGGATTCCAGTAACATCACAAGTGGTGACTTAACCAGCTGTGTCACAATGCCTGCCCCAACCTCAGTCCTTGATATCAGGTATCTGATTGGCTCCCAGCCTTTGTTTGCATGACCCCAGGCCTGGGGCTTAGAGCTTTTATTGGAATCCCTACCACCCTTCAATGCAGAATTATCCTAATCACCCCTGAGTCTGTTGCCTGGCAACCATTTATGGGAGCAATTCCCCTGTTGTTGGCCATTTGAGAGTTGGTGTTGTGTGATGTGATTCTAACAGTGAGACGGACTCTTTTTGCTATGCCCAGTCTCTTCCTCTGCTTCCACATTATGTGAACTCACTTTTTTTAAATGACTAATTTGTTTATTTGAAAGAGTGACAGAGAGAGTGGGAGAGAACCCGCCTGCTGTTCAACTTCTGGAATGGGACAAAATGAAGTCAGGAACCAGCAACTTTTTCTTGGTTTCCCTTGAGGGTACAGGAACCCAAATACTTGGGCCATCTTCCGCTGCTTTTCCCAGGCTACAGTGAGGAGCTGGATTAGAAGTGGTGCAGCTGAGACTTCAGCTGGCGCCCATACAGGATGGTGCTGTTGGAGGCGAGCAGCTTTAGCCACTATTCCAGCAGATTGTACCCCAGAACCCATTCTTACAAATGAGGATGAATCTTCCACCGCTTGCTTCCCCCACACAGGACAGCACCATGTGCTTACCCAGTACTGGATTGCAGGGAAGCAAAGTTAAACAGGGTCTGGCAAAGGCTAATGAAATGCTGCTTTGGGGATGTGGCAGCAGCTCACCAGCTGGGTGACAGTACTTACTTTGTCTGCATTGGTCTTTGACTTTCTTCTTCCTTCCTTTGTGTGTGAAGCTAAAAATATTTTTTAAGCTTCAGTTGAGGTGCTTGCTGGGGAAGGGGGTAGGGAGGGGAAGCAGCGCAGGGGGACTGATTGCCTGGGGCTGGGAGCCTAGGGGAACACAGAGCACTACAGGAAACACAGTGGTGGCGTGGTAGCAGCGGCAGGTGTCTGCCTTCCTGTTGTTGGTAGAGCAGGCTGAAACCTGCAAAGGGGAGCTCCTGCCTGCCCTTCTCTTCCAGGAGTGGACTGAGGTTGACCTGCAGTTTTCTAGGTGAACCAGAAAGAAGCAGTCCATAAGGAGAGGGCTTTCCAAAACAATTGTGTAGGAAGAGCGAGCTTGTCGTAGACATAGAGTAGCACCTGGGGTTCACTAACATGGAGCACATGACCAAGAGCAGTCCTCGGTTTTGCTTATTTTCTCCTTTACACGTTCCTAATTCGGACATACCAGGGGCAGGCAACTGGTGTAGCAGTGAAGATGCTGCATGGGATGTCTGCATCCTGCATCACATATGCCTGCATTTGAGGCTTGGCTTGCACCCGATTCCAGCTGCATGAAGATGTGTTTTTCTGGAAGGCAGAAGGTGACAGCTTAAGTAACTGGATCTGTGCCACCCACAAGGGAGGAGACCTGGATCGAGTTCCTGGTGTTTTGAGTTCCATCCTGGCCCAACCTGAGCTGTTGCAGTGGGTTTTTAGTGGTGTCAGCCAGCAGAGGGGAGATCTCTTTCTGTCTGTGTGTCTCTTTCTCTAATAAATACATTTTCTAAAAAGAGATGAAACCCAAGTAATTTTTTTTTTTAAATGCCAGATACTTCAAACTGGTAGCTCTCTAATCAGTGTAGTTTACAAAATCATGTTCCAAGTCTCCATTGAAACTTTGCATGCTTGAAGAAATAGTCCTTGACTTTAATCACTAAAGTCCACTTGAATTGTAATGATCTTTCACACATAAGGCACATATGTTAATGGGCATGATTGATTGGTAACACATTGCCAAAAGTAACCTTTTAAGTTTCTGAGTAAAGGCTGTGCCCATTTCTGTTTACTATTGGAGGTTTGGAGTTCAGCTGCTCCTGAATACATAAGGGCATCCAGTGTATAAATACACATTTTGTTAGGGGATGGCATCAAGCCACTTTGGGAAATTATATCATTTATGACGATCTTTGCCTGCAGCTTCATTCTTATTTTCACATTTCACAACATCTTTAAAACCTAAGTAGAGTGGAGGTTAATTGTGCATAAATTGAACCTTTTCTCTCCATTACTGAAAAACTAATTAAATGTGTGACCATTATCAAAAAGATACCCAGTGATGAAGATAAAGTTCGATTGCCTCTGTTTTGATCTTTGTAGAATGGTTCAATGCACAGTTTTCCTCTGCTTTTGTTGGTAACGATTTTTTTTTTAAATGGCACATTAGTGAAAAAACTTGGTCAGCTCTGGGGAAGATATCTTTAAGGACTGTGTCTTGAAGCAATATTCTGACGTTAAGTCAAAGGGACCTTGCATCTGAAGGTCATCTCCTCCATCTGTAGGCTGCGTTGTTCAAAATGTGTGCAGATTTAAGCTGCAAACCCCTGCCTGATGTTAGCTCTCCCCCAGCTAACTTCGCTCGCATGGTGGTGACCTTGCCTTCCTTTGTGCCACCCAGGTTCGTGTGACCGTGTTTCCCTCCAAGACGGTGGCTCAGTACTCAGTGATACCCTGGTGGAGCATCCTCGTGGCTATCCTGCTTGGGATTTTGATGCTTGCTCTGTTAGTGCTTGCTCTATGGAAGGTAAGTCCCACCTACTGTGAGAGTCTGACGACACCAGCTTTCTTCATGTGTTAAAAATGTGAATTCTCACCCATCCATAGTATGTTTTTCCTTTTTTTCTCATTACTGTTCTCTCTCAAAATTTTGTCCTGAAATGCTTCTGACAGCAACTTTAAGAGACATTTACTATAAGCTGCTACCTGACAGTTTGTATATGATTTAATTTTTGTTAAATAATGTGATGTTTCTGAAATGAATACCTATAATTTGGCATGTTTATTGATAAAGTTTAAATTTTACTACTTAAATGTTTTGTACACCTAAGGTCTAAGTAACTTACACCATATTGCTGGGCGGTAGAACAGCCTGAATCTGTATTCCAGTCAGTTTAATGCTTGTAAAGAAGTGTTGGTGGAAACCGCTGGGGCGTGTGTCCTGCAGCTGGGCCACCAGAAGCACAGTGTACAGCGAGTGAGTGACTCTATCTCCAGTGGTCCTCAGAAAGTTTTTGAAAAATGTGCATTCTCTCCTGACTCCATTCTTGCACCAACATTTTGAGATATCTACAGATAAGGAGGATCTGGGCTCAATATAATTAATGTTCCTCCTTAGAACAGTCCTTAGACTAAAAATAAAATGTCAAAGTCTTCTCCCTGCTCATTGCTGCCTGTAAATACTCTACATTTGGAAAAAGGCTTGTGAATACAGACTCTCGTTGCCGAAAATAGCAGCCCATTGATTCTGGAGTGTTCCCAGTAAGCATAGAAGTCCCTGATCAGCAACTCCAAATTCCAAAAGTTCTGACTTGCTTAGCAGCGAAGTCCAACACGATTTTTAATCTTTCTGCTTGAGCTTCGCTGCAGAAATATCAACATTTTTATTACATTGGGATCATGTGTACAGTGTATGATTTCCTAAAATGCCCCAAATTCTGGCCAATATATCAGGCCCAGAACATTTTGGGTGTACCAAAGAATCCTGCAAGATCTAATCATCCTTTGTACTTCTCTGGATCCAAGAGCAGAGCAGCCAAAAATTCATGATAGCCTTTCAAATACTGAACATCTCTATTTTGCTTTATTTCTCCAAGTCATTTCCCCTTTTTCTAGTATGAGACTCCTCTTGGCGTGTGGTATTGACTCCTGGCTGTTGGTTCTTCTTGGGACATCCGACCCAAGCAGGGAAATCACATGAGAATGACTTTGATACCAAAAACTGGATTTGCAGTTGGACCTGTGGAGGTGATCTTGGTGAGATAGCAAGGTTGTTTTCAGGAGAGGTCTCCCTGGCAGTCATTAGTCCTCAGTGAGCTGAGAGTTGGGAAATCCAAGCTATGTATAATGTCAAGCACATCCTGTCACCTCCTAGAAGCTCCGCTTTGTCCTAGCTATTTGATGAGTGGAGTTGACTAGATGAACTTACTCTGTTGGAGAGGGTTTTCTTTCTTTCTTTCTTTCTGTTTCTCTCTCTCTCTTCCTTTCTTTCTTTCTTTTTTTTTTTTAAATTCTGGAATATCCAGAGTCTCACTCAAGGGGACTCTATAGAATAATCAGAGAACTGCTGTAGCCCCACATGGGACTCAAGTCATAAAATTTTAGGGTTAGAAAGGACTCTAGTTCTTTTTTGAAAATAACTACAACAAGTTTACTGATAAAAGTTTCCCTTTATTTATTTTAAATGCAGAAACACATTGAGAGAGATTTTCCTCTGCTGGGCCACTTCCCAAATGTTTGGAACAGCCTGAGCTGGGCCATGACAAAGCCGGAAGCTTGCTACTCAGTCTGGGTGTCCAGCATGTGTGGCAGGGACCCAAGTTCTTCTACTATCAAGTGCTGCCTCACTTAGGTGTGCTAAATTGGAAGCAAAGCTGGCTTTGAAACCAGGCACTCTAATTTGGGATGCAAACACCCCAAGTGAGGGTTTTAATCTCTGTGCCAGTTGCACACCCCTCCAGTGATCTTTAAATGGGATTTGTACATCTGGCTTGGTGGCAAACCTTAACAAGGCAGTGGGAGATTCCCCACGTCATCCATTGTGTCTGCTTTTAGATACCAGGATTCTGCACAGGATCTTGCTTATAAGTAAAATAAAAGCATTCTCTGATCCAATTCAATTGCTTGTGTTTTGTGGACAGAGATAGTTGTGCCCAAGAATCCCAATTGGAGCCAAGAGCCAGGACTCTGGATTCCTGATCCATTTTTTTTCTGACCCTATTAGCACGTTACTAAAAAGTTGACTGGGGTATCCACTATGTGTTGGATGGAGAGTCATGAATATTAGGATTATCTAGATGGCAGTGTCTAGAGCAGTACTACCCACTGTGGAGGCCACTGGTCATGTGTCTAGGGGGCACTTGAGTCATGGCTAGTGCCGTGGAGGCATTGCATTTTTTATTTAGTATAAGTTTGAAAAGCCGCATCCAGTAGAGTGACTACCATATTGTCCACAGTGAGGCTAACTCTTTATCTTCATGAGCTGCCGGAACAGAAAGTGGAATTTTACAGGAGAGATTTTATTTGACCATGTTATATTTCAAAAAGCTGTTCATGGCCTTATAAACTAGATTAAAGTAAACTGAAAAAGTCTTCCATTATTGAATGAAGGAAATAATAGTAGAAAGTGGAATTATACTGTGATCCTCATTTACAGTGACCTAGCCTGAGGACCATGGGCTCCTGCCATTTAGGGCTATAGGGCAGTCTGGTATTTGGGGGAAATAACAGCAATCATTCTTTCATGACTGTGTATTTGAATTTATATTTCAGTTCACCCTGCAGATCCAAAGGCCTCAGGTAGATAGCATTTGATCCATGACACTTATATTAAAAAGTGGAAAAACATTTGCCACTTAAGTTCATTTTATTTGTACCTGTGCTAACTTTGACTTGGGAGAACCAATTTCTAACTTTTGTTTCAAATTGCAGCAGCCTCTTAGGCTTCTCCTGCAGGAGGAAACCTGCCTCCTTCCCCGAAGCTACAATCAAACTTGTATACCTTGTTACCTTTTAGGGTAATTTGTCCTTAGGATTTTTGAAGAATCAGTGTTTTCCCTGTAACTGTTTGACCAGTGAGCCCTGATGTCAGAGTGTCCTGAGGCTGTCATAGTGTCACACAGGGCAGTGACTATTCACTTTTGATGAGTCCAAAGTGGTCTCTTTGTAAATGTGCTGTCCTTACAGAACAGGTGCAACCTGCAGAGTTGTTCTTCTGTTTAGAGCTTGTACATAGAACTGTACCATTGACTAAATACCTTGCTTCTTTGTAGTGTGGCTTCTTCAAGAGAAATAAGAAAGATCATTATGATGCCACCTACCACAAGGCTGAGATCCATGCTCAGCCATCTGATAAAGAGAGGCTTACTTCTGATGCCTAGTATTGATCTACTTCTGTATTTGGTAATTGATCAATTTTTTTAATTGCTAGCTGTGGAACCTGCTGTGGTTGTGGTGGCTAACTCTCAAAGCGACAGCTTGCTGTATGTGCCCCCTTAACAGATGTTTCCAAATGTGCACCCTGGCTGGGCTTGCTTGTGTTTATTTATTTCACTTGAAAGCTCAGTTTTTTGTTTTTGTTTTTTTTTTTTTAAATGCTCAAAGAGCCCTCATTGCAGGTGAGTTGTTTTGTGGCCCTGGTATTAAACAACACCCATAACAATGAAGAAAATTGTCATATTTGTATACACAAAAGGTTTTATGCCTCTCTAATAGCCCAGTGCACCAAATGCTGTTAAAAAAAAAAATTCACTGTATCTGGCTTGGGATTTGATTTCAAAGATGCATAAAAAATCCTCCTAAATTTCTTGTCCATTTTGAAATTCCCAACAATGGGTGCTTGTGTTTAATTAACCTGCTGCATGTTGGAAACATTTGTGTTTCTCCTGAGGAAGAGGCTTCTTCAGTGTGTTCTTTTGTTATCGCGGCTATAGAGTGACAGGGCAAAGCTTGGAATGCTCTTTACTGTTGCTTGGAAATCGTTCTATGCCAGCTACGCATGCGTTTTCTTTTTCTTGCATATCTCTTACAGGTCAAAGACCATTACAGGAAATTATCCTGATCAGCCTGATTGGCCGAAGGGCCAACTAGAAATTGTCTTTCACCAGAGGGACCTTCCCTGTACAAACTTCAATCACAAAACATGCTCTGAAAATTTTTTGTTTCAAATACATTGTAATGGATTTTGACCATTTTTTCCATATTCCTTGAGATTTTAATCAACCTTGGATCTCAGTTGATTTTAAGTTCGTGTTTTGCTTTTCTCCTATTTGTCAATCCATGGAAATGGGAATCGTGAGTGATTCCTGTTTCCATTTCGGCAGGTGTAAGAGGATCAAATGACTGGTAATTCCAAACCATAGCATGCCTTGATGAATCCCAGCATTATCCTTTCAGTCCTGCATTTCATTATTAATTGATTTCTTTAATAGATCAGCACTTTGATTTTTTTCTTTTTTTGTACATAATAATACATGAGATGCAGAGAGGGCCTAGAAAAGAACATAAGTTCTTGGTCCATGTTGTCTATTGATTTAGTGATAACTGCATTTAATTTTGCCTTCCCCTGTAACATTTGTGTGACATGATATCATTTAGAATATATCCTCTTTTTGCTATCACATCAGAAATACATGAATCAAATGTTCTTCAGGATCCTTCTTATCCTCTGAGCTTCATTTTTAAATTAATGGCATCTTTTTTCTTTAAAAGAAAAGACATATATTTTATTCATTAAAAAGTCAATCTGATTCTCAATTTTTTATATTTCTCAATAAAAAATAAACTTTGAATCAGATTTTTTTAAATGGAATAAAATATATTCATTAACAATTTAAAATTATGTGGTTTTACCCAAAAAGGTTGTCAGAAGTTCAGTGTCATGAGAATTACTTCAGGTGTTCTGCAGCAAATCACTAATTTTATTGCAGGTCAGTTACTGTGTGATTTCCGAGGGAGAGAGCTTAGTTAGAAGCACAACAGCAAATCCAATTCTCTGATAGCTAGTGAGACATACAGTGTGTGTACCAGAACCTTGGAGGAGAGGCAATGATTCTTCAGTCAGAACCCTGACATATTCAGATAGCAATTTGACAGATATTTGGGACCTGATTTTCATGATGGTAGTGAGAAATGGACATAGGACTCATCTTCATTTTACAAAACCTTTTAAAAAATTGTCCTGAAAATCATTGAGTAATCTGAAAATGAGATCTCTTATCTATAATGATGTGTTGTATGATTTTTTTTTATTTTTTACCAAGTCAAAGCCTGGGAGTTGTTAGTAAAGATGTGGCTGTCAGTATCCTAAAATGTAAAGATCAGGTGAAAAGGACCTTGTCTTCCAGTCTCGCGACTGTTTTCCCTTGATCCTCATCGGCTGCCATTACTTCTCAACCTGTCAGTTCTTGGTGTCTGTTTTTCCTTAGTCCCAGAGCAGTCGTGGCTATGGAAAAAGTTAAGACAGTCACGGCCAGTGAACTTGGTTGTCTTGAAACTAACGAGCTGTCTGTGTCTCTCTTTCCCCCTTCTCTAGTGTGGATTCTTTAAACGCTCTAGGTACGATGATAGCGTCCCCCGATACCATGCTGTGAGGATCCGGAAAGAAGAGCGAGAAATCAAAGATGAAAAATACAATGATAACCTTGAAAAGAAACAGTGGATCACAAAGTGGAATGAGAATGAAAGCTACTCCTAGGGCGACTAAACAAAACAAAACCAAAAAACTGATTGTCCCTACCCAAAACGCTTTCCTTCCCTTCCGACTCAGAAATTCGAGTGGATTCCAAAGCCTACTGGATGCCCACAGATTGATTTCCAACCCCACGACTCAAAGTGGGAACCTACAGTTGGAACTGTGGATATTGTTACGTAGCTTGAGGCTCCTATTTTGCACAGCCAAATTTAAGACTGTTGAAATGGAGTTTTCTTTACCTGCCTTAATTTAACTTTCCAGGTTGCCTTGGTTTATGGCACTGCCAACGTAGATGTGCCAGGGAGGGGCCTGCCCAGATACACTTGGGTATAACATCATGTTGGCTTAACAGGAGAAAGGCACGTGCCAGCACTTGACCTGACAGAGGGGCCGAACTAACCTTGACAGGTGTTGCTGCATACTGCCTTGTCCTAGCCGGGTTAGCTGTCCTGCTGTCCCTCTTTGCTAAAACACATAGGCATCACAGACTTGAATGCTAGTTAGACTTATTTGTATGGTATTTATTTTTGTTTTTGGTTGTGTTTTTTTTTTTTTTTTTTTTTTGGTTTCTTTTGCAAATCTTTTTGTTGCTGACTAACAGGCCAAAGACTCTCCAGTTTTACTCTTCAGGGAGATTGAAGCAATCAGAACCAGAACACAGGAGGTCATTGGTTGGACTGCAATTACTGACTGTGAGAAGAAAATAATAGCTCTTTATAAATGGACCAGGGAATTGTTTTAATAACTGAAACTTGTCTGTCAATAAGAACATCTGCTTCCTGGCAGCCCCGTCCCTGCCCAACCTCAAAATGTTAAAAAAAATAAGATTAAGTGTCTAATTCTTATCAGACAATGAATATTGGTGGGGGGTTTTGGTTTATTTTTTTAGTTTAGAGCTCAGTGTGATATTTCTGGATTCACACTGTGACTTTCAGGAATTCTTGGGGATGTACTCTCAGCTGCACGTGCTTGTTGTAAGTTTAAGACTTGAAAGCAACAATGAGTGCCGATGGGGGGTCTGATCCATTGTAAGACTACTGAGACTGCTGCCCAAGTGGGACCCCTTGCCAAGTGGAACCTCGCCACTTCTAAGTTTCCAAAGGTCAGGGGACCCTTGTAATCAGTGAGTTGACGTTCTATCTTTTTGTCTTGTCTTCTCCCTTATCCCTATCTGCCTCAAACCCTTTACTAAGAACTTTAAATTGTTTTCAGATTGTAAAAATGGTGGGTGGGGAGAGGGCAATGGGGAAGGCAGTTATTATTCTATACATTGAATAGATAAAAAAGCTGAGGTTTTAATTATTGTGCTTCAAGATGTTAAATTATATGGGGCAAACAGGTGCTAATTTGTTGGGATGTTATTTCAATGTCTTCGTCTTTTAAGACATCAAAGGATAGTTGTGTTGCCTGGGTGCAGCACATGGTTGTTTTGGAATTTTCTTTTTTTCCAGAGCTCTTACACCCTTTAGATACTAAAGACATTATTCTTGTAGTCTTGGAATTTCCATCCACAAAAAATAGCTTTACAGATGCTATTTTGTTTACAACATTTTCTCTAAAACAGGTCGTAGCATTGTTGAAAGTCTCTTGTCTCATGCTTGGGAAACTGGGAGCCAAATGCAGGCCGGTTTCCAGGTTACTGAGGAGGTGATGATTTTTTTGACAGTGTTTACAGACCTTCACTATAAAAATATGAATGTCCTGGGGAGGGAAATGGGGGGTGGGGGGTTGGCAGCAGATGCCTCAACAAAGAAGCAAGATATTAGGTATGGTGTTTAAATTGATAGTTGTTAAAAAAAAAATGTCATCTCAAGTCAAGTCACTGGTCTGTTTGCATTTGATACACTTTTATACTAACTAGCATTGTAAAATTATTTCATGATTAGAAAATACCTGTGGATATTTGTATAAAAAGTGTGAAATAAAGTTTTTTATGAAAGTGTTCATTGCTCAATAGCACAAGCGCTGTAGAAGTGACATGACATGAAGCCTGAAATTGGCAGTGACAACCTGAACTGCCTATTCTTTCCTCAAGCCAAACTAACATTTTCAGTATTTTTTATATTTATTCTTAGTGACTTGTGTAAGTTCAGATCAGTCCAGAGGTATTGGTGCTCCCCAAAAATGGATTGGAGACCGGGCTGTTCCTCCTCTTGTGATTCTGCTGTTTACTTGGTACTCAGGTCTTTAAAGTAATCCTCTTTCTTTCAAAATGAAAGAAAATGATCTTGGGAGGCAGGTGGTTAGCCTGCCCGTTAAGGCCCTGTGCCCCGCAGTGGAGTACTTGGGTTCAGTCCCAGGCTCTGGCTGTGACTCCTGACTAGCTTCCTGCTGATGCTGACTTGGGAAGCAGTGGTAATCCCTCAAGTAATTAAGGTTCTGCCAGCTTCAGCCAGGCTCATCCCAGTTGCTGGGGGCAACTGGGGAGTGAACAAGCAGATGAGAGCTGTTACTCTCTCTTAGTCTCTGCTTCTCAAATAAAAGTTTAAAAATAAAAGGAAAATGCCCTTTAAAAAATAAACAAATTTATTTGCTTAGTTGAGTTACATAGAGAGAGAGATCTTTCCATCTGCTAATTCAGTCCCAAATGGCTCCAACCCTAGCTGAAGCTAGGAGCCTCAAACTGTTAAAATCCTGCTACATGGATGCAGTGATTTACGCAAGTAATCAGGCCATCTTCCACTGCTCTCCTAAGCACATTAGCAGGGAGCTGGATTGGAAGCAGGATAGATGGGATTTGAATGGTGTTCATATGGGATACTGGTATTGCAGATGGTAGCTTAACTTGCTGCACTACAATGCCATCCCCAGGGAAAATGGTCTTAAAGGTGATTTATTCAAGATATGCACATAACTACAAACTGGGAGCTGTCTGTTTTATTGATTTATTTTGCCTTTCAAGCAGGGAGGAGTTTATTTAGCAATGATACCATGATGTGAAAAATAGAAGGTCTTATAACTAAGGTGCTTCCTTTTTAGAACACACTTGGATATGCGGGCAGTGAGGTTGTGACATGTGTCATTAAATTACTCACCAGGAATGGTTTCGCAGTCCAACAGAGAGAACATGAGTGGTTTTTTTTTTTTTTTTCAACAAAAAGATTTTGGTTAGACTTAAGCAATTTTATGAAACCGATCTAACTAGATTATCAAATTTAAGAAAGTAAAGTACTTGGATAGTGCCCAGATAATACAGTACATCCTGGCATGAATAAATCTCTATTCCAAAAGATTTTATCTGTTACATGTATTAGGATATATTTTGCCACTTCACTGGGTATTACGTATTCAGTCTTGGCCTTATTGGTTCATTGTCCTGAAGATATTTGTGACTGGCATTTTTTAATGTTTTAGACAGTGACTATGAACATTGTCAGATTCACCCAGTTGTCTGGATACAGCTGGATTAAATTACATGCAATCCCCATAACCATGTATAGAGTCGATCAGTGGCTGTAGTTTGACTTGGGCTATGGCATAAATGACAGCCTGGATGGACTCCACTTTCCTGTCAGACATCCAGGAATGCCTGAGAGTGACAGTGTCATCAGGTTACTCTTGGATCCTTTTGGAGTTACAGAGGACATCATTGCAAACGCCAACTCTGTATTACTGGTTATATTACTGGTTATAGTTTACTTGCCAGAAACCTCACCCTGGGTCATGCATTGCCATGGCTTATGGCATGCCATGGTGTTTGAGAACTTTCTAGAATACGGGAAGTATCCCAAACCAAGAGATAGGAATAAGATGAGGCCTTCTAACTGCAAACATCTTAAAAAGCAAATGAAATTGAGAGACTGTTTTAAAGGAGGAGAAGAATGAATTGCAGACATGTGTAAGTACATCTTCAAGGCTAAGAACGAATCTGGAAGAATTGTTTGATTAACTGGGAAGAATGAAGTGGTGAGAGGCAGCTCCTCAAGCAAGACACCGGGAAGGTGAGGCTCATGGAGATGAAGGAAATGGCCTGCGGAAGGGTTTCACAGGAGCTTGCTGGCATTCGTGCTTCCTGTAGTTCCTGGTTGTGACCAGTGACAAGCATGTGCTTGCTTGTTCCTCGCATTCCTGGTTTGCAGACTGAAGGGCTTGCTGTGCAGCTGTTAGAACAAGGAAGAGCCGTGCAGTGGGAGCTGAGGTCTGTGCTTGCAGAGGTGCCAAAGACATCACCTGGCAGGACAGTCAGAGAAGGATGCCTGGCTGGATGCTCCAATGAAGGAGAAATGAAGAGCATTATGCCAAGCAGAATAGGAAAGTTGGTCCTGCCTGGAGCAGGGGTGAGCCAGGTACCTCAAAGGGCACAGCTAACCTGGTAATGGCTGATGATTATACTCAAAACGAAGGAGGTAAGGGCAATCTTTGTAGCCATCAGGAGGCTTAAGTGCTGCAATCTTCACTTCGCCCTGGCCCTGGAGTCTTCTGTTAAGTTATGCTGCCTCTCCCAGGGTCAAGGAAACTGACTTGTTAGGAGAGTTCAGTCCTTCTAGAACATCCTCTCAAAAAGTCTCAGACAACAGGATCGGAGTGTACTGCTCTTGTTATCGCCAAGCCTTCCAGTTCAGTATTCAATAACCAGTGGATGGTTTGAAGTGAGCCTTCTGTTAAGATCCTGTTGTTGGCAGGCGAATGTGGCTTCATCATTTTCTAAATGGATACCAAAAAAAGTGTAGGGGGTGCCGAATGAGATTGTAGGGGGTGCCGAATGAGATTGTAGGGATGCACCTGCACGTGAGAGCCTGCCTCTTGCCTTTTACAGGAAGCTCATACTCTAAACAGGCATTGACAAGCCTGAGTTCACTTCCTAGACGGCCATATCATATGAATGCCTGGTCTTCCTTAGGTACGAAACAGCCTTGTTCCTGGAAATAGCTCCATTTGCAGAAAATTTGGAGTAGTTATTCCAGTCTACATGTTTGAATCACTTAATGAACCTTCGCAGGTTTTATTTGTGATGCTGCACTCAGAAATCTCCAAGGATGGGATCCAGGCTTTGGTGCTGTTGAAAACCTCCTGGGCTAGGACCAGCGTTTGAGCTTCTGTTGAAGATGCCCCTTCCCCACAGCAGATTGTCTGTCTCTATCACTGGCTTTTGCTTGGAACTCCAGCTTCCTGCTAGCACCATCCCCTGGGAGGCAGCAAGTTGGCTCAAGTTGTTGAGTTCCTGCCATTATTGTGGAGAAGACCTGGAATGTGTTCTTGGATTCAGCCACACAGGCTGGGACCAGGCCACTGTTGCAGGTATTTGGGGGAGTGAATCAACAAATGGATGCTTATTCTGTCTGCTTCTATCTCTCTCTGCCACTGAAATAAATTTTTAAAAGGGAGAGAGGGGAGGGGAGACTTAATCCACTAACTTTGAAAATGCAGCTATGGTTAAGAACTACGAGAATTTATTAAAGGGCAAGGTGTGGAAGTACCTTGCTTTTGAACAGGTGAGGAGGAGGAGCTAGCGGGAAAGAGGTCAGGAGACTGTCAGGAATCAGAAGCCAGCCATCTGTGTTCACAGGAAGCTGACAGCAGCAGCCAGAGGCAGAACTGGAATCTGCGTACTTCCCATGGGATATGGTTGTTTTAACTGCTAGGCCAAATGCCTGCCCCCTGGGGTGAGATTAAGTAGTTGATGCTTTAGCATCCTCATCATCCACAAATGGTGTGTGAACTAGGATTGATAACTTAGGCTTCCAGGGAATGCAGACCATCCTGTGAAGAGGCAGAGGAAGCAAGCAGTAGAGGCAGCTGGAGACAGCAGTTTCTAGAATCTTAAGATCTGCAGCAAGTGGGCTTGGTTCCTGCTGATCTGAGGATGAACAGAGCCTCTGCCTGGACCAAGCTCATACCACTTTAGGGATACAAAGCTGACCTAGATTGATGGACAGCTGATCATAGGTTCACTGTAATCCATCAGCATGCTCAATGACACACCTGCCAGCCACTTTGCAGGAAACATGAGATCATGCAAGGAGCAAAAAAATAGCTTTCAGGAAATCTCCACTTACTTCTCAGAAAAAAAACTGAGTATTCCTCCCCCTAATTATAATGGGTCTCCCCAGTTAACAAATAACCTATTGAACGTAGTTTAGGAATGGGGCCATGCCTCTTCAAGTAGGCAAGTGTTCACTATTTGCTATTCTCCAGCTTGCTCCTGAATTCACTCTTAACAAAAGGTCAAGGAACTAGGAACTAGACCACACTCACTGATTGTAGTACCTACCTCAGCTTCCAACTTCCAAACCCCCAACCTCCTCCAACATACAGGTAAGAGAGACATGGGCACAGCCAGTTCTTCTGTTTTACTGGATGTGTGCTGCTTTCACTGTCTTGACAACAGAGGTGGCATTTTAAAAATTATTTTATTTATTATTTTTATTGGAAAGATTTACAGAGAAGGAGAGACAGATCTTCCATCCATTGATTCACTCCTTAATTGACCACAATAGCCAGAGCTGAGCTAATCCAAAGCCAGGAGTGTCTTCCTGGTCACCCATGCAAGTGCAAGGTCCTAAGGCTTTGGGTCATCCTTGACTGCTTTCCCAGGCCACAAGCAGGGAGCTGGATGGGAAGTGGGGCATTTGGGATATGAACTGGCACCCATATGGAATCCTGGCACATGCAACGTGAGGACTGTAACCACCAGCCTACTGCGATGAGCCCCAGAGGTGGCACTTCTTTAAGGCTGCTTTGCGGGTTTCCCACTGAGAATATGCACATTCCAAAAGCCCACCCATTGAAGCAAGGCTGGGTTGGTCTGGTATAGTGATAGTGATATCTAAATTAGTACCTGAACAAGAAGATGGGAATAAGCTTTAGGCTGGCTGTAAGAGACTACAGTTTGAGGTCTCCTTTCTCAAGAAGTAGGTATTCAAGTTTCCTTTGGGTGGGACCATCACAAACCTAACTACTGAGTTTGCTCCTCCTTCTAGCCTTTGGCAAGGACTCAATCTCACTGTTTCTTAACTGGTTTCTCCAGAAGTCCTGTGGAACTTGTTTGTTATCTTCAGGACCTGTCAGCCCAGAGCATGTCTAAACAAAGACTTATTCAGAGAATGAACCACAGAAAGAAGCAGCTAACACTGAAGAAATGAAATGGAAGAAAATGAGACTGCAAGATTAGACATTTGAACTTCTCTACTCACAAGATAATCTGAAAAAGAATTGGATTTTGATGATGACAAAGTACAGAGGATAAGTATATAGTATAAAGTATAGGAGAAAAATAATTCCCATATGGGCCCAGTGTGGTAGCCTAGTGGCTACAGTCCTCACCTTGCACATGCCAGGATCCCATATGGGCGCTGGTTCTAATCCCAGCAGCCCCACTTCCCATCCAGCTCCCTGCCTGTGGCCTGGGAAAGCAGCAAAGGCCAGCTCAAAGCCTTGGGACCCTGTACCCACGTGGGAGACCTGGAGGAAGCTCCTAGCTCCCAGCTTCAGATCAGCTCAGCTCCAGCCATTGTGGCCACTTGGGGAGACATCCAGCAGACAGAGGATCTTCTCTGTATCTCTGACTTTCCAATAAAAATTAAAATTTTAAAAAGATTTATTGGGCCCGGAGCGGTGGCGCAAGTGGTTAAGTCCTCGCCTTGCACGCCCGGGATCCCATATGGGCGCCGGTTCTAATCCCGGCAGCCCCGCTTCCCTTCCAGCTCCCTGCCTGTGGCCTGGGAAAGCAGTTGAGGACAGCCCAAAGCTTTGGGACCCTGCACCCGTGTGGGAGACCCGGAAGAGGCTCCTGGCTTCGGATCGGCATAGTATCGGCCCGTTGCGGCTCACTTGGGGAGTGAATCATCGGATGGAAGATCTTCCTCTCTGTCTCTCCTCTCTGTATATCCGCCTTTCCAATAAAAAATAATAATAAAAATAAATCTTTAAAAAAAAAAAAAAGATTTATTTGACTGCAGCACACGTGAGAACAAGGGAGGGAGGGGGCAGAGCTGGCAGAGGGAATGTAGTGGGGCTACCCTGCTCGACGGCTACTCCCACTGGAGAGCATGAGCTGGGATGGGGGCAGACTAGGCAGGGCTACCACACCTGTGGGCCTCATGTGGACTAGATCAGGGAGAGGCCAGGCTGGGCTGATTGTTCCTACTGGTGTAAACAAAAATTAGAATGGGTGAGGGTTGGTTAGACTTAGCTGCAGCATCAGCTGGCAGAAGCTGACACTGGGGGTTAATTCTGTCAAGTTACATTGCAGAATCACCAGGAGAGTGCATAATCCAGGAGTGGGAATGGCCTGGAAGGTAAATAGTGGGCTCCTCCCTCTTGGGTTACCACTCCCACTGGAGGGCACAAAAACTAGGACAGGGGCCGTGGTGGCTAGACAGAAAGGCACCCAAAAGCATCTGTGTGGGCTAGACAGTCAGGCTGGTTGGGTTGAACTAGGCTTCAATGTCCATTGACATGTATGAGAGCTGAATGGGATGTGGGACAGACTGGACTAGTCTGCTGCACATACTGGCAAGCATGGGAACCAAGGTAGAGGGCGGGCCTGTGGGGGTTATTGTGGGTCACTCCGACTAGGTTGCAGCTCCCACTGGTTTATGTGAGGGTTAAGTGGGTACTGGGCAGAACCAGGCTGGACTGCAACACCCACTGGTTCCAGTGAAAGTTGGGAGTGAAAACAGAACCAACCCAGCAATTGCAACCACCAGATGATTAGGGTGATGGACTGTGCCAGGCCCTGTACTTGCCAAGTACACACAAGAATCTGGTCTGGAATCACCTCAAAGACTTTGGGGATCTCCCCAATCTAACTGCCGGACTCAAAATCTTAACCATGAAAAGACAGAGGACAGAACAAATCAGTCAACTACCTCAGCCATATGTTGGCAGTGAAAAACAGGGCAAACAGAGACTCCAAGATGGACTGTGTCAATCAGAGGATTCCTCAGCGACCTCATCATGCTTGGAATGGCGAGATTGGCAGCAATTCAGAACTGTTGAACTATCAAAGCCACTTGAGCAAGAGCCTTGGGGCATGCCCCACATCAGGGACCTGGGATGGGTGGGAGACTGGGTGGGGCTTCTCCCTTTACCTCCCCTTAAACCCCATATATAGGGAAAAAAATGTGGAAATAATAGTCCCACCCACTTTCCTGTAGCCCTTGAACCTTTGTGCCCTAATTAACTATAAAGAATGTCGAAAATAAAGAAAAATATATGAAAAAGATTTATTTACATTTATTATTATTTTTATTTATTTATTTTCCCTGGTGGTGATGGAGGTTTGGAAACCTTTTGTCTTTGTAATCTCAGAGACTTGTTCTTGGCACCACAGGCTTCTGATGTTTGAGAAGGGCATATTTAGTCTCCCGAACATGTATAATTCAGATGTCAGCAAAGGACTTCTAGTCCCTCAGAGATGCAAGCTCAAATTACTGTTAAAATAACTAATCTAGGGGTGGGCACGTGGCACAGTGCTTAAAGATGGTGATATCAGAGCCCTGGCAATGCCCTCACTCTGCAGTGTGAACTCCTCTCCTCGCTTCCTGCAGGCTGTTCCAGGAACCTTCCCAGGGTCTACCTGCCTCCTCTTTCCGGGAAACATCAAAGGGCTGACTCCAGATAAAAACTATTTTCCCTAAAACATATCCTAGGTAGGATGGCCTCTACATCACAGTTTCCCTGAAAGCAGGAAGGCAGGTAGGTGTGTGCAGGCAGAAACCGGCTTTGGTAGAACACTATGCTTTTAAAACAAACATCCCCCAGGCGTCTCATTCTCCTCCGTTAACTTTGAGCTATTTTACAACTGTGTCAGTTACAAGTAACAGGGATAACCAATTAATTCTACCAGGCACAAACTTCCAAGACTGGTAAGGAAAAAGTGCAAACTCTCATTTTTGAAGACTTATTTTTATTTTACTATGCAAACCCAGTTACTCCAGCTCTAAGCAGTACCTAGCAAGGAACACTTCATAGTTTCACCTTGCTAGCAGGACTATGCCCTCAAAAAAGTGGCTCTGGCAGGTGATCCTGGCTCTCACTTCTCAGAGGAAGTTCCCCATTTGGAAACATAAACTCCTAGACACCGTCTCTCTCCTTTTTTTTTTTTTTTGCAACCCTTATGGACCCTACCCAACACAGCCAGGAGCTTTGGTTTTCCTTTGCTGAATAAACTTTCTTCTTTGTTCATGTGCCTAAATCTCTGTGGGTGTGAGACAAACAACCCTTTGAAGAGAAAGGGCTACAGCGCATCTGAAAGTTTGGGCAGAAAGAAAAATGTGCAACATGAAATGAAATGGTCTAATTCCATTTCCTATCAGCTTTTTGAAGGCTGTGTGTTTGTGTGTCTGTGTCTCGGCTGAGGGTTAACTAACTGAAACAGAAATCCAGAATGTTCCCAAGCCCCAAACTGGGTCCATTATCTATGTAAGGCCCCGCCTGGGTGGGTGAGGGGCAGCCCAGGAGCAGGCTGAGAAAGGTGGCTGATAAACCACAGCTGCAGAATACAGCCCCCTCAGCAGAGCAGTGGAACAGTGACCAAGGTCAAAAGGCACCCACAGCACTCGATAGCACCATCTAAGGGGCATTTCTTTGTCCCCCAAAACTCCACCTTTACAGCCCTCTAATCGTATTCCCCATTTCCTGGCCCGCTGTCTACCGGACCAGTGAACCTCAGCCGGGAGCGCTCCCAACAAAGCTTGTTTTAAGCTGACCTTTACTCTGCGTGAATTTCTGGTTCTGAACATGAACTTGAGCCTTACAATCTACCAAACCGCAGATGCACTAAATACTATTGTGTGGTGCAAGTCTAGGAAATATTAAGGAGTCTTTATTAACCAACTGTGGTGATGGCCAGGCCTGCTTAGAAATTGACAAATGACAAGTCAACGTGGCAATCCAGTCTGAATGGAAACCCTGAGAGGAACAAATGTTCATTACCGTGGAATCTGTTAAACTCAAGCTGTTCCAGCTTCCCCAGTGATATAAATTACCCAAGAGATGTGCAGGGAACACCCTGGATACACTCCCAAAGCTGTAAACATTCACCTTTTCCTGGCTTCTCTGTTTACATTCCATTACCATTAGACCTCACGGCTCCTGGAACTCTTGAAAGGACACAAATAGAAACACAAAACATCTTAGCATTTGCATCTTTCCTGACCTACCGAAGCCGTGAACAGAGGTGAGGAATACAGACAGAGGCCATGTTCAAGGGCTTCCTGTCCTCATAGTCTGTCCACCGGAAGCCAAGTCTGTGGGAAGCTATAAGAGCACCCGAAGCACATGACCAGGAAAGCGAGCCGCTCCCTATCATGGGCCTTTATAGGGGCTTGAGAGGGGAATGGTTACAACACAGTACTACTTCCTCTCAGTTGAGGTTAGGTAAGCATCCTTTGACTCATAGGTGACCAGAAAGCATCTCCTGGATTGGGGAGGCATGGCTTCCAAGCTCAGGACCCTGAACCAGCTGCCTAAGATCAAAACACTACCCATAGGCTATGTGTAGAAGGCGGAGATGGAACACAAATGGATTGTCATTGATCTCATCCTCAAATTATACTACCCAAACAAATCTGAAACGAGAAATACAAGAATTTTGGAAAAGTCAACCTGTATATATAAATTGATTCCATTGATAAAGCACAGGGTAAATATATTTTTGATGCTGCATCTGAAGCACTTCAGCACTGCGGTGGACACGGGGAAGCAGGGGCGCAGAGACCATAAATGTTTTCAGTATTAACTGCAGCCTTTGTCGCTCTGTGTAGGTGCAGCAGGCCACTTGCGACCCTGAGGGCGATGGGAGGTGGAGGGCGGCTGTAAGTACGCTGCTGCCGACCGGCCCAGAATGGCCTTAGAGAATGCCTCCCACTAGGCTGCCACCTTTGTCCCTGGCCCCGCAGTTGCTGAGATTGCACGCGGACTCCTATCCGCGTCCCATCGCGGTGCCCAGCGGTCGAGCAGGTTCTTCCCCTGTAAAGTGTAGGATTTTGGAGAACTCGCTCGCTGAAGGACCCTGCCGTGGGCCCCTCCCCCGCCCCAGCCTTTGGCACGAGGCCGTGAAGGGAGAGGAAGAAGGACGGGGTGGTTTAACAAAAGGGCTGGACCACTGGGCGCACCGCCCCGCGGGCCGCACGAGACAGACACCAGAGAAGCAACCGCCGCCGGCCGCGGGCCTCGCCTCAGCCCTTCCGGCCGCCCGACCCGGCGCGCCTCGCGGGAAGGGGGCGAGGCCTGGGCCGAGGCGCAGGCGCAGGCGCGCCGGCTCCAGCTCGGTCCCCGCCCAGCGGCGCGGGGGGCGGCGGCGGCCGCGGCGGTGACAGCCGCTCCCCGCCCCCGGCGGCCCGGCCACGTCCCTCACGTAGCGGCCGGCCGAGACGCGGAGCGGCGGGCTGGCGCCGGGGCTCCGGCTCCTCCGGCGGGGCTAGGCCATGAAGCTGGCGCGGCTGCTGCGCGGAGCCGCCGTGGCCGGCCCGGGGCTGCGCGCCGCCGGCCCCCGCGACCGTCGCAGCTTCGCCTCAGACTCCGGTTCGGGTCCGGCGGCGGAGCGCGGCGTTCCGGGCCAAGTGGACTTCTACGCGCGCTTCTCGCCGTCGCCGCTCTCCATGAAGCAGTTCCTGGACTTCGGTGAGTGCGGCCCGAGCCCTCGGGCCTTTGTTGCTCGCTCCGGGCTGGGCGCTGTGGCTGCCGGGGCGGCTTCGGAGCACCGTCTTGTCTGTAACGTCTTCCTTCTCCTCAGCGCCCTCGGTGCTTCCTCTCTCCCTCGCGGGTGGCCGCGCTCACGACCCCCGGTAACCGGGGCTTGGGATTTTGTACTGTCTGCTTAAAAACAAATTTGCGGTGGACCGCGGGCGGCACGACGCTCCGCCTTTCGCGCTGCACGTGTGCCAGGGTACGCTGGCTTTGGGGCGGATTCCGCAGGGTGATGAGAAACGTGCAGTTTGGCATGGCATGGTTGCAAAGAATTGGCGTGATGACAGGCAAAGCGGGTTCGAACCGGCCTACTGTTTGTTGGAAGGTTTTTCTTGCCACCGACAGGCACGTCATGTAACGTCGGTAGCAGGTGCTGTGGAGTTGACCACATGCACCTGGCATTCCCTGGGAGACGGTGTAACAGATGGCAGAAGGAACTGCGAGTCAGGCGTTTAACCATAAAATTTGAGTAGCAGAAGTTATCTACATTGTGAGTGCCACCAGGTGACCAGCATCGCCTGTGGACCCAAGTAGATACCGACATCTCTGGCAACTTTATCTGAAAACTGGTTTGCAGTAGCAAATTCGCTTTTGGCTCCAAGCCCTCCTTTTTTGTTTTTCTAGAGTGATGAAAGGGGGTGAATTTGACCTTGCTCACAACATTCTTTCACAAGGACATGTTTTCCTTTAAAGCCATAATTCCCAGTGCTGACATTCTGAGTTTTGCAAAGATTGTCCCTGCTAAAACCATAAGATTGTCACTGAACTCAAAATGTCACTGAAATAATCTAATCTTCAGTTTAAAATTTTTTTTAAGTTAAAATACTTTTGGGGGGACCCAGCGCGGTGACCTAGCAGCTAAAGTCCTCACCTTGAACGCCCCGGGATCTCATATGGGTGCCGGTTCTAATCCCGGCAGCCCCGCTTCCCATCCAGCTCCCTGCTTGTGGCCTGGGAAAGCAGTTGAGGATGGCCCAATGCTTTGGGACCCTGCACCTGCATGGGAGACCTGGAGGAGGTTCCTGGCTCCTGGCTCTGGATCAGTACAGCACCAGCCGTTGTGCTCACTTGGGGAGTGAATCATCGGATGGAAGACACACGTACACAGTCATGCACAGACGGGCTCCCATCCACTGGTTCATTCCTGCAGGTGCCAGGACTGGGTCAGGCTGGGGCAGGGAGTGGGCAACTCAATCCAAGTCTCCCACATGAACAGCAGGAACCAACCTTAGCTGGACTGTCACCACCCCCCCACCCCCACCCCATCCTGGCCAGCGGGGGAGCTCAACCCTCTGATCTGGGTTACTGTTGTTTCAACTGCCTGGTTAAACATCATCCTGGTTAGTGTAGCTTTAAACTTTGTGGAACTGTTTGCTAAAGGAGGATTCTGTTCACTTTTTTGCTTCCCTGTCAGGATGCTAAGGTAGAAAGGGGCAGGTGACTGAGGAATCAGAGAGATGTGTAGGGCCTTGCGGATGATTGCTGTGCAGATGTTGGTGATTTTCCACCACCCGGAAGCCCTCCTGGGCTCTCTTGTTGCTGGTAGTGATCGGTGGTCGTGATCTTTCACGGATTCCATCTTCTTTTGTACTTGGAATGTTTCCCAGTTTTCCTGGCTAGGTGCTCACCCTGGATAAAGAGTTAGGAGTCGGGCCCGGCGCGGTGGCACAGTGGTTAAGGTCCTCGCCTTGCACACCGGGATCCCATATGGGTGCCGGTTCTAGTCCCGGCAGCCCCGCTTCCCTTCCAGCTCCCTCCCTGTGGCCCGGGAAAGCAGTCGAGGACGGCCCAAAGCCTTGGGACCCTGCACCCGTGTGGGAGACCCGGAAGAGGCTCCTGGCTCTGGATCGGCATAGCATCAGCTGTTGCGCTCACTTGGGGAGTGAATCATCGGACGGAAGATCTTCCTCTCTGTCTCTCCTCTCTGTATATCCGCCTTTCCAAAAAAAAAAAAAAAAACAAAGTTAGGAGTCAGCTTTTCTAAATGCTAGCTGTCCCAGGGTGTGGAGGGCAGGCTTCTGAGCCTGGCTCAGATGTGCCCCACCAGTTTCAGCTCTAGCATGCTCTTAGCTCATCCCAGTGAGGATTGTCGGGAGTGGGGGAGTCCTTCTGAGAACCCCGACACTGGGTTCTTCTCCACTCCTGCCTCAGACAGCAGCATCACCCCCTGCTGGTCCCGTCCCAACCCCCCCCCCCCCCCAGCATCACCCCCTGCTGGTCCCGTCCCAACACCCCCCCCCCCCCCGCGGTGTGTGTGTTTGTGTGTGGTCATACTGCCTTCTCAGACAATTCCTGTGTTTTTTGCTGTTGCCACACCTCCACCTTAAAGCGTTTACTTACTGCTCTCCCCATGGCCTTGGGTTCCAGGATCGGTGAACGCTTGCGAAAAGACCTCATTTATGTTTCTGCGGCAGGAGTTGCCTGTCAGATTGGCAAACATCATGAAAGAAATAAGTCTGCTTCCCGATAACCTTCTCAGGACACCATCTGTTCAGTTGGTGCAAAGCTGGTAAGGTTCCCATGCTGTGGTCATAATTTCTGTGGAGCTGTGAGTTTTACTCAATGTTGAACTAAATGCGTTCTTACTCTTCAGTGACATTTAAAACGGTGCTTGTCTTCCATTCTTTTGTCAAATCTGAATTTGTCTTCTGAATCCTGAAGTCATCACTTTTTGGTCATCAGAAAGCCAGCTGGAACTGTGCAGAAGCCGAGATGAGAGCTCCATGATTTGTGTTACTGAACCTGCAGGGGTAAAGAGAAGTGCCTACCATGTGTAAATAGCTGGGCATGTACAATCTCTTTAACCACCCTGCATGGGGAAAATGCTTCCATTCCATTTTGCATATGAGGTGTGCTAAACCTTGCTGTGGTCAGAATGATGAAATATATGAAGGCAAATATCTTTTTTGTAAACTGAATTTACTTTATTGAAGTAAATCTTTCTATAGAGCACAACAGTTAAAGTGTCTGTTTTCCCATTTTAAGACAGAAATTTCTGAATCATAAACTGATTTTCCTCCCAAAAGCAGCACTACGGAGTCTTAACAGTATAAACTCACCTGGTGACCAATATGCAGCCTTCACTGTTCACAGCATTCATTTAAAAGTGTAGTTCTTGGAAGCACTCTGCATTTCAGACAGAAAACAAGCAAAAAAAGAGAGATAGCCAGAGTTAATATCATACAGTGAAAAAATATGGCTGCAAGACATTTCCCAATTACAGTTTTGTGGAGATCTAGTTTTCCTTTCCACATTAAAGTTTGTGTGAGAAGGTGGTCTAATGTCAGTTTTAAGTATGGGCAAAGGCTGTGTGGCTATTCTGTGTATGGTAAGATGCTCTCTAGGCCAAGTTGTAGAGGTAGTTTAAGTGAAAAAAATTGATTTGACAGTGTAAGTAAAAATTTTCAAGGAAACTCCTCCCTGTTTTTTTTTTTTAAATTCTTCACAAAAATGATAAGTCTTGGCTTCTGAATGATCTGTGCCTCACATATTACAGGTACTCACATGTCTGTTGGAAGGCAAGCATAGTATTTCTTGGCAAGGATGTGGAAATTAAGGGTTAAAGTGCCCAGTAGCTGTCTGACACTTGAGTTGAAATGCAGGGAGGAACACAGCTGGTCAGGAATAGCTTTCCAGACCAAGCAGTGGATTTACAGACTGTCGGCATGTTTGTTGCCCTGATTCCTGCTAAGTGGGCACAGTTTTAGATAGCGAGCTTTCAGATAAGCCGAGCGATGTCACCCTGTTGGAAGATGCACTCAGATGGTCCTGAAGTAACCTAAGCTCTGACCCTGCATTGTCTTGGTACTTGTTTACATGACTTGAAAATCACATGACCCTCCTCCTCTTGGTTATTCTCAAACAGGCACTTTGCTGCCTTGAATCATTAGGTAGAATAAAAACTTACATTTTCATCACTTTTGTGTTTTTATTCATTGCTGTTTGAAAGAACTGTGTGGTAGATTGTAGACTTTCAACAAATATTTGTTGCCTGGCCATAGTCATCTCAAGATTTTAAAGCACAGACATTAAGATAGGCTGGCCTCATTTTATTGACTACACGTCATCTATAGATTGGTGACATGGGAAGTCTCGTGATTCGTCAGTATTTATACTATAATATACAGTGGGATTTAAAAAATTAAAATCTGTTTAGGGATATAGAACTTAAGAAGGAATAGAAAATCTTGAAATTCTTGTATTAAATGTAGCTTAAGCTTCAAGGGCAAAATTTGCATATTCTACTACTTTATGACCAGTGCTTTGCTCAAGTGTGAGTGAGTATAAAAGCTGTAACTTCAAACATGATTATATAATGTAACAGTATTGCAAATTTAAAGGTGGTTAAAGTAACTTGAGCTAAATTTCACAGTATTGAATTTTCAGAATGTAAGTGAGAACATGGGCTCTTGGTTTGCATTTTAGGTACATCCAGAGCCTTCAGGAGCTTCTTGAGTTTAAGGACAAAAGCGCTGAGGATGCGAAAGCCATTTATGAGTAAGTGTGCTCTATTGAGCATATCCTGAACACAATTTTAAACATCACATTAAAAAATGTGAGTATATGAGCCTTAGACCTTCTGTTGGGTCACCTTAGGGAACATGATAAGCTTTTACGTTACCGCTATTTAGAATGTACAGTGGTACAGGTTGAGATCCCTGATCCAAAACCTGAAATGCTCCCCCAATAAAGCAGAATCCACTGCCTGTGTGGTGGTTACAAACATTCAGAAAGTTCCGGGCTTTGAAGCAGTATGGGTTTGTGGTTTGGGAATGTTCAGCTGTGCAGATATTTCAAAATTCAAAAGCATTTGAAGCACAACTTGTGGTTGTGAGAGCGTTTTGGATGAGAGAGATTGTGTGTACTCGTATCACAAGACAGATAGTTTATAAATTGGATTGAGCAGTGCCTCCTGTTCATCTTTGTGCTGTTTAATGTGATGATGAATGGAAATCTAGATGTGGTCTCTGTGTTGCTTGGAGAGTATGTGCATTTAACTTATACTTACTTGAAGGGTCTGGTAATAGAACAAGTGAATGCAGGTAAGCTCAGTTGGTTTACTCCGCAAATACCTGCAACAGCCAGAGCTTGGCTGGGTCAAAGCTAGGAGCGTGGACCTCCTTCCAGGTCTCCCGCGTGAGTGGCAGGGACCCAAGTACTTGAGTCATCTTCTGCTGCACCTCAGGATGCATTAGCAGGAAGTCGGATTGAAAGCTGAGCAGCTGGGTGTCTAACCAGCTTTTTGCTAGCGGATGTGAGCAGTTTAATTTTTCTGTCCTCCAACATCTTCTCTGTTAAACATTTTGAAATGCCAAAGAACTATCAAAATATGACTTCATGTCATGAGTTTTAAGATCTGTGGTTTGTAACATAATATTAGTAACATGAACAGTTTAGTAATCAGCTTTCCCAAACTGATAAACCGAAGTATTCACCTCCGTTGCTTATTCCAGTAAATGTTGTTGAACCTATGAAGACTACCTCTTGTCTTTAGACTGTCTTTAACAGAAATGGCAATGCTTATTGGGGCCAGCACTGTTGCATGGTGGGTAATGCCACTGCCTGCTTGTTCAGATCGCTGTTGCTCTGTATCTGATCCAGTGTCCTGATAATATCCTGGGAAAACAGCAAAGCATAGCCTAAGTGCTTGGACCCCTGCACTCACGTGGGAGACCCCAGAGACTCCTGGCTTCAGACCAGCCCAGCTCCAATTGCCGCAGTCATTTGCGGAGTGAACCAGTTGATAGAAGGTCTATATCCTTCTCTCTTCCCCTCAGTGAAAATACTCTTGCTTACAAATGAATAGATCTTTATAAAAATTCATTTTCATTGTATTTGAAAGAGGTTGAGATGGAGCTAGCATCAGAAACTGTGTGCCATCTGTTGGTTCTTTTGCCAAACACCCTAAACATCTGAGACTGGCCCAGAGAAAAGCTGGGAGTCAGAAGCTGAGTGTCTGTGTCTCCATGTAGGCGGCAGGGACCCAGGTTATGAGCCATTACCTGCTGCCTGCCACAGTGTGCAGAATTCTAGATTCCTGGCTTTGACTTGACTCAGCTCTTGCAGTTGTGACCATTTAGGGAGTGAAAAACTTGGTAAAAGATCTTGTTTTCCTGTCCCTCTGCCTTTCAAATAAAGTAAACAGAAGAGCTGCTAAATTATTATACAGCAAGTCAAACCTCTACATACGCTGATCTTTCTTTTTTTTTTAAGATTTATTTTTATTTTTATTACAAAGTCAGATATACAGAAAGGAGGAGAGATAGAGAGGAAGATCTTCCGTCCGATGATTCACTCCCCAAGTGAGCACAACAGTTGGTGCCATGCCGATCTGAAGCCAGGAGCCAGGAACCTCCTCCAGGTCTCCCACACGGGTGCAGGGTCCCAAAGCATTGGGCCATCCTCAGCTGCTTTCCAAGGCCACAAGCAGGGAGCTGGATGGGAACTAGAGCTGCCGGGTTTAGAATCGGTGCCCATATGGGATCCCGGGGCATTCAAGGTGAGGACTTTAGCTGCTAGGCCATGCTGCCAGGCCCATATGCCGATACCTCATTGGAATGCTGTGTAAGTCCCAGGTGCTCTGCTCCCAATCCCTGCTAGTGCGCCTGGGAAAGTAGCCAAAGGTGGCCCAAGTACTTGGGGCCTGCTACCCTTATTTCTTAAGAAACCCAGGTGGAGTGCTTGGCTCCCAGTTTCAGCCTGGCCCTCATGGAAGATTTCTGTCAGTCTGCCTTCCAAACAAACAAATAGATCTTTCTGAAAAAGTAAACATTAATACCTGAAAACAACCATGAACCAAATCTAGAAAATGGCAGTCAAGCAGAATAATTTGTTTTAAACATTTATTTACTTATTTACGTGAAGGGCAGAGTTAGAAAGGATTTCCGTCCACTGATTCACTGCCCAGTTGACCACAACAGCCAGTGTTGGCCCAGGCCCAAACCAGGAGCCTGGAACTCTATCCGGGTCTCCCATGTGGTTAATAGGAGCTCAGACACTCTGGCTGTCTTGTGCTTTCACAGACATGTTAGCAGGTAGCTAGACCCAAATGAAGTAGCCAGGGACTCAAGCTAGTTTTAATCTGCTCCCCACACATCAGCCCCTGCTTTTGTTCAGAAGAGATAAGCAGAGTTGTTTTTGTTTTTGATGAGTCATTTTGTTAGTATTTTGGTTTAACAACTTGACTTTGAAGATAATGAATGACTAACTAGGAATGTATATCACTAAGAACATAGAGATAAGTTAATTATACTCAAAACTTTGGAGGGGAGTGTAAAGTATGATGAACATGTTTGGAAATTGGTTTTGTGTTTTTGTGATGAGGACTTCGAGCTTCTTTATTTGGGTGAGAAGGATAGAGGGTTATAGGGAAAAGTGAGTGAAACCATCGTTTTCCAGATTCTCTTCTTTCTGGGGGAAGCCACATTCAGTCTCCCAAATGTTCCAGTACCCAGGGAGGGGTGACCGCCACCCAATATCAATCCAGGATCTCGCCGTAGAGCATGTTCTCAAGATTCTGACCAGTGGTTTGGATAGTTCTGAAATGCCATCGATTTCACAGATCCAAGGGTGAGGCAACCCTCCCAGTGTCCATTGGCTGCCATAGTTGACCTCAAGTCTCCATTCACCCAGATTTATGCTGTCATCGTTTGCTGGGATAGTTGTCCAGTTTGCTCTGTTCTCCTTCCTCTGCTATGGTTCCAAATGGGCTGTCAAATTCTCTATGTGCATCAGGGTCTGGGTCTATGCTATGCCTGTTTCACTCTCAGGCAGGTCCAAGGACCAGGACCAGGTGCCTAAGCCCTGCCAGATCCCCTCCGCAGAGGGCTCATGAACCCAGCACCCACCTAGCATGTGTGCCTCAGGACCCAGGCCAGATCATCCAAACCCTGCCCCCAGACTCATGAACCCAGCATCTACTGCTCAGGCAGGCCAAGAGACCAGAAGGGTCAGGTCACCTGAATCCCACCGGATCCCCCGCCCCCAGGGCTCATGAACCCAGCACCATGGAAAGCACACTGGTTCTGCCTTACTGAGTTTGGGATTTCTTGCCAGGTACAGTTGCTTCAGCTTATACTCAAGTATTCCCTTATAAACATTGGCTGTTTTGACATGGGTTTGCTTAGCTTTACAGATACTGTGATCCGAATCAGGAACCGCCACAATGATGTAATTCCCACAATGGCACAGGGAGTGGTTGAATACAAGGAGAGCTTCGGGGTGGATCCTGTCACCAGCCAGAATGTTCAGTACTTCTTGGATCGATTCTACATGAGTCGCATTTCAATTAGAATGTTGCTCAATCAGCACTGTAAGTGTCCGGAAGTCGAGAGAAGAAGCTACCTAAAATGTGCTGGTAGAAAACTTCCCTTTCAAGAGAACATTTATTTCACTCTTTTGCTTGTTAGAAAAAGTAAGGAACTGCCAGATAATGGAGATTACATTTTATTGGATGTAAAATACTGTTTATGAAGCAAAAAGTATTTGTTCCATTTCTCTGTATTCTTTTGAGAAATAGCATTCAAATCTAGTAAAGGTCATTTTAACTTAAAACAGAAAACTTTGTTTTCTGTTTTTACTTTTGTTAGCTTTATTGTTTGGTGGGAAAGGAAGTCCATCTCATCGAAAACACATCGGAAGCATAAATCCAAACTGCAATGTAGTTGAAGTTATTAAAGGTAAGCACATTTCTCCTGTCAAAATATATACAAAGCTCCAAGCTGTTGAGTGTGTTTCTTGCTGTTAAGACAACTACCATTTGTAATGTGATAGAAAATGTTAGGAACAAAAGCTTTTTGCTTTTATATTTTTTTGTAATTTTTATTTATTTGAGAGGCAGTGTTAGATAAAGGAGAGAGAGATTTTTCATCTGCTGGTTTGTTCCCCAGGTCGCTGCAATGACTGGGGCTGGTCCGGGTCAGAACCAGGAGATTCTTCCAGGAGCCCATGCACTGGGACCATCCTCTGCGGCCTTTCCAGGCCAGTAGCAGGGAGCTGGATTGGAAGTGGAGCAGATGGGATGCCGGTGATGTAGGTGTTGGCTCTACTCACTGTGCCACAACACTGGCTGCAAATATGTGGATTTGAAAATAGCTTCATAACATTAATTGTGCCCTATGTAAAGGATGAGTATTTTGTCAGCACAGTTCTCTTTGCTAGGGAAAAATCTTAGGGTACTAAAAAGGGCATGTGTCTTACTTTAAAACATTCAAATCCCTACTCCCTCCTTTTTTTAAAAAAGATTTATTTATTTTTTATTTTAAAGTCAGATATAGAGACAAGAGGAAAGACAGAGAGGAAGATGCTCCATCTGCTGACTCCCCAAGTGGCCACAACGGTTGGTGCTGAGCCAATCCAAAGCCAGGAGCTTCTTCCAGGTCTCCCACATGGGTACATGGTCCCAAGGTCTTGGGCCATCCTCGACTGCTTTACCAGACCACAGACAGGGAACTGGATGGGAAGTGGAGCAGCCATGATTAGAACCGGCACTAATGTGGGATCCCGTCATGTTCAAAGTGAGGACTTTAACCACTAGGCTACCATGCTTGCCCCGACTCCTCGCTTTTTTTAGTGTTTCTTTTTTTATGATTTATGCTTTTTGTTTACATTTTAGTTGTTTTTTTTTGTAAAGATTTATTTATTTCCACTGGAAAGGCAGATACACAGAGAGGAGGAGAAACAGAGAGGAAGATCTTCTGTCTAATGGTTCACTCCCCAAGTGAGTGCAATGGCTGGAGCTGAACCAATCTGGAGCCAGGAGCTCCTCCAGGTCTCCCACATGAGTGCATGATCCCAAGGCCCCAGACCATCCTTATCTGCCCTCCCAGGCAGGGAGCTGGATGAGAAGTGGAGCCGCTTGGACTAGAACCGGTGACCATATGGAATCCTGCCGTGTGCAAGGCGAGAACTTTAACCACTACACTATCTTGCTGGGCCAAGTTTTATTTGTTCATTTGAAAGGCAGACAGAGTGACAGATAAGGGGAGGGGAGAGATAGAGTTATCTTCTACCTGATAGTTCACTCACAGAATGTCTGCAACAAGTAGAGCTCACACTGGGCCCAAACCAGAAGCCATAAACTCCATTTAGTTCTCACATGGGTGGTAGGAACCCAAGAACCCAAGAACTGGACCATCCCTTGGCTCAGTAGCAGGAAACTGGATGAAAAGCTGAGCTGGGACTCAATCCCAGGTATTCCAGTGTAGAAGGCAGGTGTCCCAAGTGGTGACCTGACCACCTGTGCCGAAGTGCCTGCCTCAGACCTTCCACTCCCCAGCCTTTTCAAGTTCCTTTTATTGGGAACAATGACTCATAAACAGTTTGAATCTTTTCACAGCTTTTTTTTTTTTTTTTTTTGGCTACTTCACACACATATTGGCTTGCAGAATTGTTGATCTTATTTTGCCTTTTGAAAATTGCATATTGTATGTTTTTCTGCAATTTTATAGACACCATGTTTTACATGTGGGTCCACCCAGGGAGCATTTACTTCATCTATCCAAGAGGCAGAGGGAATTCCCTGTCATACCCCAGCTCACTTCCAAATGCCTGCACTGTGGTGGGAGTGGAATCTAGCATCCAGGAGGGGTCAATCCAGACCTCCTGTGTGGGTGGCAGGGACCCAGCACTTGAGCCATCACCTGCTGCCTTCTAGGGTCCGTATTATCAGAAACTGGAGTTAGGGGGAATCAAACTCAGATACACTGAAGTGGGATGGTACTGGCATCCTAACTGGTGTTTGAACAGCTAAGTCCAACACCCATCCCCACCTCAAGTTTTCCATAGCTATATGAAGTATACCAATATGATCCATCCTCTTCTTGAGTCACAATCAGGCTGTTTTTAGGGTTTTTTTTCTATTGTCAGCAGTACTGCAGAGAACATCCTTAGATGTGTAGTGGTTTTTGCTAGTATTTTAGAAGACAAGTTTTCATTTTTTTTTTTTTTGACAATCTTTACGTAGTTAATTAGGGTAAAAAGGTTCAAGGGCTACAGGAAAGTGGCTAAGACTAGTATTTTTTCCATATTGTTTCCTTCATGTTTAAAGGGGGTATTAAGGGAGAAGGCCCTCCCAGTTTCCCACCCTCCCCAGGTCCCGGATGTAGGGCATGCTCTGAGGTTCTTGCTCAAGTGGTTTTGATATTTCAACAGTTACGAATCGCTGCCAATCTTGCCACTCCAAGCACTATGAGGTCTTTGAAAAATCCACTGATTGACATAGTCCATCATAGCTGAGATGGTTGATTGACCTGGTCTGTCTTCTCTCTTTTCTTGGTTAGGGTTCTGAGTCCAGCATTTAGATTAGGAAGATCTTCAAAGAAACTTCTTGTATGTACTAGCAAGTACAGGGCCCGGCACAGTCCATCGCACCAATCAGGTGGTGGTTGTAATTGCTGGGTTGGTTCTGTTTTCACTCCCGACTTTCACTGGAACCAATGGGTGTTGCAGTCCAGCCTGGTTCTGCCCAGTACATACTTGGCCCTCACATAAACCAGTGGGAGCTGCAGCCTAATTGGAGTGACCCTCAGTAACCCCCACCAGGCCCGCCCCCTACCCTGGATTGCCAGTATTTGTAGCAGTAATCCAGTCTGTCCCACACCCCATTCCACCCCAGCTGCTGTCTTAGTTTTATGTTCTCCTGTGGAAGTGGTAACCCAAGAGGGATGAGCCCACTATTTCCCATCCAGGCCTCTCCAACTCCGAGATTCCAGCTGATGCTGTGGCTAAGCCCAAACAACCCTCGCCCACTCTAATTTTGTTTACACCAGTAGGAATAATCCGCCCAGCCCGGCTTTTCCCTGATCCAGGACACATGAGGCACACAGGTGTGGTAGCCTTGCCTAGTCTGGTCTGCCCCCTTCCCAGCCCAAGCTCTCCTGCGGGAGTAGCTGTCCAGCAAAGGAACCCTCCCTTATTCCCCTGCTCCCTCTGCCCCCTCCCTTCCTTGTTCTTGCGCTGGTTGGGCGCTGCGGTCCCTTCTGGTACAGGCAACCTCACCTTGGCATTCCTTATTGTGCACTAGTCATTGTTGTGACCGAACCTGGCTCGACCCACACTGGTGCTTGGATTTGCCAGTGGATGATGTGGACAGATTCAGCCTGGTCTTCCCCCAACCCCTGCCAATTGTATGCCAGTGGGTAACTTTCCATGGCCTCTTCTGGGCTGTTTCCTATCATGTTTCTTGCGCTTACCTGCCGGGTCTGTGTCCTGCCAGAGAAGTTGCCCAGGCTCCTCCATCAGAACCTCTCCCAATGCCAGGTTTCATGCTTACCAGTGGGTCCATAGGCCAGCCCTACTCAGTCCACCTCCTGTCATAGCAGGAACTGTGGCTTTTCCTGACTGGCCTTCAACCCAATCTGGTTCTTGCTGTTGGATGTTTCAGCCCAGCCATGGTTTGTCCATACCCACATATGGCTCACACATGGCTCAGTAGGGGTTTGAGACCTTGCCTAGTCCATCGCACATCTGCCCTGGTCCTCCAGGACACCAGGGGGTGTTGGGGTCTGGCCCGGTTTGGTGCATCCAATCCCAGTCCACACTTGTGCCAAGGGAGACTACAACTGTTTCCAAATCAGAACGCAGCCCCCATTCCAGGTCACACGCCCCTTGGCAGGAATGTCAACCCAGCTTGGGTTATCCCCTTAGCTCCTCTACCAGGCCTGTTCCCAGCCATAGTTCACTCGCATGCCAGTGGTTGCTCTGACTCAGCTTGGCACAGCCCCTCACCTGTCCTGATCTCTGCCTTAGACACTGTGGCTTAGCGTCCCTGGCTCATGTGGACCACTAGGTGCAAGAGCCTAGCTCGGCATGACCTGTGCTCCCTCCTGGTTTCTAGTTTTGCTTGTGGGCTAAGGTTTGCTCAGTCGTGCCTGATCTACTCTGTTCCGTTACCAGTTGACACATTAGCCAGCTGTTGGAGCTGCTTTTGCAGGACAAGCCCCAAGCCATAGCTTTTGCATGGACTGGTATTTGGTGGTCGGCATTGTTCAGTGATTACAAGTTTTACAAAGGAAGAGTTACTGCCAGTGGGAATCTTTACGAATGTTTCAGGTCCTAGAAGCACAATGGGTTCAACCTGGAGCTAATTAAGCAGCGACTCAAAGCACCAAAACCTCAGAGCTCCCCGGCTGGGTGGCCAGCAGGCAGAGCCTGACACCAAATGGCGCACTGGCTACCTGGGGACAGCTTACCACGTGCACGTGGTGGGTGTGGTCTGGGATCCAGGCATGAGACGCCCCGGAAGACAAGTTTTCTGTAATTGAGAATATCCAGGAGTAGATGTTTGGCCTGACAATTTGGAATTGCTGGGTGACATTCTAAAGCCACGTTGATTCCCTTGATCTGTGATGACACTAATTAAGAACCACACATGCAAGTGAACCAGTACATGGGAGCTCTGTTTCTATCCTTAGCCTCTCAAGCACATAAATAAATGCAGATTTTTAAAAGAAATTGAAATACTTTAATTTCTGATACTTCCAAAGAGATATCAAACAGTGGATTAGAATACCTTTCTAGGGCAAGCATTGTGGTTGAGCGTGTAAAGCTGCTACCTGTGGTTCTGGCATTCCATATGAACTCTGGTTTGTGTGCCAGTGGCCCTTGCTTCTGACCAGCTCCCTGCTTATGGCCTGGGATAAGCAGGGGAGAGTAAACCACATATTTGGGCCCCTGTCACCCAAGTGGGAGACATGGATAAAACTTCTGGCTTTGACCTAGCCTAGCCCTGGCTATTGGGACCATCTGGGGAGTAAACAGGCAGATGGAAGATTTCTCCCTCTCTGTCCTTTCCTCTCTAACTCTTTGGAATAAATGTCCTAAGCTTTCTGCAGCTGATTTTTTGCATATTTAATTATATTTTGTTTATATTTTTCCATAGGGATCTTTAAAAGGTTTTTTTAAATAGTTATATGTGATTCTTCCTTTATGATTATTTGGCTATATTATATTACACTTAGAAAGACCTTTCCAAAAGTAAAATTGATATATATGTTTTCTTTGGTAGAGTTTAAATTTTTCGTGTATTAATACTGTTGATATCTTAATGCATGAAAGAGAAATAAATCTATTTAATGCCTTCTTTTCATTTTGATTCAAACTAGATGGCTATGAAAATGCTAGGCGTCTGTGTGATTTATATTATATTAACTCTCCTGAACTAGAGCTTGAAGAACTAAATGGTAAGCCTGATGTTTTCTTCTCCCCAGAGATTAGTTGTAATTGCCAAGTTAGAGTTGTTTTGGCAGAAGAGGACTCATCAGTTTTTTCATGGATTGTGGAAACTGATAGACTGTATATTTCTGTGTGAATCTATATTATACACACATATATATAATTTAGTTGTGTTCTTTATGAATAGCATTTTAGCTTTTCCTTTTTCCCCCCCAAGTTTTATTAAAGAGACAGAAGTAGAGATGGAGAGCTCCCATCTGCTGGCTTATTCCCCAGGTGTCCACAGAGCTGGGCTAGGGCCAGCGCCAGAACCAGCAGCTGGGAGTTCAATCCAAATTTCCCATAAGGTTCCAGGAGCTTAGTTATCTGACCCATCATTGCAGCCTCTGAGAAGCTGCATTGCAAGTGAAGCGGAGAACTGCACCTAGCTAATCTCTCTGATGTGGGGTATGATTGTTAGGTAACTTTTTTGCTCACAGAAGAAAAAAATTTAAAAACTATTTGAAATGGAGAAAAAACAGTATTACCTGTGTGTTGGCTCACTCCCCAAATTGCACAGCTGCCAGGGTTGAGCATGGCTAAAGCCAGGAATTCAGTCTGGTTCTCCCACATGGGTGGGATGGATCAGCCAGTTTAGCCATCAACTGCTACCTCTCGAGGTGGACATTAAGGACGCTGGAGGCAGGAGCAGAGCAGGAGCCAAAACCCAAGCATTTTGGTACTGTGTGCAGGTGTTCCAAGAGGTGGTGTCTTAACTGTTCTACCTGATGCCCGCTCGCCCTGCTTTGTTTTTAATTTTTTTGTTAGTCTTAGGAAAAAAAATGCTAAGAAAAGTTAGATTTGAGCTCCACCCTGCCACCAAAAGCTGGCGGCAGGACGAGTCTGGGAGGATTCCGGACCTTGGGGTTGGGGGCAGCTTGAAACCCCCACAGTGTGGCAGCTGTGGGAAGTGCCCCTGCTGGGCAGGATCCAAAAAAAAAAGATAAGTTACATTTGACTTTTTTATGTCACTTCAGTGTTATAAGGGTTACCCTTTTTCTGCTTGCTGAGTTGTAATATAACCTTTTGTCACTAAGGAAAAGAAATAACTAGAAATGTCAAAGATGCTTTGAGCTGTCTTTCTCTCCAGGATTTTTTTTGGGGTTTTTTGTTTTGTTTTGTCCAAGTGGCATCTTTGTCTTTGGGACAGAAAACATCAATGTATTAGGAGGAGATTGATGAGTCTCATAATTTGTCCTGAAAGCATGGTAGATTGACGAAGGAAATAATTTTCTTAAGAAAAATAAGAAGGACTGAGAATAAAATTAAATAGGCTTTTACGAAGCCATATCCTGGACCTTAGTGTAGAAGAGTAGTGGAAGAAGTTACTCAGTGAAAATAGAGTTGCTTGGTGATGTTCTAGAGCCATGCTGGTACTCAGTAAGAGTCACACATCCAAGTGAGAGTATGGGAGCTTGACCAGTGGTGGGCAGTTCCCATGTGTACTGTCTATGGTCCCGAGAGGGAGTTGATTCAAAGGAGAGTCTGATTTATCAGTGGGTTGTTCAGCAGTGAGTCTTGCTTCTTTGCTGCACCAGAGGTCTGTTTCACACTCTCCTCTCTGCCCCGAGTGGGAGTGTTGGGACCCCTTGAGTCTGATGCTGGCTCTGATATTTCGTTCAGCTCTTTATGCACAGAAGGTATCTGAGATAAAACACACAGCATTGTCTATAAGAAAATGCTCAGAAAATGACTTTTTTGGAAAAAGAAATGTATTTTTGTGAATTGGACTGTGAGATACTTTCCTACTTTGAATATTCTTTTAAAAGATAAACTTTCATGTAGAAAAATGGTGAAATTGTTAGCAGATTGTGAAAAAGAAACCCAGGACTCTTGTCACAGATAAATGGTTTTAAGTATGGGGTTCAAACACTAATGGGTGAAGAAACTGCGTGGCAGTTCTCCCCCAAATAATACCGTGCTTCATAGTGAATGTTTTCTTTTCATTACCACGCAATTTATTCTTAAAAATGCTGTAAGCACATCTTTCTGTTCTTTCATATTTTTCTCTTCTGCTCTGTAGCAAAATCACCAGGACAGCCCATACAAGTGGTTTATGTACCGTCCCACCTCTATCACATGGTGTTTGAACTTTTCAAGGTTTGTAAAATAGTATCACATAACCTTTACCAGTGCTTTTCTGAGGTTAGGAAACTGCTCAGAAAGTCAAATATCGTGCTAGAATCTCCTATTCCTTAAAAGATGCTGTCCACGTTGCCAGGTATCAGCCTTTGTCAGGGCGGCTGGGCAGCTCTGTGTAGTGAGGACTCAAGCTTCAGATGCATAAGACCTGGGCTTGAATCCCAGTACTGTCCCCTCATCTCTGAGCCTCTGTTTTCTCTCCTGTAAAACAAAGATTCTTTTTGAAGATTAAAAATGACATCATAAGTATTCAGTGCAATGGTACACATTGGTACTCAGTAAAGTTATGTTTTTTATAAAACATTAGGAAGACTAATTTATAGTTCCTAACCTGAAAGAACCACCAGTCTCAGTGATAATTTGTTTTGTTTGTTTTTGTTTTTTAGGGGATGTGGGCAGGAGAAAGTGATGTATGTTAACATAGGTCTTCTGTTATGCTTTGTAACAGATTTTGGAAATGAAACTAAACCCTGCTGATAATTTTGTGTAGTGACTTCTTTGTACCCCCACTTTCCAGTGTAGCTTGCCAGGAGGATGGGTGAGGAATAGCACAGGAACGGGGGCTTTCAGTCCTCCTCACTTTAGCCTGCCTTCCTCAGCTTCAGACCAGAATGGAAGAGATGACTTTCCTCCTGATAATGTGACACAGAAATTCCCAAATCAGGAAAGCTAAGGCTGCCTTGGAGCAGTCGCATTCTAAGATGCTCTTTGGCCATGAGACAGTAAAAATGTATCCAGCACCTTCTAAAAAAAATCTTGCCATCAAAGTAGTTAAATAAATAATGATTGGTACTTAAAGAATTAAAGCTAAATGTTTTTGGAAATTCCAGCCACGTAACGATCTGTGCCCTTCAGGACTTAATGGAACAGTTAGTCCATGTTATGCAAACCGTTTCTGTGATGTCAATGGGTTTTATCCAGAGCCTCATCTGACAGTGCTTCTGCTGGAGGTGGTGGACCCTCCCCCTCTGGCCTGCCCAGCCCTGACAGTCACTGTAGGGCCCCACTCCCCTGAGGACCACCTCAGGTCTGTTTTGTAGCCACTTCTAGTTTATACCAGCTTTTATTCCCAGGCCGAGTGTAATACTGTTGTCATCTGTTGTGGGCCTTGTGTCCCTAATATCCTGTAGGCTTCTGGGATCAAAATAGTTCTATCTCAGTTATTCTTAATTTCTAGCTAGTGCTAAAAGTATCAGTTTTTCCATCCTAAAGGAATAATTTGCTGATGCTCCTACATGAAGAATTATTTTAAGGAATTAAGATAATTAAAATGGTTCTTAAAAATAGAGCTGAAAGTACATTTTCAGAATTAATTGGTGCCCATTATTTATTAAAATCATTTAGGCTTTTGGACAGAATTTTGTGCTTTAACAGCAGCTAGAAAGAAAGTTTTATGTCTGGCTTTAGAATATGTGCAGAATTTTGTTGGAAGCTAAAATATGCGTCAATCCCCACCCCCTCCATGCTGACTCAGTTTTTTAAAGTGTAAATATGGTTGAAAGAATACAATTCTTTGACAGATCTCCATGACCTGTCAAATTTTTTTTAAGTTTAAATAGTGTACTTGTTTGTTTTAAAACATTGTTAGTCTCTCCTTTTGAAAATTGTGTTTTTAGTGTAATTCTGCTGTATTTCAGAATGCCATGAGAGCAACCATGGAACACCATGCCGACAGAGGTGTTTACCCTCCTATCCAAGTCCACATCACACTGGGTAATGAGGATTTGACTGTGAAGGTAAATGCTGTTTCTTAAAAATTAATCCACAGGCGTGTGAGAATAGCTATCCATAGGATTTCTAGAAGACACAGTTTCCTCTCAATGGAAAGAAATATTGTCTCATAGATAATAAACACATTGCTTCATTTATCTAGCAAATTATAGAATTGTACCTTGTTTGTATTTCTATTTTGGTCCCAGGCAGTTCAAATTAAAGTAAATCATGGAGGCAGTATAGGAGTCATCACTACTGTCCACTTAGATAAGCAAGATCTAAAGTATTTGGAGATGGTTTACAATATCTCATTATTAAGTGCTATTGCTTTTTATTTTGTATGAAAGTTAACCTGGCAGAAAAGGAGAGCTTCCATCTGCTGGTTCACTCCCCACAGTCTGAATCTCCTGGGTGGGTGACGGGGACTCAGCATCTTGGGTCACAGATCATGGACTGCGTTGTGGAGTGTGCATTAAGCTGTAGCTGGATCAGAAGCAGAGCAAGACCCAGCTCTAGGCACCCTGTAGCTACCCAGTAGCACTCAACCCACTGTGCCACAACACCTACCCCTGATTTTTCCTTAATTATTATTGTTATGAAATATTTGTTGTTTATCAAAACCAGTGAACCTCTGATCAAATGCTGTGTGGTAACAAATCTTATCACAAGTGACCGCAACGGCCGATGCTATGCCGATCCAGGACCTTCTTCCTAGTATCCCACATGGGTGTAGGGTCCCAAAGAATTGGGCCGTCCTCGACTGCTTTCCCAGGCCACAAGCAGGGAGCTGAATGGGAAGCAGAGCTGCCGGGATTAGAACCGGCACCCATATGGGATCCCAGCACGTTCAAGGTGAGGACTTTAGCCACTAGGCCATGCCGCCAGGCCCAGTTTGAGCTTTTGAATTTGACGTGCCCCTTGAGATACTGGAATAAAATGAGATGCCGCATCCTGTGTTGATGAAAGTTACTGTCATTCAGTTGTAAATCCATCAACTTTTCACTTCTTAAAAATTTTGCTTAGGCCAGGCATTGTAGCCTAGTGGCCACATCCCATCCCTGGAAACATCTGTTAAGAACAACGAACAACAACCAAGTAATTTGAGAGCTACACCTGGCAGTAAAAATAGCTAAGGCTAACTAAACACACAAGGAGATGGCCAGAGGGCCTTTGGAAAGCTCAGCAATATCCTTGGAATCTGGACGGCCATGGCCACACTTGGAACGACAATACTTGTGCTCCAGGGTGATGTCAGAAGGCCCCGTCCCCAGCCCTCACTGACAGGCTTTGGGTAAGCAGCTCATTAGTGTGCTGCTGTCAGCGGCCTGGCCAAGTGCTGAGTGCTTCCATATGCAAGTCCCTAGCCAAGGTTCAGGCACTTTAGCAAACCTCAGTCCCATCAGCAGTCTCATTACTAAGTTAACAGACCTGAGATTTCAGTGGCCACAGAAAACAAGGAATAGAAGCATTAAATAACCAGTTTTAAAGTCACTAGGCACACACCACACACGAACACACAAATCTGAGTGGTGATCGTATTGAATTTCCAGAGTTGCTATTTTTTTCTTTAAATTTTTAAAGGTCATTTGAAAGAAAGTTAGCTAAGGAGATCTTGTATCCCTGGTTCACCCTGCAAATGCCTACAACAGCCAGGGTTCACCAGGTCAAAGTCCGGAGCTGTGAATCCCACCTGGGTTTCCTCTGTGGGGAGCAGGAACACACTGCTGTAAGCCAAGGACGAACAGAGCAGGGAGCTGAATACAAAGGGGATCCAGGACTCCAACCTGCACATTCCCATACAGGAAGCAGGTTTCCCACATGGCAGCTTAACTACTGTACCAGATGCCTACCCCACTGTTGCATTATTTAAAATGTCCAAGACTTAGAAAGATTCAGAAAAGCATGACTGAAACAGGCGTTTGGTCTAGCAGTTAAAACACCATGTGGAATACCTATATGCCAGATGAGAGAACCTGGGTTCAAGCCTCAGTTACTCTCTCAACTCAAGCTTCCTCTTACTGCACATTCCAGGGAGGCAGCAGGTACATGCCACTCATATGGGAAACTCAAATTGACATTCTGGTTCCTGGCTTCAGGCTGCCTCTACCTTAGCAGTGGTGGGCATGAATCAGCAGGTAGGAGCTTTCTCTGTGTCTCTCTGCCATTCAAAGAAACTGAAACTACAGTTGCTTTTGATTCACTGATTCAGCTCTTAAGTATATGTATGAGAAATGGAGTCTTATTTTGGTACAAAAACTTGAACACAAATGTTTACAGCAGTGTTATTCTTAAAACAAACAGACAAACAAAAAGCACTCATGCACCCACTGAAGAATGGACAACTAAAACATGCTATATCCATATAACGTGGTCATTCAAGAGAAGGCAATAAAGTGCAGATTCAGTCACAGAAAGACCACCTGCTGAAGAATTCCAACTGTATGTCTATTCAGGAGAGGGGAAAATCCAAACACGGCAGCCGTGGCTGCCAAGGACGGGGAGTGGGGAAAATGCACATCATGGTGATGTACTCTAACCCAGAGAAGCAGCGGGTGGCCTCAAAACTCTGCAAGATGGTAATTTTCCATCTAGAATTCTTCATATGACTTGGAATAACGAGAAAATGATGCAGGAAACATGACACTGAGCGAGGGTTAGAGTGGAGATGGGAGCATATATGCTGTAGTTAAGAGTGCTGAGCTCTCAGCTACTACAACAGAAAGCTAGTATTTGTTGTCCAAAATGTAAATTTCAGAAACGGTAATATCAGGTTATTTAGCAATACACATAATAGTAGATACCAGGAGAAATAAATGAGGACCACCAATGGCTAGGAACTGAAATAACTGATTCTTACACTCTGGATTTATTACTCTCATGAAGAACTTTAAATTATTCTTAAAGAGAAACTCTTAAGAAACTGAGCTAACTAGCAACACACAGGGAAAGGCCTGAAACTGGGGTGAGAAGACCAGATGACATGTCCTGTAGCATTTACTCCCTGTGTGACACTCAAGTCATCATTGTGTCTTCTTTCCTGACCTGAAACATCTGTGCTCCCAAGTAGCTGTTGCAAGAATCAAATGAAACTAAGTCAAAGTAGGCTGATAGTCACTATTTAACAAGGAAAACTCGGTGGGCATCCACAGCCAGGAAGATGTCTCCGACGCCACTGCTCTTCAGTTTGCCCGAAGTACAGACTCAGTTTATGGTGGGGAGAGGCCAACACAGAGTGAGCTACCAGCTGCTGTCTGATTCTTGCCAGGTGGAGCAAGGGTAGTTTGAACGTAGCAGAAACACTTACATGATGAGAACACTGTGAAGTAGGCTGGATTTTATTGTCCCTGAAATCTACCAGATAGGCCTTGAACAATAAAAACATCAAGCCACTGTTGAGAACATTTGGCCAGTTACCTGGCAGTGAAAATGGAAGAAAAAAAATGTACCCTTGACCAGGCTTTCAAAGGTGTTCTTGAAAAAGAAAATTATAAATCATTGCTTCTGTGAAAACATTTTTGCTATCATTTCTCTTGCTATTGCGGGCCTAACTGAAGGTATTTGCACTGCACCTGCAGCTTTTGTATTGTTGGGAGATGTTTTGGATTGTCTTCCTTTGGATCAATGTGACACAATATTCACTTTTGTGGGAAAAAAAAAAACTGTTGCTACTTGGAAATCAGATACATTTTATTCTGCTGGGAAGAACTATCTATACAATGATCTCCTAAGAAGATCATCTAAATCACAAAATACGGTCTTCTGTGGGCAAATTCAATTCTTTTTGGTCAGGCTTATCTTCTTTCTGAAAAATCAGGCCTTGACCTGCAGAGTCCGTTTCACCTGGAAAATGTCACTGTTTTCAATACCAATGAGCAGGAAAGCACACTGGGCCAGCAGCACATTGAGGATACAGAAGGAATGGATGTAGAAGAAGGTGAAATGGGAGATGATGAAGCACCAACAACTTGCTCTGTCCCAGTCGATTACAACCTGCATCAAAAATTTTGGTCACTTCAGGATTAGTTCAGAAATCCTGTGCATTGCTATGAGAAGGTTTCACAGAAAACCTTTCTTGAGTATTCTGAAGTTTTAACAGTTTGACTGCAATGGCCAATGCTGTGCCGATCCGAAGCCAGGAATTTCCTCCAGGTCTCCCACTTGGGTACAGGGTCCCAAGGCTTTGGCCTTATTCTTTTGCTTAAAATCATTTATATGTGTTTTTTTCTTTTCCTTGTAGCCCTAGCTACTCTTTCAGAATTTTGGTTTATATGCAGTAATATCAGTATTATAGCTACATATTTTTGAAATTTTATTTTTATTTATTTGAAAGCCAAAGTTATAGAGACAGACATGAATCTTTCCACCTGCTGGTTCACGCCCAGAATGTACAAGGCAACTGGGGTAAAGCCAGGCTGAAGTTAGGAACCTGGAATTCAGTCACGTCTTTCCCATAGGTGGTAGGGACTCAAGTACTCAAGTCATCGTTTGCAGCCTGACTGGATACGTAGCAGAAAGCTGGGGTCAGAAACACAGCAGTTTTTAACTCAGGTGCTGGAGTGTGGGATGTGGGTACCCCAGGGGTCTATTAATCATACCAGACGCCTCTCCAATTTGTCTCTCAAAGTGAGGCTTAAGTGTCTTAGTTCATTCCCCGCTGGTGATTTTTACAGATTTGGTGGTGAAAACTGCTGTTAGCTAGCTGACATCTGAAGCTCTGGGTGAGAACAAGGCAGCCTGTGCCCTGGCTTCAGGGATGTTGTCAAGTTAGTAGCATTTCATCTTCTGTAAGCCTGAAATTCATGTGAATCAGTCCAGAGCACCCAGTGTGACAGGGAATAGAAAATTAGGGATGGCGGCTGTTGGGTAGGTGATTTTGGGAAGTGGAGATTTTGTGCACTGAAGCAAAAACCTGCAAATAATTACCCAGCTTCTCTAGCCTTCTTGTTAACGTAGCTTACCTATTTCATAATCTCTTTTCCTTGGCACATGCTTGTGTTCACCTGTGTCTAGTTTTTTTCCTATCCAGATTATCCTTTTTTTTTCCTCTAAGATTTATTTACTTGAAAGGCAGAGTTACACGGAGACAGCTGGAAAGACAGGAAAAATTTCGAGCTGTTGGTTCACTCCTCCAAACGGCTGCAACTACCAGGATGGGGCTGGGCCAGGCCAAAGCCAGGAGCTTCAGTTGGATCTCCCACACAGTGCAGGGGCCTGGGGATCTGGGCCATCTTCTGCAGATTGTATAAGCAGATCAGCAGGGTGTACCTGACCTTCACTTCTCACATGTAAAAGTCTAATGCATAACTCAGTGCTGTGGCTTCATACACTTGCTGAAGTCCCACCAACAATGTGCAAACGAGTTGCGAATAGAAACACTTCCCTCAAAGGTGTACCTGACCCACCCCTCTAATATGTACAATTCTGATGTGCAGTTCCCTGCTGTCGTTGCACATGCTTGCTGAGGTCCCACCACCAGTGGACAAGTTTGTGCCTAGTCAGTGATACAGTGTGCTCTTGGTGGGACCCCGGGAAGTGTATGAAGCCACAGCACTGAATTATGTATCAGAATTTTACATATGAGAGATGAAGGTCCGGTACGCCCTTGAGGGAACTGCTTCTGTTCACAGCTTGGACTGTGTGGTGCTAGTTTTCAAAAGCAGTGCTTTCCCACTGGCAATTACCCTGTGGTGTTGGGTGTATACAGTGTTCTGTGGTCCGTGAAACTTGGTCTCAAAGCATGACCCTGTCTTGTCTTAGATGAGTGACCGAGGAGGTGGCGTTCCTCTGAGGAAAATCGACAGACTCTTCAACTACATGTACTCAACTGCACCCCGTCCTCGCGTAGAGACTTCCCGCGCAGCACCCCTGGTATGTGACCCAGAAATAATGAATCGGCCTTTTGTGAACTGCCACATGTCAGCTAAGCCTTTGTGTGGGGCACTCCAACCAGAAGGGGGACGCCACAGGAGACACTTCCCCTTTGCGTTTCCGCAGCTTTAGGAATAATTCTTTGTAATTGAAATGGGCACAAGGTAGAGATGATAGTTTTGGAGTTCTTGCTACCAGCTTAATAGTAGGAGTGTGGTTTTCCTGTTACACCATTGAGATGGAGTGTTTCAATTGTGAAAGAAGAACTGCAGGTCCTACTTGTATTTGGAAGCACTGATTTAACCTTGCTGTAGACATTTTACCTTGGATAGTTGTAATCAGATTTCATGCTCTGTAGATTTAGCAGTGAGACCAGTCTGAAAAAAGCACAGATTAACACTGCTTTGATGGTGTTTTTATTGCTGTTAGTGTCACCTTATTTAGAATTCAAGTATAATCAACCACCTGAAACCCAGAAAAAGCACTTCGCCAAGTCTTTGTCATGCTGTTCCAAGAGAACTCTGTCCTTCTGTGCTTTGAGCTTCTCTAGCACATACACTGGAGTTACACTGTGTCAGGGTGAAATACAATCTATGATGGATCCATTCTCGACCTTCCTACAGAGTCATTGTCCTTTTTGTAAAAGGTGTTTAAAAATTTCGGGGGAGCAAACAGAGGACTCCCATCTGCTGTTTTGTTTTTTTTTTTTCCCCAAATGCCCATAATGGCCAGGAATGGGCCAGGACCAGATGTAAGAACTGGGAATTCAGCCCAAGGAGTCTCCTGTGGGAGCAGAAACCTAGTCACTATAGCCCTCACCTGCTGCCTTTTGGGATCTGTGTTGGGGGAAGGCTGGAGCCAGAAATCAGGCCCAGGCACTACGGCATCTCAGCTGCTGGGCCAGATACATATCCTAGAAGGCCTTTATCATTCTTGGACACAACAGAACCACAGTTCATTCTTACCAGACTTTTGGAAAGATTGCCCTACTGTTGGGTGTGCTTCTCCAACTGATAGATAACCACCATGTGTCCAGGCGCAGATGATGAATGATAGATATCGACATCTTCTTACAGATCTAACCTAACTTGGGAGAGAGAAGGGGGATGCTGCTTTTGTAGTGAATAAATTTTGCAGAATTTTGTGGAGCACAGCCTGTATTTGTTATTATATATAATTCATATTTTTAAAAAATAGGCTTGACATGGATAGGGTTTCCTGTACATCTTAGGCAACCTTAACTTAGCAAGAATCAATTTATTGCTAGGCTCCTGCAGAGCCTACTTTGCAAGTAAATTAGTCAGCAAGCACAGGGAGCTGAGAAAGACTTCCTAATAGCTGCAGGGGTGGCATCTGGTCTACCTGTGCACCAAGTCCTTGCTCCCCATGGATACTTTTTACTGGGTATTTGGGCAGAATATCTCTACCTTGAAACCTGGTTAGAGTATCTGCATGTCTCCCTTGCGGACCTTCTCTCTAGGTACCACTCTTGGCACACCAGATACATTCAGTCATAGCCTGGATTCATGCTGTTTGCTTTCACAGGGGAAACCATATCGTTTCAGAGGTAAGAGACTGGCATTGATAAAGTCAGTCAGTACCATGAAAGCCCAAGCCACCTATTCCTACAGTTTAATTAGGACCACTTCTGGCATCAAGCAGAATAAGTTAGGATCCCAGTAGGAAAGAGGTGGCTCTCTTAAATTATAATTCAAACAGCTAAGGTCCCTGCGGCGTGGCCTAGTGGCTAAAGTCCTTGCCTCGAATGCGCAGGGATCCCATATGGGCACTGGCTTAATCCTGGCAGCTCCACTTCCCATCTAGCTCCCTCCTTGTGTCCTTGGAAAGCAGTTGAGGATGGCCCAAAGCCTTGGGACCCTGCACCCTCCTGGGAGACCCAGAGGAAGTTCCTGGCTCCTGGCTTCAGATCGGCCTGGCACTGGTTATTGTGGTTACTTTCATCATTGGATGGAAGATCTTCCTCTCTGCCTCTCCTCCTCTCTGTATATCTGCCTTTCCAATAAAAATAAATAAATCTTTTAAAAAAAGGCTGGGCTCCTGTTCTGGCCTTACCCACACCTTATAGTCTTCGTATATAAATCTTCCTCATTACAGAGTGCTCACCCTCTAGATCAAAGGGTTGAGGAGGAGGCAGAGGTTGCAGAATGCAGAAGAGTGAGCTGTAGGATGGCTGCTTATTGTCAGAGGCCCAACCTGCACAGGACAGCTGCCCAAGGAAAGAGTACCATATCTGACTCCCTTTTGAACTCTCCCTAAGATCCCCACTGGCAGGACCCCTGGACACAGCCCATGCAGACCAGCCTCCGAGGACAGGGAGAAGTGTGGAAAATTGGCTAGCAGGAGAAGCAAACAACTTTGGTTAGAAAAGTAATTCTTGGCAGAGAAAGCTGCAGCCAGGTTTGTTAGCAGAACTCTCAAGTACACATGCGTCCTTTACTAGCATCCATACGGAGTGTCACCAAACATGACTCAGTATCACAAGAAACCGTTTTTTTTTTGTTTTTTTTTTTTTTTTAAAGTTTTATTTTTTTATTATTTTTTTTTTTATTGGAAAGGCGGATATACAGAGAGGAGAGACAGAGAGGAAGATCTTCCGTCCGATGATTCACTCCCCAAGTGAGCGCAACGGCCTATACTATGCCAGTCCGAAGCCAGGAGCCTCTTCCGGGTCTCCCACACGGGTGCAGGGTCCCAAAGCCTTGGGCCGTCCTCGACTGCTTTCCCAGGCCACAGGCAGGGAGCTGGAAGGGAAGCGGGGCTGCCGGGATTAGAACCGGCGCCCATATGGGATCCCGGGCGTGCTAGGCGAGGACTTAACCACTTGCGCCACCGCGCCGGGCCCAAGAAACCGTTTTTTTACACATGTTTTGTACAAGAAATTGGTTGGGTTAATTGGATAAACAAGGAGGCCCTGCTCCCTTGTGGGAACCGGCTGAACAGACACCAAAGTGATATATTTAAGGATTAAGGAGCAGGTTCTGCTAGACTGAAGGGTGGAGACAGAAATCTTACCAGGTCTGGAAAGGTCATTTTCGAAGCTTGCATTTTTATCTAAGGTGGTGGGGTAGGGTGTGGGTAGTGGTGATGTATTTTGGATTTTCAGTCAGGTGAGTGACAGTAAGTTAAGAAAGACCCTTTCTAGATACCTCCACAGGCCGGCAGTTCATGGGCTGAAGTTGTAAACAGTACGTGGCAGGCTGCAAAGAGGCTATGTCTGTCCTTCCTCCTAGAAGAGGTGCTGTACTGGCAGAAGCACTGCTGGGGTACCCGAGAGCATGCACATGCAGAGGAAAGCAGCTTTCTCCAGAGCACCTCAAGTCATTTTAGACAAAGTAAAGACTTTTAAATGGCTACAGGGAAGCAGCGGATGTGGTATTCGGTCAAGCTTCACAACTTCTCAAATCTGTGGGATTCAGGCTCAGAGAGCCTTGGGGTCCTCAGTGACATTTGTTTTGATCAGAGCAGTCCTATAGTGTGTGGCTTTCTGATTAGGATTTTTCTTACCCACAGGCTGGTTTCGGTTATGGATTGCCTATATCCCGTCTTTATGCCCAGTACTTCCAAGGAGACCTAAAGCTGTATTCCTTAGAGGGCTATGGGACAGATGCAGTGATCTACATTAAGGTAGTAACTGGTCTTCATGTGTTGATATTTCATGGGATGATATGTAATGATGCCAATATTTCTTTGTTACATTGTACTCTATCTCTTGTAATTTAAATGCAGAAATATTATGTATATTTTTGGTTTTTTTTTTTTACATGGGATTGCATCCACTTTAACAGATAATCCTCTAGACAATGGGGAATGAAAATTCTTACCTCTGATACAGTTTTACTGGTGTGAAGTTTAGTGACTTTAGTTTCTTGTTCCAGCCATTAGGTGGCACCCATTTCATAGGAAATGCAGGAAACTATTGGAAGAACCAAGAATCTGGAAAGATTAGTGGTTATTTTTCCCCCTTTCAACATGTCAATTTAGAAGTAACTGGAATGCAGTATTTTTATTAATATATGTAACATTTTGACCCAACCTTTAGATGAAGTAATTCTAGAGTATTTGAAGAGTCCAAATGTAGTTAATGTTTTTAGTTCCATTTTGGAAAATATTAGTAAAAGTCTTAGAGAATTACCAAAATCATTAACATCAAATATCTAATCTAGTCTTATAAGAATGGAAGATTTTTTCCCCTACCTGGAATAATGTCTGTGACCTAAGGTTCATTTCTGCTCAAAAATGCTAGCTTGTAGATGAATAAAAATGAAGGGTGTCTCAGGTTGCAGTAATTCAAAGAATGCTGAAATGAAATTGAAGAAATGATAGTGATGTATTGGTTATTACACTTGATCCTAACCAAAAGACTAATAAACTATAATAGTGATGAATTAGAAATGTGAAATTATGTAAGAATCATGAGACAAAAATTCACATATACTGAGTTGATGATATGAATGGCAGGAAAAAATGAAGGCTCAACTGTGGGTCAGGAAGCCAAGACATCTTGGATAATTTTATGTTTATTGATGCCACTGTTGTGAGGCTTTTAACATTTCAGTGGCAGTCTTGGAAAAAAAATGGTACTAATAAAATTTCATTGGATCCATGTACATAAGTCAGTGTTTTACACTTTTAAATCTAACCAATATTTAGTTGGGATCACATTTTATAAGAGGTATCCACTGGATACCTGAGTCTTCCGAGCTGACTGTGGAATTAGTGCAGGCAAAAAACTCAGTTGCATGTATACCAGCCAGTAATGACATTTAGGAAATAGTGTGTCACATATGTACACTATTTAGAAACGTATAGGTTTTTTTTCATTGTACATCTTCTTAAATGAATTCGGGACAATGTCAGACTTAAAGGCCCAGCTTTTTCTGTTTTTCAGGCTCTGTCCACAGAATCCATAGAAAGACTGCCCGTGTATAACAAGGCCGCCTGGAAGCATTACAACACCAACCATGAAGCTGATGACTGGTGTGTCCCCAGCCGAGAGCCAAAGGACATGACGACCTTCCGCAGTGCCTAGATGCTCTGGTCACACCCGCCAAGGCCAAGTGTGGATTTTGTGTTAAATTGGAGGGGATGGGTTCAGAACTACATTATACCAAATACCACAGATTGTTCTCACAGTTAACTGAGTGGAATCAGCAGCTTGAGTTCCACTCGTGCCTGGCAAACCTCCTGAAGGATGGAACTGTCTCTATTTTATACTTTTAGTCAATTGGACGTAACTTCAGACAAACTTAGATTTCGTTAATTTTTTTTCTTCCTGTAGGCTTCAGATGTGTGCATGTCTTAGGTTTCTATAGGAAGCTGTGTTTTTAAAAAGTATTTTTCACTTATGTCTGCTGGAAACATAAGTACTGATTGTATTTGGTTTAACCAGTTTTCTGTGATTTGGAGACGTTCTTGCTATCCTACACTGAATAGTGAAAACTAAAATATGGTGACCAACTACACATAAAGCAGAACGCATATACCTTGTAAACCTAGGACCCGCTCCCGTTCACTGTCTGCTGTCTACGTGCATTGTCTTAGCTCTGAAGTTAAATTTTAAAGTTTTATTATAAAAGATTGCAGTGGCTAGTTTCCTGTAGATCTAAAGCCAAGATCATGGTGTTTCAAACTTACTGGTGATCAATGAAAGGGGAAAAATTTTGTATTAAAAATGTACTGGCAGCTGAAGAAAATTATAGGCAAGAAATTGAAGATGGGGTAACGAGTCCCTCCCCGCAGCTGACCTAACCAGCTGCTTGCTGAGATAAGGAAGTTTTGAGTAGAGTTTTTCCAGGTTCCGCCTCAGACATCCTGCGTCAGAATCTTGAGGGTGTGAGCCCAGAGATGTGTTCTATCACACACTTCCTATGTGAGTCTGATGTGAGCCCAGTTAGGATGCTGACTTGGACTAAATAGTGAGGACAATGTTGTTGCTAAAGTAACAAGGATCTTTAGGATGGTTTCTGTCTGTCTCAAGGTCAGATTTTGGACCCCCAGGAGAGAGAAATAATCTAAGCCTAGTGCAATTTGAGGCACGATTAGAGGCAGAACAGTATGATTACACAAAAGAGACAGGTAACCAGAGAATCATAAATGCACAAATCTTGACCAAAAAAAAAATGCCTATTTTCTATATGACTTTTTTTTAAAACCAGGGAAGGGAAAGTTAGCCTAGTTTTGTGATGACAGGCCTTTGTATCCTTATGGTAATTTGTAATTTACAAAACCTTTGGTGTGTTGTGATCATGCTGTTGGTGTTCAGGGCAACTAGCAGGTGCCTCATGCTCCTTTCAGAGTGTGGCTAGAAGTTACACAGAATTGGCTCCAGAGCCAAAAATAAGAGGCTATGTTGTCAGTCATACCTCATCTTTTAACATGACAGGCAAACATGCTGAAAATTCAAAGTAAAAATCTAACATTTAAAGAACAGCCTTGCACATTAAACTTAAGAACTGTATTTATCTGCAAAAGAACATTGAGTTGAAACACTTCTTGATCACATAAGATTAATAATTCTATATAAATCTGTAAGTTGGAAGGGCTGTTAATGGACATTCCGTCTACTTACCCGCACTGTGGAGATGAGGATCCAGACACTCAGAGGAGGTTGCCTAACCTAGGGTGTCTTACATGAGGAAATCTGGCCAAATATTGGAAACAGGGATCTTATATAACCTGTCCCTCAATTATGGATTCTTTGAAAGATCAAATATATTAATATATTGATTTATATTAGTTCAGCCTGTTACAATTTTTTACTTTAAGCTTGTAATGATGAAATTTTTAGAATCCTTCTAATTGAAATGTTCACTTTTGTAAATGAGACATTTGTAAAACTGACTTAAGCTTGACATTTTTACCTTTAAAATATTTCCACCTAAAAGAAAGTGTTACCTTCTTAAGAACTAAGAAATGGTTTGCAAAGGAAAAGAAAAGTTGTTCTCCTTTTGCTTCGTGAGTTACAGCTTTATGTTTTGTGGTAAAGAACAGAAAATGACAAAATGTTCTGGTAGACCTTTTTCCAAGTTGATATCAAATCATTTGAGCTATCTGAGAAGTTTTTAAAATTCTTAGCTGAGCTATTTTGACTACTAGGATTAATGTGATGCAGTATAAATATAAAAATACTTGAAAGGATAGGAAGTGAACATTAATTTTTAGAACTTAAAAATTAGTCATGTGCCAACATTTTTTAGGAAATGATAGAAAAGAAAATTCTGTCTATCCTTTAATACTGGCTGACTTTTGATGTCTTCATACTTAAACCTGATCACTTTCTTTGACTGTGAAATTTTTACATGAAAATGTTAAAGGGGACATCTACCTTATTGTTTTATAAAATGTTTTCTATGTGGCAATAAACTGAAAATGTGGACCAGCTCTCACTTTGAACATAAACTGAATCAATTTTGGCTTTTAAAAATATCATGTCTTTTAAATAGAAAACTCCTCTATCACCAAGGCCCAACATTCTGTAAACGTCGGAAAGACTGTAGCTTGTTGGCTTGCACTAGATCTCACTGTCTCCAAAAGAAGTGTGTTTGGAATTTGAGTTTCTAATGTATATATTCCAACAAAGCAAGAGGTGAAGTTTGTGTGGTTTGAATTACCCTAGATTTTCACACAAAATCTAGACTCACTGGATAAATGAAGATGTTCTGTTGTGTGATTTCGAAAGGCTGTAAATAAATTTGAAATTTGAATAACTTTCCACAGTGTAAATAATTGTAAAAAAGGCCTTAACCGGTGTTTGTAGAAGTTGGTTGTCAGGACTAAACTGTCCTACTCATAGATTCCTAACCCATAGATTCCTGGGTGAAAGGACTACAGGCACCACAACTTCCCTCCATTGTTGAAGCCAACAGGTTCTTTCAGACTCCAGAGGAAAAGAACTGGGAAGCAGTGACCTTGATGGTGCCACTGTGCTGTTTAAGTGACTCATCAGAGAAGCCTTCAGCCAGTTCATATCTTCAGTTACAATATCAGGTAGGTAGTTTTAGTGAAGGTTTTCGTCATATACAATTAACTTCTAGTCCCACTAGTTAATTTTCTTATGCACAAATTCAATGTACTTGAAAAATAATGTAGTTAATGCTGTGTGAAAGATTTTTGTATGTTCAAAAAGAGCACACTGCTAGTTTGAGTAGTTTTGGCATTTTTAAACTCTTGTGCCATTTGGCTGTTTACATGTTTGCAAAGAATGTTTCAGTGTTAGTCCAGGCTTCATGATATGAAATGTCTGAGTATAGGCCACTTTAGCTATAAGTCCTAAAGGTTCCACGATCTCCATCTGACGGGGAATTCTTGGTGGACAGAGTCCAAGTGGCACAGGGGCTCACAGAGCAAGATTTGAGTGTGCCTGTGTGTGTCCTTGGTGGACTATATGTATTTGCTTGACTATGAGGGCCTCACCTAATCCCAATCACCTCTGAGGCCCTGCCCCTAAACCCAGCAGACTGTTTCCACTTTTCTTATCCCTTACTGTGGGTATTAGGTTTCAGTGTGTCTCTTAATCCCTAACCAAGAACTTACTTCTTGAGGCCCTGGAGTTATACTTTGTAGATATCACAATGTTGTAAGAAATGCAATTTTTAAAAGTGTCAGTTGACAGAGACAGGTCAACAGAGAAAGCAGACTTCTATCCACTGGTCCACTCTTCAGCTGCTTGCACCAGCCAAGGGTGGGCAGAGGCAAAAGCCAGGAGCCAAGAATCAGTTCCGGATCTCGGGTGCGTGGTGGGGACCCAGTTATTTCAGCCATCACTTTTCACACAGTGTCTACCTTAAGAGGAAGCTGGAAGTGAACCACAACCATGGTTGTAACTTAAACTGTGGAATGTGCAACAAGACCATCTTTGCTGCCAAGCCAAACACCTACTTCAAAAAATTTGTAATTTTGATAATAAGTTGCAAATTCCTTGAGGGGACAGTCATGAGATCAGAATATCCTAAAGTGTAAGTCAAATATAAAAAGCTATAATATTTTGGGGATAGTTTTGTACTGAGATGTTTAATTATGAGATTCAGAATAGTTAAACTATCACAGTATTGTATGAAAATACTGTGGCTATATAGTTACAATATTGAAAGAGTTATCATGGACACAAATAACAGAATGATGGACTTATGACTGCTTATGAAATACTATACTATTGGAATAATATGGGGAAAATAAGTCAAGGAGAAGGAGTTGGGGGGGCGGGAAATTCCAGAGCCAATGGAACTGTACCATAAAAGTAAAAATAGGGCCTGGCATGGTGGCACAGTGGTTAAGGTCCTTGCCTTGCATGCCTGAGATCCCATATAGGTGCCGATTCTAATCCCGGCCCCACTTCCCATCCAGCCCCTGCCTGTGGCCCGGGAAGGCAGTCAAGGACGGCCCAAAGCTTTGGGACCCTGCACCCACATGGGAGACCCAGAAGAGGCTCCTGGCTTCAGATTGGATCGGCATAGCAGCGGCTGTTGCGCTCACTTGGGGAGTGAATCATCGGACGGAGGACCTTCCTCTCTGTCTCTCCTCTCTGTATATCCGCCTTTCCATATAACTAAATCTTTAAAAAAAAAAAAAGTAAAAATAAAATAGAAAAAAAAAGTTACCGTATAAAAATGTCATATAATATGAAGTCATTTTTTCCAAATCTTGGACTTATATGATTATACAACTGAAATGGAATGGGAGAAAGCTAATCATTTGCAGTATCTGAATTAAGAGAATCTCCAGACTCATAACTGACTTCCCATCTGATTTATACTTAATATACACATAAGTAATGACTGTGCCCAGCACAGTGGCTCAACTGGCTCATCCTCCCCCTCAAGTGCCATCCTCCTATATGGGCACTGGATCGTGTTCTAGTTGCCCTACTTCCCCTCCAGCTCCCTGCTTATGGCCTGGAAAAGCAGCTGAGGATGGTGCAATGCCTTGGAACCTTGCATCCATGTAGGAAACCCAGAAGAAGCTCCTGGCTTTGGATTGGCTCATCTCTGGCCATTGTGGCCATTTGGGGAATGAACCAGTGGATGGAAGGTCTTTTCTCTGTCTCTTTCTCTATAAATCTACCTTTCCAATAAAAATAAATACATCTTTTTTAAGAAAGAAAAGAAAGCCTGATTACCCAGAGGATCTCTAATCTGACTCACAGCTGACCTCTCATGAAAAACCCTACGGCCTAGGAGAGAAGGAGACACATAATCCAGGTCCTAAAAGAGTGGAACTGCAGCCAAGAATACAATATCCAGAAAAGCTTTCATTTTTATGTGAAACAAGGAACTTCCAAAACAAACAGAAACGGAAAGAATTCATCTTTAACTGACCAGCTGTACAAATGATGCTTTAAAGATGGTGCTACACACAGAAAATGACAACAGCTCCCACCATATTTAAAGATGGCAGAAGCAAAGAACATCCTAGTCAAGCCACAAGTGAAACCTAAACCAAACAATGAGAAAAATCGTATAAAAATGATAGGACCAAGTCACTAATTGTCAGTTATAATCCTGGACACAAATGACCCAAACTCTCCAGTCAAAAAACAGATTAGCAGATTGGATCAAAAAACAAGATCCATCTAGCTGCTGCCTATAAGAAACACATGTCAGCAGCAAAGATCCCCACAAACACAGTGAAAGGATGGAAAAAGGTATTCCATGACAAGGGAAAGGAAAAACAAGCCACTGTAGTCATCCTAGCATCAGACAAAAATGATCCATTCAACAAGAAATTACTATGATAAATGTATATGCACTCAATGCCAGGAAACCTGGCTATGTAAAAATGATTGTGGGTTTAAAGGGAAACAGACTGCAATAAATCATTACCATCCATAGGCAGATCAAGCAGACAGAAACAATAGAGCTAATTTGTATCAAGGATCTAATGGTCTTTTTTTTTTTCTTCCCCCTAAGATTTGTTTATTTTTATTGGAAAGGCAGATCAGACGTACAGAGAGGAGAGACAGATCCTCCATCTGCTGGTTTATTTCCCAAATCACCACAACAGCTGTTGCTGAACTGGGAGGTAAGAACATCAAGTGCAAGGTCCCAAGGCTTTGGGCCATCCTTGACTGCTTTTCCAGGCCACAAGCAGGGAGCTGGGAGGGAAGTGGAGCAGCTAGCCCAAGAACCAGCACCCATTCGGGATTCTGGCACTTGGAAGTGGATGATTAGCTTGTTGAGCCATAGCACTGGCCCCTGGTTACATGTGTTACGTTGTCTGTCCTGTGGTGTTTGAGGTTGACCCTGGAAAAGCTTGTCCATATTGAGCATTGTTGAGTTTTGGCTGCTTTTACTTCTCCATCCACCTTTCTGTTAATGATCTGGGGGAAGGTAGCAGAAGATGGATCAAGTACTTGGGCTCCTGCCAGTCCATATGGCAGATCAGGATGGAGTCCCTGATTAGCATAAACTTCCTGGGTTCAGTCTGGCCCAGACCTGGTCAATGTGGTCATTTGGGGAGTAAACTAGTGGATGTAAGATCTGTCTCTCCCTCTCTGTGCTGCTCTGCCTTAATAAATAAACACATCTTTTAAAAATAGAATTAATTCTTGGGATGGGTATTTGGTGTAGCAGGTAAGACGCTTCTTAGAACATCTGTATGTTACACAAGACTGCCTGGATTGACATCCCAGCTCCCTTTTTGATCCAGCTTCCTGCTGATGTGTACCCTAGAAGGCAATAGTGATGGCTCAAGTACTTGGGTGCCTGTCACCCAAGCTCCTTGCTTTGGCTTAGCCTAGTTTCAGCTCTTGTTGGCATTTGGGGAGTGAATCGGTGGAGGGAAGATCTCTGTCTTTAGAAAAGAAGAAGAAGAAATTAGCATAAACTTCTTTTACAAAATTTACTGATTATTTGAAAGGCAGAGTGGCAGAAACAGCAAGAGATTTTCCATCTACAAGTTCAGTCCTAAGTGCCCACAACAGCAACTGAGGCTGGGCCGGGACAAAGCCAGGAAGCTGGAACTCAAGTGTGATCTCCCTTGTGAGTGGCAGGAATTCCAGGACAGGAATATGCATTAGCCAGAAGCTGAGGTCAAGAAAAGAGCTGAGATTCCACTCCAGGCATGCTGAAAGGGAATACAGGTTTGCCCAGCAGCGTCTTAACTGCTATGCCAAAGGTTCATCCCATCACGAACTGAACTTCCATTAATTCTGCTCTTCTGGGCATGAGAAAGCAGTCAGCCTTTTTCCCAGTTTCTTTCTGTTCCAAAACATTTGGAGGGTCTTCCTCCTGCCCCCTCATCTAACAAATCTACATAACTCAGCAGAGGAGAGTTGGGGAAGAAAGGAAGCTGAGGTGGGACAGGGTTAGGGATATCAGCTGTGCTGCTCATTGCACATGGTCTCCCCCACCTAATTTGGATGAGTTTAATTCTCTCTGCACCTAGAGTGGTTCGTTTTGCTTATGGTCAAAAGCATAACTTCAGAAATCTTAGAAGGCTTTTGTTTGCTTTTCTACTGTTAACTGCCTTTCCCTGATGCAATGAATACACGAACAAGAAAAGAATGGAGAGTGAAAAGTAAGAGAAAGTCAGAGAAGGCACTTGGTAGCATCTTAAAAATCTTATCCTGCCACAATCACCTCCAAGGATGAGATCCAAGAAACTCAGTTTTTCATGGGCGCTTGGAAAAGAAAAAAAGAGAGTCTCGATTTTTTTTTTCTTTTAAGGAGGACAAAAAGGATGCTATAAATTACAGATTAGTAAACTTTGTGTTTCATTGAGGGAATGACTAGGCAAAATCCATCCCATTATTATTATTTTAATAATTCACCTTGGTCAGATGAAGGCTGTTGAAATAAGATATCTGTGTTTCAGCAAGTAATTTGTCTCCTTGGACATTGTTAATGGCCAGGATCCACAATGGAAACCAGAAAATAGAAGGGTTGGTTGGTTTCTGCTCCACTGGGCAATCACACACAAAGGGAACTGGAACTCTCCATTGCAGCTCATTGCAGCTACGAGACTATTATCTTCCTTTATGAGAATCAGAAAACATAAGAACCTGGAGTGGAGAGGTTCGCTTCCCCAGCAAACCTAATTGATAGGGATAGGCAGGCAGCTAGTGAGGTCTGCTGAGCTGGATGTCACAAGCCCACATCCACCTGCATGACAATCAAAATGCCCCAATACCCAGAATGCATCTGCTTCATCTGAGACCCAAAGAGGGATGCCAAGAAAACATGGACATTCAGCTCCATGTGGGGTTTGTGGAGATGTTGTGTAATTCCCAGGTGTCTTCACACTTGGAGGCACCACTGCCTTCCTTATAAAAGCAACTGACAACTGGAAGGTGTCTCAGCTTCTGCCACAGACCACCAGGGCTGGAGGAGCTTCTGGGTCCTCCCTCTCTGTTCCCCTCCCCAATTCCTTCTTTCAGGCAGTCTTCGGGTCCATGACCGACTCACAGCTGGTGTTTCCCTGTCATCCATCCATCTGTGTGTGTGCGTGCGCTCACTTTCTCGCCTTTACATAAATCTGATCACTTTGTGTACCTTGTGTCAGCACTTGGAATGAGAGCCTGCAGTGGAAGTAATACACCCGTAACCTGCACCAAAGTGACGTGCCAATCCGTCCCTCCAAGGCTTAGCATCCTTGGCTCTTGTATGGTGGCAGCTTTGCGCTTCCTCTCCTCCCAAAGCATTGAGTCACGTGTTTGTCATGTGTGGACCATGAATCTAGAAAATGTTTTATCGCGCGTTGCTCTCCCACCCTCTATTTGAGTTAGTCTGAGGGACTCATGGTAAGGAAACTGCATTCCTTCACATCAGTCTGCCTAAGCTGACCACAAGGAAGCACATGGCAAGCCACATGCTTCTCAAGAACAGAAGACAGGCGGTGCCAGGGACATCCCCTTGCAGAGTGGAGGGGTGATGGTCTGCTGGAAGCATTTGATTGACTTTCAGGCCCAATGCTACATTATAGTTTAACACGCATAAGAGCCGTGCTCTGGATGGCAGGGGGCAAGAGCTCAGAGGAACCAAAGGAACTGTAGAGTTTTGGAGTTTTGCAGCTAGGAGAAGCACTGAAGGTCAAATCCAGTTAAAAAGATTCAGCTGAGTAAGGCTCCTCCTGGGCAGTCCATTTGCATGAAAATCTTACTTGGAGAAGAGGACGACGGGCAAAGCTTGTGTAGCACTGAGCAGCGTCACCGTCACCTCTACGTTCTCACTTGTTTGTGGCCCAGGCACCCACTGCCGTGTCCTTGGTCCTCAGGGTCTCCTCGCTTTGGTTTACTTGAACTTCTGAAGCTCACGTGTCTGCCCTGCTCTTTCTGGCACTATGCAAAAGCATATTTTCCCACAATCTGCCACACCTGCCTCTGCTTCGCCTGGAGCCAGCTGAAAGTAGAGCCTGTGCGACTGCGCCGTTCGGAGATTGATCTCCTAGCTCTTCAACTCCCCTCACTTAACAGGCTTCAGACTCTTTCCCCCGAGGACACGGATTTCCAGAGACACAGTGCCCAACTGCAGCGTGGAGATGAGCAAGAAGCGGTTGGAGAACAGCACAGGGTAAACCCAGGAGCCAGTCCTTGCAACTTGTTTGCTCCACCCGTTTGTCTTCTCTTGGCCGGAGTTCTGGATGTCCCTCTGTTGCAGCAAAAGCAGGTGAGGTGAGCTGGGGTTCAGTGCTGATATCAGTGACCATTTATGAGGTTGGACAAAAGGGTGAGAGTTGAAGAAGTCAAATTCTACTTAAGAGAGACCCCAAACAAGCAGAGATGCTGCTAGGAAGGGAGACCAAGCCAGTGAGTTCTCACAGTCTGGGGTGTTTGCCTTCCACACATAGTCTGCGAGGAGCAGGGGTGGTTACGTACTAGCTTCTGTGAAGGCACCTTTTCTCATTTGTTTTCATCGCAACCTTGCTCTCCTCTGGCAGATACTCATTACTGGAATCTTCTATCCTGTGTTTTTCAGTGTGTACATGCTGGCAAGGGGCTGTGTGAGGGCACTAGTCTGGCCTGCTTCAAGCCCCAAGCTCCCTCGCCTCCTGTCCTGCCCCGGGGTCAGGGGTGCCCCAGGCTCTCTGGAGGCTGATGCTAACAGAGGAGACGTGGTAGTCATTCCCAAGTTTTTCTGTGTGACTGTCATGCTTCTTGTAAACAGACAAAAGAAGCAGGCCCTTGCTGCTTGCCATGGGACAGCGAGTTCATCAGAGTTGGTATAAGTAAAGTTGGTTGCTAGAAGCTGCGGTTTTGGGCAAAGAGTGATTTCTGAATCCAAAATACACTCATTCCGTGCAATCACCCACAAGAGTTTTAAAGGGAAGGGTAGCTGCAGGTGGGGCTAATTTTCAGATTTGATTCTGATGGTGGTCTGCCCGGGAAATCCAGGGTGCCTGGTGGAGATTGCTCAGTAACAGAGCTTAGCTGCTTACAGCTGATGGCGGCTTACTCTCCCCAAAGTAGATGGGAGGTCTGCTCTTCCAAGCCATCTCCTTTCAGTAGGCTCCTGACATGCAGGACTGTCACAGGTAACCCACAGGATCAGTAGTTGTTCTTTGTTCAAATATGACCAGGGAAGGGGAGATGTCTTTGTTGTGGTTACCTCCTCAGTGTCAGCTAGTGAGTTTTGGTCTCAGTGAATGATCTCTCTGTGCTGGCCTCTTGTAACAATGCCATATGTGAACAATGCAGAGAGAGAGAGAGATCTTCCATCTGCAGGTTTATTGCCCGAATGTCCCCAATAGGTGAAGCCAGGCTAGGCCAAAGCTGGGAGCTGAGCTCAAAGAATTCTTGTCTGAGGTGATCCCAGATCTGACTCTTGTGTGCGCCCTTCATCCACATCAGCCTACACGTACACACTGGTAATTACAACTGCTAGGTCAGATCTTTCTCCAGCCGCATCTGTTATGCAGAGCAATGGGTTCTGTGGGCCAGCCCAGCCCTGCCCCCACCCCCAACACTCAACCCTCATGTGTACCAGTGGGAGCTACAGCCCAACCAGAGCGACCTCCAATAACCCCCCACTGGGGCTGCCCCGCCAGCCCAGCCAGGAGCTTCTTTGGGTTTCCCATGTGGATGCAGGGTCCCAAGGACCTGCCTATCCTCCACTGTTTTCTCAGGCCACATGCAGGGAGCTGGATGGGAAGTGGAGGAGCTGGGACACAAACTGGCACCCATATGGGATGCTGGCGCTTGCAGGCTGGCCCTTACCTGATTATTTTAATACTTGTGCATGTTTCTCTAGACTGTAAGTCTAGTAGTGGAATGTAAACCAAATGTTATGTCAATGTGTCACTTTACAAGAAACTGCAAAGTTGATTTTGAAAGTGATGCTAAAAGGCCCGGCGTGGTAGCCTAGTGGCTAAAGTCCTAGTCTTGCACGTGCTATATGGCATTGGTTCTAGTCCTGGAAGTCCTGTTTCCCATCCAGCTCCCTGCTTCTGGCCTAGGAAAGCAGTGGGACCCTGCACCAGTGTGGGAGACCCAGACAAAGGAGGTTCTTGGCTTCAAATTGACTCAGTTCTGGCCATTGCGGCTGCTTGGGAAGTGAATCAATAGGCAGAAGATCTTCCCTTCTCTCTGTCCTCTGTATATTTGACTTTCCAATTTAAAAAAATCTTATAAAAAAAAGTGATGCTAGAAATTTACACCCGTTTTACACCATGTAAAGAGTTCACAGTGACCCTTATCCTCACATTTGACTCTGAGATTCTCATCTAAGAGATGAAAAACAGTATTTTATTATGGTCTTAACTTGTATTATATTGACTACTAATTAGATTGAGCACTTAAAATTCAATAAGATATAGTTTACAATTCTGAAGTGCCTAATCACAGATCTGTAACCACAGCACCTTTTATATTACAGGGCAGTCTCTCAGTATTTGTTGAATGAATTCTCAGTGCAAAACAGGACTGGGATGCTGACATTGATTGTTTAAAAGGAGGCTCAACCGTAGAGAAGTATAAACGCTCCCACCTTCACACTGCAGTTGGAGAAATTTTATATAGCTAGTTTAGTGTGACTAGTGACTGATTCTCCTGCATAATTGTTTTTATTTCAAAGGGCATTTATATAATTATTAAGAAGTATAAAAATATCTTTTCAACCATATTCCCACATGGGATCCCAGTGCGTGCAAAGTAAGGACTGTTTAGTCAATAGGCTATCACGCAGGGCCCAACGCCCAAGTATTTGTGCCATCATCTTGCCTTCCAGAGGGAAGAAGGTCTGCAGGAAGCTGAAATTGGAAGTGGAGCTGGAGATGAAATCGAGGCACTCCCAAGCAGCATCTTTACCACTTGGTGAGTACTTGCCCTTCATAGTATATTTTTAAATTAAATTTTGCTTTGGTAGAGTGGTGATTAGATTTAGGAAAGCAATACAGTGTTCCCATCACTTTGGATCATGGACTTCTACCTTTATCCATAGTTTGAAAGGCTTACTTAAAAAAAAGATATGTTTATTTTTATTGGAAAGTCAGATATATAGAGAGGAAGAGAGACAGAGAGGAAGATCTTCCATCCAATGATGGAAGTAACCACAATGGCCGGTGCCAGACCGATCCAAAGCCACGGGCCAGGAACTTCCTCTGGGTCTCCCACGAGGATGCAGGGTCCCAAGGTTTTGGGCTGCCCTCAACTGCTTTCCGAGGCCCAAGCAGGGAGCTGGATGGGAAGCAGGGCTGCCAGGATGTGAACTGGCACCCATATGAGATGCTGGTGTGTGCCAAGATGAGGACTTTAAGTGCTAGGCTACCATGCCAGGCCCTGAAAGGCTTACTTTTAAAATACCTTACCCATGAAAGTAATCCATGGACCATGGTTGTAATACAGTAGATTCAGGAGGTGCTAGAGATAATAGCATCTTTATTGGAGCAGTAGTTTAAGCCCTGGTTGCTCTGGTTCTCATCTTGCTCCTTGATATGTCAGGGAAGCAGCAAATAATGGTCCAAAGTCTTGAGTTTCTGACACCCATGTGGGTGAATCATTGGAGTTCCTGGTTTTTGGCTTCAGCCTGGCCTAGCCCTGGCTATTTTGGACATGTCAAGAGTCAACCACGGGCCCAGCAGCGTGGTCTAGTAGCTAAAAGTCCTTGCCTTGAATGCGCTGGGATCCCATATGGGCACCGATTCTAATCCCGGCAGCTCCACTTCCCATCCAGCTCCCTGCTTGTGTCCTGGGAAAGCAGTTGAGAACGGCCCAAAGCCTTGGGACCCTGCACCCACATGGGAGACCTGGAAAAGGTTCCAGGTTTCTGGCTTCGGATTGGCACAGCACCGGCCTTTGTGCTCACTTAGGGAGTGAATCATCGGACGGAAGATCTTCCTCTATGTCTCTCCTCCTCTCTGTATATCTGCCTTTCCAGTAAAAATAAATAAATCTTAAAAAAGAAAAAAGTCGGGCCCGGCGCGGTGGCGCAAGTGGTTAAAGGTCCTCGCCTTGCACGCCCGGGATCCCATATGGGCGCCGGTTCTAATCCCGGCAGCCCCGCTTCCCTTCCAGCTCCCTGCCTGTGGCCTGGGAAGGCAGTCGAGGACAGCCCAGGGCTTTGGGACCCTGCACCCGCGTGGGAGACCCGGAAGAGGCTCCTGGCTCTGGATCGGCATAGTATCGGCCCGTTGCGCTCACTTGGGGAGTGAATCATCGGACGGAAGATCTTCCTCTCTGTCTCTCCTCTCTGTATATCCGCCTTTCCAATGAAAAAATAATAAAAATAAATCTTTAAAAAAAAAAAAAAAAGAAAAAAGTCAACCAGTGTATGGGAAATGGATCTCCCTCCCTCCCCCTTTCCCTCCTTCCCCCCTGCCTTTCTCTCCCCCCTCCCCCATTCATTCTGTCACTCTACCTTTTGAATAATAACCCTATAAGAAAAGCTCTCAACATCAGGAGTTAATGATACCTGTCATTTACTGAGCACCTATGATGTCAGGAAATGTGCTAAGGACTTGACATACATTATCCCATCTAGTTCTGGAGACTGATGTTGTTAGGGTCTGGTTTTGTCAATTTCCCTTGAACGACAAAGAGCCTTACTGATAATGCAAAAGCAAGCAGAGTTTATTGTGCCAGCATGCTGGAGTCAGACCGATCTTGGGGCACGCAGGCCAGCCAAGGAGGGGTCGGACCCTGAACTAGCAAAAGGCTAGAGATTATATAGGCCCCTTTAGTCGTTACATGCATCATAGCCCACACAAATTCAAACACAGCAATCAGACACGTCATCTTTAGGGCTTCCAGGTGCAAACAGTCCACTTCGTTCCCAGACACATTGTCTTTAAGGCCCCTGGGTCTAGACAGCTCATTCTGTTCCCACACACTTTCCTGTTCCTGGGACCAGATGATTGTGCCACTGTCCTCCTGCACCTGGGTGCATTCTATAGATAAGGCTTGTGACACTGTTCACGAGGTCACAGAGGAACAACATATATCACTAACATGGAGTTTTCCTATGGTCCAGACGCATCCTGACCTAGCAAAGCAGCAGCTTCTTGGCACGAAAGGGCCTAACATTGCCTAACATTATACTAGCATCTAACAATGTCTAAACAACATTAATTAATGATAAGTTGTTCTTAATGTTTCAGCTTCAGCCAGCAAGTGCTTAGCACTGGATCTGCAAATTACTATCTGGCTGTATGGTGAACATTCTCATTCAGCCATCAATATGCCTCTCGGACACAAAAATGTTATGGTGACTTAGCTTAGGCCAACAAAGTACATGCCATCAGAAAGCTTATGAACTTCACAACCACATTGTCTACTTAGAAAACAACTTTTTTCTTTATAAGAAAATGCACTTTTAGAGTGGGTTGGGGAAACCTCTTGCCTAGCAATTGTGACACCTGTTGCGATGCTTGCATCCCCTATTGGGGACCCGGAGCTGATACTCAACTCCAGAATCCTATTCTGGCTTCTGCTGATACACACCCTGGATTGTAGGGCAATGACTGAAGTAATGGGGTTTCCTACCATCTGTGTGGAAGACCAAGATTGGCCTGCTGGCTCCCCACTTTGACCCAGTCCAGGCCCAGCTGTTGTAGGTATTTGAATCATGAATGAACAGATGGGAGCTCAGTCTTTCTCTGTGTCTAAAATTAAAAAAAAAAACTGTGGATTGGACAGTTATAAAACAGTAAGTCATATTTCTAGCCTCTTTTTTCTTTCCCAAACATAACCCATTGCTTCACAAAATTAGATATGGGATACATTCTTTTATCAGGATGTATGAAGGATGGGGAAATTTATTCAAGTCGAGTCAGCACTATCAGTTCCCAAAGTGGGGAGCCCTGGCCCTGGTGGTTCATGCCTTAGATGGCCCGGGTTTAGTACCCAAAGGCCTGATGTGCTAGGCCCTGAGCTGAGCCCAGGACTCCCTTCAGGTCTCCTTTGTGGCTGGCAGACACCCGGTTACTTGAGCAATCACTTTTGCCTCCCAGGGTCTTTATTAACATAAAACTGGAGCCAGGAGCCAGCTATCCTGCCCAGATACTCTGATAGGGAATGTAAATATCTTAACCAATAGGCTCAGCACCTAGCCCCTTCTGCTTTTCCAATAAAGAAATTTCAATAAATAAATGAGAAATCTAAAACTAATTATGGGGTCAGCATCATGGCTCAACAGATTAAACTGCTATTGTGATCCCAGCATCCTGTAGAGGAGCTCCAGTCGGAGTTTCAGCTGCTCCACTGATCCAGCTCCCTGCTAAGGCACCAAGGAAAGCAGCAGGAAATGGCCCAATTGCCTGGGTTCCTGCCACCCTGGCAGGAGACCCGGATAGAGCTCCAAGCTCCTGGTTGGAGTGACTCTCTCCAGGCAGTGGCAGCTGCTTGAGGGGTGAACAAGGGATGGATAATACCTCCCTCTCCCTCACTCTGTCACTCTGCCTTTCAAATAAGTAAATGTTAAAAAAAGTGGGGGGAGGGGAGGGAGTACTAACCACTTAAGAAAACCAGATGTACACATACAGTTGACACAAGTATATTAAAGCAGTATGTTATATGTAGAGAAATGAACTCTAATGCAGGAGAACATTAATGGTTTTACTCAAACAGCACCATATCAGGGGAATGGAATAAACAGAAACAGATAAGAATGAAAACAAATTGAAGTGGTCTTAGGCAGCTATTTAAGGGTCACAAGCTTGGAAGCCACACCTCCCCCACTTGTGTAATTCTTTTTGCACCTGCATGTCAAAAGATGAGTCTCCATCATTACTGGGACCTGAGGGAGGTGCGGTACTACAGTTGTGTGTACCCACTCCTGTTCGAGGCCGTGTTAGGAAGGGGCTTACTCTCTTGTTCAGATGCTTGGGTATTTGTGCTCTGGCTCTTGCACTTTTCACTTCATTCCCTCTTGCATACCTACTTGCCCTCTTGCTTCCCACAAATGGACTCTGAGAACAGAGTAGCCATCTTTCTCCCTCACCCTTTTGCTTCCTAGCTCACTCTCCTTGAACATGGCCCACCTAAGTCTGTAGTCTTCACTCTCTGAATAAACTTTGCCACTTGCTTAAGCCATGTCTGTGCCTGTACTTAAAATGCTACTTAAATAAGAAGCAAGAATGTAGGTATTAATTTTTGGCCCAGACCTAGATTACAACAGAGTGAAAGATCATTTGCAGGTGGTAAAATGATCACTGGATTTGGTTTCCCACAGACAGACCTGAAGCACAGTGAATGGTAAACAGGTGTAAATTTAGCATGATGCAAAAGAGAAACAGACCTTGACAGAGCAGCAGTTTCACTCTCGGTTGAGCTGGGTATTGACTAAGTTGTGCTTAAGATTGTTTTTTTTCTAGCTTGTTATATTACATTACAAAAACCACACACCATTTGCTATGACTTGGACCATCATGGTCTAACTTTAAACCTGGCTCCTTAGAAAAATGCTGCTTCTAGTTGGTTGTGCAGTTGTCTTGGAGTTTAAGTGTTACCCTCATGGGGTAGACTATTCCTCTCTGGCAGCTGCTGGTTCCAAATCTGAGTTGGACTTGCTATGATGCCCCCCACCTTCGCTCCCCTTTCTTCTGCTGCTGGAGGCCCCCACTGTGGCTCTGAACCTCTTTCTCAGCTGACCAGGCATCAGCTCCACTCTTGAATGTGGTCAATCACATTTCTTCTGTCACATGGCTGCTTTGACTCTCCCACTGCATCCTGAAAATAAGAGCATAGCACCTGCTCTGATGTGGCGGCTTACGGTTACATGGACGGCCCTTGTCAGCACTAGCAGTGCCAGTTTGTGTCAGGGAGAAGGTGAGTCATATTTTGGTTGGAGGCAGGTCCAGGAATGGCCACTAGAAGCATGTTGTAGCTGTCATGCTTAGCTGGGTGAAACTACATCTTTGGGACAAGAGGGAACAGCAGGGATTTGGGAAAGAACTATATATGCATCTTACCCAATTATATTTTCACAAATTGTTTGAATCTGTTTCCAAGTTCATAAAAAAA